CGGATGGCGAGTTGAAGTTCCAGATTCAGTACTGTAGTATCTGCAGTCATATCTGGCGTCCATTAAAGGCGGAGCACAAGACTGGTCCCCCGTGAGACACAACTGTATGATGACTGCGGATAAGCCAGTCGTTGGGCAAGATTTCATCAGTGTTAGTCTTTTTGTGGTCGCTTCACAAGGGTCAGCTTGGGTTGCATACTCCCTAGGGTGCTGAGAATGCAAAATGATGTATGCTGATCCGGTGATCGGGTAAAACTTGTAATCATCATCATCAGCATCATCATCATCATCGTCGTCGTCGTCGTCGTCGTCATTATTATTATAATTGTTGTTGTTGTTGTTGTTATTATTATTAAGAAGGGACATGTGAAGGGAAACTATCCGTACTTGTGACCATTAATCTTCTCGGTATGTCATGACATACAAACAAACTCCGTAACAGTATAACGTACAAACAAACTCCGTAACAGTATAACGTTGACAGTCGGCAGCAAGTGTAACCTCAATATGAACCACTGCTTGGACACAACCCACAACCCACAACCCACAACCACTACTACTACTACTACTACTACTACTGCTACTACTACTACTACTACTACTACTACTGGAATACTGCTCAAAGTGGCATTTAAACCCAATTCATTCACTCACTTGTACTAGTACTACTGCTGCTGCTGCTACTACTACTACTACTACTACTACTACTACTTGAAAACTGCTCAAAGTGGCATTTAAACCCCATTCATTCACTCAAATGTACTAGTACTACTACTGCTGCTGCTACTACTACACTTGTACTACTACTACTACTACAACTACTACTACTACTACTGAAATACTGCTCAATGTGGCATTTAAACCCAACTCATTCACTCACTACTACTACTACTACTACTACTACGGGCATTCCTCCCTCATCAAGTTGACACGCCAAATATCCTAATATTGTTCAAAGCGGCGTTAACCCATACTCACTCACTATAGCATGTACGCCCGTCATGACGGCCAACTACTAGTACTATGACTGCCGGTAACACCAATACTACAATTACAAACACGATTAAAGAGAGAAGTGGATATACAGATTACATATATGCGATACCTCACTGGACGAAACAGTGTGTCTCTATCTCTCTGTACATACAACCAACCCCTCCATCCACCTGTGCACGCGGCAAGGGATATGACTAATTCTGTATTTGTCATAAGCGAGGAATGTGTGCGACCGTCATTTTCAAACCATTTGTGAACACATGTGTTGACTGACCTTTCCTTTTGACCTTTTAATTATCCAGACTCGCGTGTTTATTATTGTGAGAAAAAAGTGACACACGCACGCTTTGACTGATAATGGCTGTTACACATCTCCGCCACTTCCTCTGACAGTTTATCAAAATAGACTTAGATTTATGAGAATTTGAGTTTCAAAATAACAGAGGTCATTTTCATTTTCAACATACAATAATTAGCGTCTGAAATGTGAACATGTTAATAGGGATGGAACGTGCACTTTCTGTGACGGGCGAAACTTTCATTTCTTAAAAATTAGACTGAAATTGGACATTTCAATTTTACCTGCAAACCCTCAACGTTTGAGTGTAGTTTATTATTATACATACATAAGGGTGTTACTTCAAACTTAGTTGCACTGCATGGATAGTTTGTTTCATTGGCTTTTCAATTTCAATTGGCATTGGGACTACTGGTCGAAGCCAATGTGAAGCCCTGGTGAAAAAAATCGACAGGCTCCAGTCTAAGGGAAATAACTCCATCCAAAATTCTATAACGATACATGGTCACTGCCGGTGAAGAATGGATTATACAGACGCTTCATTCTCGATGGACACGAATGTAATGAAGTGTTTGAGTGACTTGCACAGCTCTAGATAAGATGTTAATCAGCGGTAGCAACTCAGTTTTCGTCCACTAGAATGAGTGAGAATGGTTTTACGCCGCTTTTAGCAACATTCCAGCAATATCACGGCGGGGGACGTCAGAAATGGGCTTCACACATTGCACCCATGTCGGGACTCGAACCCGGGTCTTCGGCGTGACGAGCGAACGCTTTAACCACTAGGCTACCCGATCGCCCCAGTCCGCTAGTCCTTACAGTGATATCATATAGCAAAACCGTTAAAAAGGGCAAATTACTGCGAGTCCTTATCATACCTCAACTATATTGGGCAGTTTGGCAAGGACTACATGACTAGTGCAAATTTCTAACGCTGTGTATCTGCGTAAAATAATCAACATAAAACACCGTTACTTAATTTGAGCAACTTGCGTACAAAGTCACATGAAAAACTTCAAAAAGCCAATAATACAACAACACAGCGCGTAATTACCTAAGGTAGTGTTTTCAACTTTTTGCGTATCTGTATTTCATAACATATCTTTATTTAATGATTTAATTCAGGTATCAAAATGACATATGAATTTTATTTTTTTTAAATCAGTATTATAACAATGTAGCCATTACAATTGTTTGCGTACCTGTATCTATGCATATATCTTCTCGCATGTCGTAACTTAGTCAAGAATTACTTCAACATATATCTTCTTAAGAATAAATTGTACCAACTATTGTCAAAAAAATATTGCTTACATTAAATATTATTTGAATGGTGTTATACAAGCATGTGCTCTGGGGCCTTCTCGCAGAAATACACTTGTCTCTTGTCTCTTGACTTGTGTATGTGTTTGTGTTGGTGTGCGTGCGGCTGTTTGTACTAGTCCGGACTAATGCCAGTTTTATACTGCTAGCCCTCTGAGATACCATGCCAGAGTTTAACATGAATACCCCTCTCAGACACAGTATACTGACCAGTCCTTGTTTTAGCCCCTTATGCTCCCATGTCATTACGACCACGAATATCCCGAATCACCCCGAATAGGACATTTTTTCATGTTCGTAGATAAATCTCAATCATTTCTTAAAGTTCTTAAATGAATCTTATTTGATTCCCAAACATTCATAAAATTCGCGGGAATTCGTCGAATCGGCGAGAAAGTGTTTGTTTGTCAAAAACTTTCGTGGAAGGGTCCCCGAATTGCAATATTGTGGCTTTATAGTAATCCATTCGTAATTAATTCTTATGTTCCGTAACAGCTTCGTAATCGATTCTTTTGCATTCTTGGCTATTCTTAGCGATTCGTGGCTCCCAAAATTTCTTGTCCTCAACCCGAAAATGTCACGAATGTCCCGAGTCAACTACGTATCATGTAAAAATTAAGTAAGAACAACATTCGGCATATTCGTAACTTAGTCGTAGGTGATTCTTACAATTGGTGCATGATCCGTACATGAATCTAGTAATTCGTACGTGTTTCTTAACCCATTCCTGGCTTTCTTCATATTTTCAACCCGACTAGCCACGAAAGTTTGCATTATTGGCGTATCATCACGAATTTCGAAAGTTTCCGATTCGGGGTGATTCGGGATATTCGTGGTCGTAGTGAAAGGGGGGAATAAGGCAAGGGTCACACAGTGCCAATTATTGCCTCCCGTTTGAGATCAGACAGCGCTACGACACGAAAAGTGAAAGAGTCGGATGACTATCCTCAATGATCTGGAATGTCCTATCATTGTCTGAACACAGTCGCATACGTTCGTAACAGAGTCTTACTAAAATGTCCAGAGAGGTCGGCTAAGCACTCCCGACAGTATGGTGCGTCCCCTAACAAACGGGAACTCAGCCGATTTTGTCTCGTCGGATTACAATCGTGACTGTCGTGACAGACTCTGCTGTATCGGAATCACAATCGTAACGATGTCCTGTGTTGTCTAGACGGTGTCCTTTGTATCGGGACGCTGTCGTGATGAACGGGAATGTTTTGTTCATTGCCGTTTCTTGTCCATTGAGTCCAGATTGCGTCCAGATCTTGCCGAATGCGAATCGTTTTTGTCGGTTCACTGTCCCGTCACTGTCTGATCTCTGTCGGATCTCATTCGGGAGTATCGGGACGCTGTCGGGACAGATTCGGTCGCTTTTTACCAAGCGGAAGATACAAATCGGATCAGATTTGGACTGAGAACGGGAGAATCGGGACGAATTCGGCTGGAAACGGCTGAATCGGGACGCTTCCTAAACAATATCTGATTGTTTCTGAATTTCACGCCACGAATCGCAGGATCTTGATCAGACTTTTGACAAATTTTAATCGAGATTGGTCCTATATCAATTACGGCAGTAAAAATCCTAAATGTGTTACTGAGCCCTTAATGCCGAGCGCCAGGCAGGGTAATAACAAGTCTTTTAACGTCTTTTGGCAAGACGCGGCGGGGGATCGACAGACGGACATTTTTTTTTTTCATACACTTGACACACGACAGGTCATTTCGGCTTATGTGATGGTATATCGGTTGTTGAGACACAAGGTACCGATTTTCAAGACGCTTTTTCGATTAATGCAGCTTTGCGTAATCCCAGGAAGGGATCCAGTGGTGGGTGGGGTGCCGCCTTCTGTTTTTCGACACATTGCTAGTCAACCTGAGTCCTCTGACTTCATTGGCAGGTGTGACCATCCTTCAAAATCCTGGACCATTCTCTGTTTCCTGGAATTTTTGTTCATTAATTTTACCTGGCGATTAGTGAAATAAACATCTCAGGTGAGAATCGACTATTTCTTGATATGTTGATAGTGTGTGTCATAAATGCATGTGTGTAGAATAATCCGATACAGTATGATTCTATTTCAAGTGGCGACGACTATTTTTACGCAAATTACTCAAAGCTTGCTCTATGTATCCCTTCATTAAAAAGAATTTGGAAGGTCAAACATAATCGCAAGGGGGGAAAAAACAATGGATTTACCATATGATTTCCTGTTGTTTTGTTTTTTGTTTCCCTTCGCCGTGGTGAAAAATAAAACAAATATCTCCGAGCCTTATACAATCGGAAGTGCCAACGTGACAAAATGCGCGTAAATAGCCGAGTTATTCTGACCGGCCCGTCGTAAATCTACGATGGCGCCAATGCGTAGATAAATATGGCGGTAAATGTAGCATGAAATAGTTTACCTGCAGAAACATTGGACACGAGTTACTTGCAGTAAGGTAAATGAAACGATACATGTTGTCGAGGTTAAAGCCACTGTGAAAATATTTACATTAACTGTAAGCGTATTAGTTAGAATTTCAATGATGAAAGTAAAGCCCTGACGTCCGGTCTGAAAGCCAAGCACAATACTGAGTCCAGTTCCTGCGTTTTAAATGTATAAGTTATATACCCTACCCTTATATCAGTTCCTCATTGATCTACTGTCTGCTTAGGTAAACGTTATATAGTCATATACTAATGTGGATATTACCACTTAACTCACTCTAAATTTAGCAGTTTCTACAACTTCAACGCAGCGAAATATTTAGGAAGGCAAACGGGATGATGGTCTGAAATAATCAGAAAAGACGATAGGCCTACAGGTCGATGTGTTCACGAAAAATGCGTGACAAACAAATGTTTTGCATAGACAAATAAATCTGAAAGGTGTGAATGCAGGGTCCACAGAAATATGTGCTTGAATTTAACCTTCACAGTGTGCTTGAAAGGTTCTTGAAATTGTATTAACAGTCTTGAAAAATGTTGTCAACTAGAACATTTCAGAGAATTATGTAGGCTCTTTAATATTAATTAAATGCTGTGTTTACTTCCCTGATACAACTTTGAGCAACTTTGCAATTGAGTTCATGTCTGACAATTGATCTGGGAAAGTAGCTAACTAACTGTCAAGGAAAACTTACAGCTCTAAAACTGTTGCAGTTGACAGTGTTTCATCTGAACTTTCAAGTGACTAGTTGATCTACTTTTGGATGAATAGAAAACAATGAAGGTTTTGTCCTTGAAAAGTGCTCAGCTTGGATCAGGCTGTGGAAGGCCAGTACCCTGATAAAGTTTGTCTATTATATATTCAAGAGAATAAAGTTGAGAGAGAGAGCAATAACAGCCTTATTCTGTATGTCCTTCCTTCATACTCCAGTGTCTTAATATTGATGATGTAAGTGGGGTCTCACAGGGCGGAAATGAACCAAAAACTACTAGCCTGAATAGTGATAACATAGCAATACTCTACCCCCCAACCCCAAATGTTTGTTTGTTTGTTGTTTAACACCGCACTCAGCAATATTTCAGCTATATGACGGCAGTCTGTAAATAATCCAGTCTGGACCAGACAATCCAGTGATTGACGTCATGAGCATCGATCCATGCAATTGGGATCCATGACATGCATCAACCAAGTCAGCGAGCCTGACCACCCGATCCCCTAGTCACCTCTTACGACAAGCATAGTCGCTAAGGACCTTTTCTACCCTGGATCTTTACAGGTCCAAATGTTTGAAATACCCTGCAACCATTCACCACAATGACTTCATTTTGGCGAATATGTGATAAACTGCCAGGAAATTAATGTACAGAAAGAAAACTGAAAAACAAATGTTTGAAATACTTTGTGAACACAAACCTTTTAAGCCAGTACCATACAACTTCTATAGTCATGCAATAGTAGGTAATTTCTCACAGAATTTCTGATAGCCTATGACAAGCAAACATCAATTCAATACATGCACCAATGTGTTTTATAATATATATGAATGTGCTATTTGGTAATTAAGTATTTCCCTTTGAAAGAATAACCAATAAAAAAAACATTGAGGAATTGTAGTACCTTGATAAGATAATGACCTTGATTGCTGATTGAGTGTGTATTGACAACAGTCATTGCACTGAACAAGTCTGGGTGGATGAACTTAATCTGTCTGCATATACTTTACTATTAATATTGATTTTGGTGAAATATCTTTCTTGATAAGAGTATGTAAAAGAATTATGAATATAATATGTTATGCATGAATTTATCAAAATGAACATAAAAATTCTTAGTAGTGGGATGATACACCTATGCATCAGTGGATCGCAATTTTTTACTTCTTGATACAAGCATCAATCACAATTGCACACAAAGTAAAAAGTAATAATTCTTAACTTAAATGTATTCTTCAATAAATGTTACACCAAACACTAATTACTAGTGAAAATAAGTAGTGAAAACAAATATTTCCATCCATTGCTCCATACTTAACACTGCCATCTGTAAATCGTTAGTGTTTTATGTATTTGGCCATCCTGTCTATGAAAAAAAACATGGCTCACTCACCACAGAAAAGTCCACATGCAAGTATCATGATACGTATCAGATCGTGAGCAAGGTATCGTGATATGTATCGGATTGCACAGTTGGTGTATCGTCCCAGCCCTAAAAATTCTGTTAGTTTACATGCATAATTGCAATAATTTTAGTAAAAATATAGACTGTGAGCACCACAATATTATAATACTTGTCAAAGTGAATAGCCTACATATTATGATTCTTCATTTTGTGATTCATTATGATCATAATTTATTGCTGGTTTTCTGCTGTGATTCTGTGAATGTTCTGTTATAATGAAATACCTTTTACATTTTCCTTCAGTTTAAATGATGGTATATCTGTGATCAGCAGCCATGATTTGGGTTCGATCGCTGCTGGTTATTGTCTCGGGTAAGTTCCTCTATTACAGTATCAGAAATGTTGGCTTCATGTTTTCTAGAAGCATGTTGGACTATTGGTGACTGTGCCTTTAAAGAACATTCACTCGCTGATATGAAAGATGTCAGGGCAAGTAGAATTTCAAACATTTTGGTGAATCAAAGAAATAATATCATTTCAGGGCTCGATTTAGCTATATAAAACATGCACCAGTGCAATCTATTATTGAAAAATGCAACCTTATATTTATGTCTTCATGCACTTGGTGCAAGTAAAAAATATTTAACTTTTTGAGTGACTTTCCTTACTTGTCCACACTACATTGATCTTTCAACACAACACGTTCATTACCTATCAGCTTTTTTGACCATACTACATTACTAAGCTCTGTGTTGTGTGTAATTCATGACACATGACAAGTGGTCATAAGAGATCGGAGATTTTATTTTTTTAGACATATAGGTTTTGCATTTACATTTCAAGTTTGATAAATGTGTGGGACCAGGGTGCAACCTGGTTTTGTCTGGAGAAGCTCTTTATGTCAGCATGCACTTGGTACAGGTTAAATCAAGTTCCTTAAATCTAGCCTCGCATTTGGTTGGCTATGCATGAAAGGGAATTAAGCTAATAAAGCCACAATATCTTTATTAACATGATTATATTGTCATCCAATTTTACAAAAACATAGGAAGGAGGCGATATTATCATTGCTTGGTATTTTTTGGCTTCAACTGATATTTTCAAAATCTTTTCATGTTTTTAATCAAGGTGCTGACGTGATTTGATGCAAGTCATGAAGTAGGACCCATTTTATCACAAAATAGATCTTGATTATCGATGAGATCATCTTTACTGGGCGCCTCAATTTTGTTTCAAGTAAATGCAAGTAATATGAGAGGTTGAATCTGGTTGGTCAATAGGAGAGGCATAGAAGGGACATAATTCATAATAGCCACTGGTGGTGCTAAGATCAAGCCCAGAAATTCCAGCCTAGTTCAGCAAGGATAGAAACTGAACTTTTATGGTCAGTTTACTCCCTTGATTCGGGAAGATGGTGATTCACAAGAAGCATGAATGTTTGGCAGGGTTTTTGGTAGTGAGGCAGACAGAGATGAACATCTAAATAACTTAATTATTACTGGTATGGCCAAAGCTCAGAGAAACTAAATTGTATTTCTGTATCTTTTCAGTGTTGTTGCTGATTGGAGGCAGCGGCATCTTCCAGTATTCCCTGACAGCTTCCTTCACCATGTCCCATGACCCCTCTTGCATCTACACTACCAGCACATCCGACTCCTCTGCACTCCGCTGTGTCACTTCTCCTGGAAACTGTCACCCATGGATACAAGCATCCGTCATGGAACCTGTGCTCTTCACAGGAGTCAGACTGGCTGCAGAAGGACTAAGCAAAGACTTGGATGCATTGAAAGCATTCAAAATAAGCTATTCCCATGATGCTTTGACCTGGAAGTATCTTAAACCCAAAACCCTGAAAAAGAAAATTAAGAAGGTATACAATACTAAAGTACATATTCTGAATTCAGTGAGTGAGTTGGGTTTAACGCTGCTTTTAACATTATTCCAGTTATATCACAGAGTGTCAACTTACCGTAATGTGGGAGGAAAGCCCGAAGTGATGCAGGTCTAAGACGTTTACTACTTCGGTGAAACCCACGAGCACGGGTATGGTGCTGACAAACCTAGAAACATAATCAGGGCAAACCGGGATTCGAACCCACCCTCTGCACAGCAAATTACGGCGCCTTAGATGACTGGGCCACCCGTGCCCCCTATTCTGAATTCAAACCATTATTTAAAAGCATAAATGTGTGAAGGGACAATTACTTTTGTCAGTACTCGTTGAATATATATACCAGTAGTCAAACTAGTAGGCTGCTATATGCTGTTCAGAGTTTCATATCTTAAGCTTACCAGAAACTTGGGGTAATCCCGGATTTTGAATCCCAGTTCACCCTGATTATTTATGTTTCTTGGTTTGTCAGCACCATAACTGTTATCATCGGTTTCACTAAAGTAGTAAACATCATAGACCTGTTACGGGACACACTCACTTACTGGCTTACTATCGTACAGGATACAAGAGGTAAATCTGCTGCTGCTGCTGGTGGTGCCCCGATGTTTACCATCCCCTGCCACTTTACAGCCAAACACCTGCGGGTTGATCTACTGGCAGAGAGCAAGAGTAACAGAACATGTCTCCACTTCAACCTTGTGGAACAAAGTAAGGATTGAGTCAATAGTGTTCAACATTAAGCTTGAAAGTTAATAATGATTGGTTTAGCAGACCCTCATTGGAACTCTCTGCCTCGAAACCTTTTTTCTCGGTTATGTTGAGTTGCACCATATCGCCATCCTGCTATTGGAGTCTTTGATAGCCATTTAGAAGTTGGAAGAACATGAATACATGACACTTTTTATGGATAGCAACTTCTTTTCTTCTTTTCTCCTTTGTTGTGATGTTTAAGGGATATTTCTTGCTCCTTCATCACGTGAATGCTGAGTAAGTGCCCAGAAATAATATATACAAATCATGATATTATAAGTTATCTTTATACATTCAGCCCACCTTGTGTTGTGTAAACCAGCGTTAGAAATTGGCAGTAGTCCTGTAGTCCTTACGAAACTACCCAATAGTAAAGGTATCCTAAGGATGAGTAGAAATTGGCCCATTTTAAGGGTTTTGCTATATGTTATCATTATAAGGACTAGTGGACAAAAACTGTTAGTTTCTAACCGTGTAAACGTATCATGATTCATATATATTTTTTATCTCTATGCACTTACACAGCAATCACCTGATGAAGGAGCAAAAAGTGGCTCTGAAACGTCTTGACAAAGAGTAAAAGAAATCCAGATGTCATTTATTACCTTTTTGTCCCCACAGAAAGAATCCAGCTCAGTTGTACACAATTCAGGCACTAATATCAACATCTGTCGACAAGGATTAGAAATAACATTGGAACGTTGAGCACAATGATTTTAAAATGAAAGATAATGTCCCACAAAAATTGAAAAATATTTCCTAACACACGTTCTGTTGAACATGATTACTCCTGCAGATGCTGTAGCAGTGATGCCTGAGAGTGGAGGAGAGACCTTCATCTTTACTGCTCTCTATCAGCCCTCTAGCATCAACACCAACAACACAAGGAAGCCACATACCAGGTGAGACTCATCTATCTCATTCACTCATGTAATGACACTGATGTACTACTTCTAATGACCTCGGTATATTACTGGGTGATAGAGAGACTCACATGTGTGTCTGTCTATCTGTCAGTCTGTCTAATTATTTCAATTTCCAGAGAATAATAAGTATATGAAATCTTGTCAAACATTTTTTCATGAAACACATATCAACCTAGTAGTTCATTTTCCAATCTACCATGAATTTGTAAAATACTTGATTTTGATTGGTCAATCAGAGGTATCACATCACAATAAACCCCTTCTGATTGAAACAGCTAATTCGACGGCTGCATCACCACAGAAGCTAATATTTTTAGAATAGTACTTCTTTTACAGTCATTGTCGGTAGGCGTATTTAAATAATTATATTAACAATAATAGGTTACAAGATGTAAAGCTGCTGTGACTACAATATTAAAAGGATGTGTGACAATATATTTTGTGCAGAAAAAACGATAGAAATCTACAAAAAGAATGTACCGGTATTTCAAGTTTTGAGGACCACAGAGAGCTTGCTATTTGACACTTTTCTATATACCTACGAAATCTTTTCAAGGCTTGCTTATTTTCAATTAGGGGTGCCAACCTCATGTTAGCTTACAAAGCTGCCCTGCTACATGCTTTTTGTTCCTGTCATAAGTTCATGTCAAGTATTACGGTGTAAACACACTGCTGGAGCATAAAGAGCGTCATATTTTGTTTAAAGGCTGTTGTCAGTGATTCCATAAATTCTTATCGACAACCCACTCAAAACACAGGACTCATGCTGCTTCACTCAATATATTTCCTGACACCAAAGAGTTCGCATTTTATTCAGTGGTAAAAATGGAGATAGGCATACTGTGTATTCAATGTAGAGCTAGGTCTGCATTTTGACCAAGCTCTACAGCAACACGTCCAATCGAAGATAATAATTTTAATCAAGGGGATGCATTTATATATTACTGTACTTAAACTACAGCTTATGACATACATATCATAATCGAAAGGTTATATGAAAAGAATAAAATGCTTGGTATCATTACGTCTGATTCGGCAGCAGCTCCTTATGTCCTGACACTATTCTGTCCCCATTCCTCACCATGGATAATACAGGGTTTTACTGGATGCAAAATATTGTTTCCCATACTCACACAGTGGTTGCAAATAATTATCCCCCGCAACCCGTTTTATGGGGCGTACAAAATAGACACCATCAGACTGTCCGTCCATCTGTCCATCCATGTGAGATGTCGTTTCTGGAGCTGATCTTGAAAACTTTACTATAGTCCTTCACCAAACTTGGTACATATATAGGTCTAGTAGAGAACTGATGCCTTTTGATAGTTTGCGATTTTAATATATAAAAAAAATGTTTGACAACTTTGACTTGTGAGACATAAAAAAAAGTATAGCTCTTTGGATCATTAAATTTATCAAAATTGCATGTTGCATTATGTATATAATATATCTTTATTCTGGTAAGAAGAAGTCTTCAGTGGTTGATTTTCTTTGCTCTCACATTGAAATCTCCATCTGTATTAGGCTTAAGGAATCCAAGACATCTGCCATGATAAGACAACACACATCAGTCTTGGACAATAATTGAATAATGCCACATATCAGCCTGGAACTCCATTGTTCATGCCTTGGACTACACTAAGATTTAGTCCCAGAAATGAAGTCATCTTATTATAATATGTAAATTGGTAAATGAAACGGAAAATCCAAAGGTGTCCAGAACAATGCTTAATCATTCTAGACTTTAGTTGGATTCGTTTTTAATTTAATCTCTAGGGTCAGGATGACACTAGACTGACACCTGGTACCAAAGTAGATAGACCTTGGTAAATCCTAACATAATAGAGAACTTCCAAGCTAACTTCAAGACATTGCAGCTCTACACTTATATGTTAGACTTAGCGTTGTGTTGGGAAACAGTACCTATTAAGAGCCCTTATTGTAGGTTATATCACTCGTCTAACTATTACATGTGTAGAAATTACACCAGGAATACAGGATAGAATAATCTAAACATGTATTTGACATATTTAAGTCTGTTGTGTGGTCGATGGACCCAACTGACATTAGGACACACTAGGGCTGGAACAAATACACTATGAGGCAAATATGATACGTATCACGAATATAGGGTAACAAATACAATCATACATTTATATACGGCACTTATCCATGGACTAGTATCTGCTCAAATGCGACAGTGACCAGTGACCACATTACTATCAAATTAATATATAAGAGTGTTGTCTACGTTTGCATATAATAAGTTCTTATGTATATTTTTAGACAAAGGATGTAAATGCACATGACTACATAACCATGATTACACAAATATACAGTGATGTTACCTTTGGGGTGCAAATAATTGATGAGCGTTACAGACAATCAGCCGTTTAACCAAGGTGGAGTTATAGATGACCAACACAACAGACTACTGCACGGCTTGTATATACATGTATTCTATTTCGCATATCTTGGTTTGATAAATAACAGACAACTTCAAGTTAAAAAACTCTCTTTTAAATTTTAAGTTGTAATTATTAGATTTAGGTGACCACAAATAACAAATTCAATTCATGAAGGGATACGGTTCGATTCATCGAATATGCAAGTGAATCATAACAGCCATAGCACACACACACACACACACACACAGACACAATCGGTTCAGCCCCCCGTAACACGCCATCTCTCTCTCAACCGTTACTCAAAACTCCCCATCTACACCACACAATTACATCACAATCTCAAAGATCTATATACATATACAACATAGAATGTAACGATATAGTGAGGATATAAACAATCCTCAAGCGTCAAAGGAAACCGGAGGTGATATTGTGTAGAATGAACCACTTGAAAATAGCCTGAATATAACTGTACACATGGTAGTAAAGAAATATTTGATAAAGACATTCAAGTTGGTATGTACTTCTTTCAGAGCATCAACACATCACTTGTCAATAGGACGGACACTGCTACAAATCTCAGAACTATCGCTGGTTTTAAGGTGAGTAGTATTATAATAGAGGCCTGTCACATTTCGAGTGTCTGCCCGGAGAGCTTAAGTTCATGAGTTCGATCCATGGCTGCGTCATACCAAAAGACATTAAAAGATAGTACTTGTTGTTACCCTGCCTAGCACTTGGCATTAAGAGGCTAAAACAAGGACTGGTTGGCTCAGTCACTATACTGTGTCTGAATGGGGTATTCATGTTAAACTGCAGCATGGTATCTCAGTGTGCTAATACTGTCAAATCGGCATCAGTCCAGACTAATACAAGCAGCCACACTCGGACATACACAGGCATGAACGTCGCTTTATAAATGCAATAATCTTGAACGTGACTTTAAACCCCATTTCACCTCACCTATTACTTTTCACTACAATGCCTTTCACATTGGGCTTGTTATTATTAGTATCAACATTATTGTGTCTTATCTCTTGAGGTGTAATAATAAGCATATGTGTACAAGATGCAGGGTGCAGAAATTACGTCACTGAAGTGCCTGACCCTGGTTTATTTACTTTCAGTCAAGTAGGTTTTGGCTCTTTTTAGCGCTCTGGGAACAAATTAAGCATAATCTGAAAACTAGGAACTGCGATGAGATACATATACACTGGGTTTTGGGAGCAGAAGAAACTGCTGTGCAAAAGAAAGTATACACTTGAAATTGGATTTGACCAAAAACATACAAATATTATCAAAACATTACTAGGCTCAGGGATTTACCTTGACCTGCTCAGAGACCGATATTCGGTCCCAAGTCTGCAGCAAACAACAGTACAAATTCCCAGTTTGAATTAAAAAAATTCCCATTTCCTCGCAAAGTACGAAAACCATTACATTAAAAAAAATGTAATGTTTATCAATATCATGATTTTTTTTTTCAATTTGCCTGTCAAGGCACTTAGTTTCGGAATCTAGATAAATCCTTGAGGCTGAAAACAGTTGCTGAAACACTGCAAACTTAAAGTCCCAAACACAACTACTGTATGATACCAGCGTTAGAAATTGGCACTAGTCCTGTAGTCCTTGCCAAACTGCCCAATAGTTAAGGTATCATAAGGACTAGTAGAAATTGGCCATTTTCAAGGGTTTTGTTATATGTTATCATCATAAGGACTAGTGGACTAAAACTGTTAATTTCTATCGCTGGATACCCGTATCAAATACATCACCATCGAATAACCATTTCTTGTTCGTTTCAATTTTAGCCACCAGCAAACATGGGTGTACACTTTCTTTAGCTCGGCAGTTTTTATCGTAATTTCCTCAAACAACGCATTGTAGTGTATTTATTCCGGTGAATGGTAGAGCTTGACATTGGTATACAAGGGCTGCTTCAGGGGCTCCAGATATTTTGAGCCATTGATTGTTACTCCCAAGTTATCATTAACAATGGTTATTCATAGTTTTTTGGGTATAATATATTTTACTCCTTTGGGTCTGGTCTAATGGGTATTTATCTGCCTTTTTTAGTCATTATTCACTGCAGTAGAGTTGTATGTGTGATGCCTGCTTTCTGGCAGTAGTTATACATCTGTCAAGACATCCATGTACACAAGTTGTAAGGCTACATCGGGTAATTACTCACATAGTATAAGAAATTGTATAGTGTATTGTTATGAATATCATTGACAGGGTGTGACTGGCATAATGGAAAATGATATATACGTACATGGACAATATTTTGTGATTTTCGAAATATTAGAAACTTTGTCTTTTTTTTGCAATATGGTTGCCATTTCTAGGTAGTGCATCCCAGGAATCATTTCACAAAGCACCATTTTTTTGTTGCCTGTGGACGTCTGAAGCATTCACCATAGCAATAATGTTACACAAATCCTAAGATGATATCTCTGTTCCACAGCTGTACCTCAGGGTGTGGAGGGGACTGGAGCGAGCCTGTGACCCTGACAGTAACCTGCATCAACTGTGGCGGACTGGGCAGTGTCAGCTACACATGGGACATACAGATAGTACAACTGGAAGACCTGCCACGGGAGGTTTGGGAGGATCGAGCCGTGTTTAGCAGTGATAATACAACGCTTACCTTGCCTGGCAGATTCTTCAACCCTTTTGAGTCCTACGTAGTCAGTGTCTCAGGTAGTCCTACGTTTTAGTTTACCAGACAGGGATGTACATTGAAACTGTCAAATCACTTTTAGGTAACTTAGCCTTAAGAAATGTACATAGTTTGCAGGGATGATGGCAAACTAAAACATTTACCCAAGACTCCAATCAGAACCCACCTTCTTATAAACCTTCTAAAATGAGAAGTGCATGATTATAACATGTGACTTGGCTGATTGTGTGTCATGGTACCCATGTTGGTCAGTCAACTTCTGGTTTCTCAGGCCTTGGCTTGATTAGGTGGGTATTCCAGGTTAGAACTGATCTCCAGCACCTGGTTCCTATAAGCCAACAAATGGGCCAGGTGGTCAGACTCAGTGACATAGTTGATTTCATCTGATTGTAGCCCCATTGCTGTGGATTGTTGCCCACAATATCACACTGTATTGTATAGACTCAGCTGTTTACAGGCCACGATCATTTAGATGGAATATTGTATGGAATGAGTATGCCATTTAACAAACAAGCAAACATTATTGACAGGCCAGTGCGATAAAGGTGGACTAGTGCTGACTGTCACCTCAAACAAGCTCACTCCCAGTCCTCTGCACCTTCCCAAGGCAAGAGAGTTAACTGACTATAAAAGTCCAGTTTCCACCCTTGCCGAACTAGGCTGGTATTATGGAGTTACATTTTGGCTGGACTAACGAGTCTATGCATAGTCCAATCAAAATCGCGCACCAAAATCGAAATCCGGTTCGTAAAGTGTCATGCAGATTTCGGTCGACTGCAGGATTTGCAAAGCATGTGCACCGCTAACTCGTTGTCAACTGATATTTTCTAAATCTTTCCATGTTTTTAATCAAGGTTCTCACGTGATTTGATGCACTTCTCAGTATAAGACTCGTTTTATCACAATATAGATCTTCATCATCAATCAGACCGTCTTGACTGGGCGCCACTGTTTTGTTTGAAGCAAATGCAAGTGATACGAGAGGTTGAATCTGATTGGTCAATAGGAGAGGCATAGAAAGGACATAACTCGTAATAGCCACTGGTGGCGCTACGATCGAGCCCAGGAATTCCAGCCTAGTCGGTCAAGGGTGGAAACTGAACTTTTAAAGTCAGTTAACTCTCTTGTCTCGGGAAGATGAGTCCTCTGTAGCACGACAGCAAGATGTTTATCCCAGGGCAGTATAGGTGTTTTGGAGTTACTGTTATTTCTCTGCACAGTAAGCAGAGCTTTTAAGGCTGTGCATTATGGGGCATTACTCAGTGGTTTCATTGCAGTCTCTGAAAGTAATAAATAACCTTGGCATAAAAGTTAAAGTGAGTGAGTGAGTAATTATTGTTTTACGCCCCTTTTTTAGCAATATTCCAGCAATATCATGGCGGGGGACACCAGAAATGGGCTTCACACATTGTACCCATGTCGGGAATCGAACCCAGGTCTTCGGTGTGACGAGCGAACGCTTTAGCCACTAGGCTACCCGACCGCCCCATATAAAAGTTAAACATTTGGAAGGTGATACAAGTCTTATAGGAGCAAACCAGGAACCCCGTGTTTTACACATCCAGTACGCACAAATGTATAGAATGGGTGCAGAAAATTGAAATTAGTAGTTTGGGGTCCTCTGGACCCCTAGTTTTGTAGGTCAAGGTAAAACCTTGGAACCCTCTTAATTTGAACACTGCATTGCAAGTACCGGTAATTCATCTGTTTTGGAAATATTTAGCATGTTACAAATTACATACTTTCATAAGGTTGGGCCAAGATGACCAAATGACTGGTCAATCTCTCAGTTGATATATGGATATGAACTGCTGAGGAGATATCTACAGAAGTACATAATTACATTTTATGTCAAATAAATAACCTTGCTATTTCTTTCATCCATGACCAGAGACAATAAATTAAATTTATGGTCTCTGCCACAACCCATGGGGATGTCAGGTAAGAATATAGGTCTCCAGCGACCTATGCTGGCGTAAGAGGCAACTAAATAGATCAGGTGGTCAGGGTCAGTGGCTGGTTGATTGCATGTGATTGTATCCCAATTGCGTGGATCAATGCTCATGATGTCAATCACTGGATTGTTTGGTCTGATCATTATTGGATTATTTAGAGACTGCCATATAGCAGAAATATTGCTTAAGCCAGCTTTAAGCAACAACCAGCCAAACTTTTAGCCATCATCAGCTTCAATTTAAGCAAGACATAGTGTTCGATTAACCTTCCTTCCTGCCTCACTACCAAACATCCTGCTTCACATCATTGTACACTGTACGCTGTACAGATGAAGAAAATCACTACTTGTTCCGTACTTTTGTACTTCTGAAATAAGCCATATACATAGTCATGACAAACAGTCATGCTTCATGTGAGTCAGGTCAGGCTCGCTGACTTGGTTGATGCATGTCATCGATCCCAATTACGTGGATCGATGCTCATGATATTAAGCACTTGATTGTCTGGTCCAGACTCGATTATTTACAGACCCCTTTCAAATAGCTTGAATATTGCTGAGTGCGGCGTTAACAACAAACCAACCAGCCAGCAGTTCCATCCACATTTAGTGTACAGAGATGCCTTGAAAATATAAAAATGGCTCCCGCTTAACATTTTTAAAACAAATGGAAAAAAATGTGCCAATTAATTTATTGTGGCCTTAATGAGATGTTTGTATATCTCCAGGTACCAGCTCAGTGACAGAAGGGGGAGTGAACTATACCATCCCAGCCAAAGGTGAGATACAGAACCTTTCTAAGTAAATACACCCACCTCCAGCAAGCTGCGGTAGCCATTTCTCTGCTCTCTATACACGATTTAGATTGACTTGCCACTATAAAGAGCTACCACCTTTCCCATAGTACACATATTTGAAGACAGGGAACCGAAATGTGTCGCCGTTTTTGTGGGAATACATTTTAATTACATTAGGGCAGTAGCGTAAGTAAGGTATGTTCCGACTAAGGAATCTATTAGGAAAACACAATGGAACAGCCAGAAGCTGTTATAGGAGCAGCACAGAAATAGAATTACCACAGCCAAGCTGGAAGCAACAGCCGTATTTATTGTTATTTGTCTCTCTGCTCCATTATTGATGTAGAAGAAAACAAACTCATGAGACTACTAAATATTGCAAAAAAAAGTACTGTACATTCTTTACATTATAGTATGTAATCAAATGTAAAGCAGGGCTCGATTTACGGAAGTTGATTTAACTTGCGCAAGGTGCATATTGACATGAAAACCTAGTTGCACCTGACATAACACAGGTTGCATCCTGGTCCCATAAATTTATCTAAGTTGAAACAGATACATAAACTATTCTAAATAAATGAAATCCCAAATCTCTGACGACTGTGTCATGATTTTACATAAGTTAATGACATGGCTGTAAATTATAACAGGAATGAGCACATAATCTGGAAGTATCGAGTTTGATGACGTCAAGCCCAAGAAAGCATGACAATTTACACATAACACTGGGACTAGTGTTGTTGGTTGGTTGGTTTGTTGTTTAACACCACACTCAGCAATATTCCAGCAATATGACGGCGGTCTGTAAATAATCGAGTCTGGACCAGACAATCCTGTGATTAATATCATGAGCATCGATCCACGTAATTGGGATCGATGACATGCATCAACCAAGTCAGCGAGCCTGACCACCCGACCCCGTTAGTTGCCTCTTAAGACAAGCTTAGCCGACTTGTACAGCAAGCATGGGTTGATGAAAACCTATTCTACCCCGGATCTTCACGGGTCGACTAGTGATGTAGCATGGTACATAAAGCTAAGAGGCATTGAGCGTGTTCACTGTATTTCTGGAGTAAAGTAAGGGTGTTCAAAGATTGATGTTGTATGAAGAAGTAAGGGTTAATCAAACTTACATTTTGTAGAAAAAGATATATGGTTGCATATTTCAATTATAGGTTGCATTGGTGCATGTTTTATGTTGCTAAATCGAGTGCAGTATAGGTTAGTCTATGACCACAGCAAACACCTTAAAGAGAACGATTTTCTGACAGAGGTACTGGTCACTTTAAAGATCGTACACATCATGTACTTGAAACAGATTTAGCATTTATTCTTTCCCCAATAACATAGTGTTATGAGAATACGCTTTAAATATATTAAGTATTTGTATTCACACATTTGTTTGTTTTGGTTATGACAATACAAGCTCACTTCCTAATAAAAATCACAGTGTGGGGATTCTGGGTTAGAATATGTCCCCAGCAACCTATGCTTGTAAGTCGCAACTTAATGGATCGGTTTTCAGACTCTAGAACGTGAATCGTTGTTCACAATATCGATCACTGAATTATCTTGTCCAGACTTGATTATTTACAGGCCACCGTCATATAGCTGGAATATTGCTGCATATGGCTTTAAACAACAAACAAACAAACTTGATACAAAAATCTGTATAGACCATTGCAATGTTATTTGTTACTATAATATCACAATAAAATTATATCACTAATCTAACTGTCACTGAAACTGATCAACTGTACCTTTTAAACACAGGTTATTACTTTTTACAAACTGAAAAACTTGGATGAATGATTTTGGATGATAAATAGAATCTCAACCTCTTGTCTTTTAATATCAAATATATGATCAACCACTCGTTGATAAAAGTTTAAAAATCCTCGGCAAGCCTTGGAGTTTAAACATTTATCAACTCGTGTTGATTCTCTGTATGTATACCATAATAATAAAGATTTGATCATTTGTAAGCTTAAGTGCCAATCTCATGTCTTTCAGGTTTTAAAAAGGTTATTCATTAATAGATCTTAGATGCAGATCTTTCTTTCAAAACATACTGACTATAGACATGAGTTGATATACGTTACATGTATCTATTTCAGAACACACATTATACATCACCTCCAGCATCAATACAACCTCCGCCTCAGTTGACAGCCGTGTGACTTTCTTAGTGCTGCTGAACAGTTCCGACTCAGACGTGTTGATCGAGTTTGGAGAGTACGACAGCTGCATACCCAACTTAGCCACCGTTTCAAATACGACGAGAAGGACATACCCACTCTCCATGTTTTTACTGTCAAATTACACAAAGGGGTTAAAATATGCAGTTTTCGACTTTCAGTTTCATACTGATGGCAACTTCATCATCAGTGCGACAACAACCGGCTTCCCATCCAGTTCCTCTGAAGTCTCTGTTTCAGTAGTGTATGAGAAGATGGAAGTTGGTATGTGCACTAATAATACCCACATGATCAATGCTTCAACGAGTTTTCAGAATGCTGAAATCTGGGGCCTCTTAGAGGACTTGTACTTCAAAACCAGCGGGGGCGATGCATGTCCGTCTCTTACTGAAAGCTATTCATGGTCTCTTCAACGTTACACGGCTGGCAGCACGAGTAAATGCACTTTGGAGGAGGACTTTGAAGCTCTGGATTTGTATGCTAACACTACACATAATCAAGTGCTGTCTATTCCATCTGGACATTTATCTGATGGCCATTACAAGCTTTGTCTGGCTTTGGATAAGCATAATAACTCAGTCTTACTTGGCACAAGGACTGTTTGTGTAAGTATGTGTCTTCATTCTCTAGCCCTGTTTGTTTAAGTTAGTTTATGGATCTGCCATCCCCAAATACTGAGGAGATGGAAGGAAAAAAGCCAACCCAAAATTATGTTTAATATAATCACTGCCAAGCCGAATAAATAAATAAAAGAATAAAAAACATATTTCCCAGAATCTTGCAATGCAGTAACAAGACAACTTTGCCATCAAAACAGGCATTTCTCATACCTCCATATATCTCTTAGTCACAGATTACAAGAGCAAGGTCCATTATCACAGTTTTAAAGTCCAGATACAGGTATATATCATGTCAGAATTACAACAACAACAACAACAACAAAAACAACAACAACCCCAAAGTTGGGGAATGCCATAAAACAAATTTAAAATAACTGTCATGTCAGATTTTTACCTTTATTTTTTCAATGGCTGATAGATATTTTTTTTGCAAACGTAAACCAACTAATCTTTTAAAAAAGGACTTGCCACCTGAAGTGGCTAGTCTTTGCCGATGATGATTTTAGACTTTGGGACTTATGGGTAATTAAGTTTGTTCAGGGTGTATGGTTTTTCTTTTGGTTTAACCCTCTGGATGCCGATTTTTTTTCTTACACACATTTTCCGAAGATTGGAAAAGTGAAGGTTGTGCGAGAATTGCGCTCAAGCGGCACTGGATCTACCCCTGGCTATAAAATTACGCAGAGGTGGAGAATATTAAATTTCCTATTTGATGGTGTAAATGTAACTGCAAATATTAAATCGGTTTTAAAAAAAGACATGTCTAAGTGTTGTCCGAGAATTTTGCGTAAAAAAACCCAGTAAATTTATCCGCTTTTTATCATACATCGATAAAAAGTATTGCGCCACGATTTTTTTTATTTAGAAGCTTTATGGAAACTGAGCGAACAAAATACTGCCTAATATCTGAACGACATAACTACATATCAAATGGAGTTATATGCGTATCTATAACGACATACATTCAATACCAAAAATTGCATGCCGTAAATGACGAAAACTGATTTTTCTCTATGATGTCAAAAGGCGACAGAGAGGTTTCACTTGACAGAGAAAAGGGGGCATAACTCCGCTATGCTTAGCACTAGTTTATTGTAACTCAGGTCACTTGGTGAGAATTAGCTGTGGGTAAATACAATATATTTTCGTGGTGTTTTGTTCTTGAGAAACCAAACTATTCCAACACAAATATCGATATTGAAACTGTATAGGTTTAGTTATAAAAAAAACAACATACGAAATGATGAAGTCATCCTTCATAAAAAAGAGGTAATAGAGAAATGGATGGCCCTATCTAACCTATAACTTAGTCCTTAGATTCCAACATTCTCCTGATTGTGTAAGTGTAATTTGACTAATGTTGCACCATTATTAATGGAACACTAGCCTTATCATCAAATGTAATCAAATAGCAAAAAAATAACACCATTCCTTTTGACGTCAGGGCTGGTTTTATGTCTTTAATAACGTCGGAGAAAGACGACACTGGTATTTTGATTAATATATATCTCCCCTAATTTTCGTTCATGGTATGCAAAATCTTGATGTGTAAAACGGAATTTGACGCTTTTTAGACACAACATAAAAAGACTGCTTTCACTAAGTAAATAATGTCTTGAATATGTAAACAATTAGATAGTTTATTGTGTATCTTAATTGGACAAGACACGCACCTGTTTGGCATCAATTTACGTAATGAAATACCCCAAAGAATATTTCAAAACAACCAAAATTATATTCAATATTGGACATATATTTGTTCATTATTATGTTATTATTTCTCTTCATCTCGTCTCAGAATTACACAATAAAAGATGCGAAGAAAGCTCTATTGGTATAGAATTATCAAGATAATCGTATAAGGTTGAACCAACGGGGTACATGGCATGGTTTTTTTTTTATATACTTTTTACAATTCCGGGAGAAATAAAGTAAACAGTTTAATATCCAGTGATCACAATATTGACAAAAGAATGAACCCATTGATCATTTAATGCAAAACGAGAGGAATAATTCGTAAATTGTTTGTGACTAACCCGCACCTGGCGAATTGTTGGATATCATTGTTCTGTGTATCAAACGACATAAAATACAATTCCAAGACCAAGACAATTCTTTCAGCAATGTGTGCATATATTTTAACAAATAATGTTATCCATATTGTTAAAGTAATATATTCAGTTTTAGTTATAAAATAAAATGAAACGGCTATTCATGGACATTGGTTATATGAACTTATGATATTGACTATTACACATCACAAGAAATACGTACATGCTATAGTTACATTTACGCTTCATCTTGTAACACTTGTCCAAAGGAAAGAAATATAGTATTCGACACTATGAACCGATCATTCAAGGACCTTCACCTCAAAGAAATGACCAAATATGTACAACAATGTTGACGTATGACATCACTACCGGTGACCGACTTTTACAAAATGGCGTGTTCACTGTCATCAGTACGAAGGATTTTACGAGGGGACTTTCGTTGATTCATAAATGTGACATGTGAGTAATCAAAAACATTCTGACAATCTATGTCCTGTTATTTGTTGTTATAATTTTCATTGAAACCAACGAAAATAGTCAGAAATTGCGATAAATACCGTTGTCGTTGTGCATACAGATCAATGACTTGGACCTAAGATATACAATAAGTCAATGGCAAAAATCAATTAGTCAAATAAACAAAGATGGCATATGCAGTAACATTTTGAAGTTAAATCAGTACTTTTAAAAAAGTGGGGCATAGCTAGCTTACCCGGCTACCGTGAAACATCTCATTCACTTATAAAGGACAACTTTATCTTAAAAACAAGCCATCATCTGGGTATTTACAATTTCTGTGTGACACCACACCTCTCATCATAGTGTAAGTGTTCGTGATAGAAGACGTGTGATCATCAGATGTCCGAGAACCTGTGATCCGATGATAATTGTATTGTTTCATGAATAATAATAAAGGCATATATGATGCTGAAAGCTCTGATCGAAAATAGGACTATATGTGTACTGGTCATTCTCTCGATTGACACCGAACTTTATGAGAGCATTTCATTGGTCATTAAAATCGATACCATAAGTGGGAATACTCCTTACTATTTACTTTTTAATCATGAAATTATGACATGTGTGACCCCTTGCTTAGCATTTCTATCGGTCAAAAGTCTAACAACCACTACAACAAACCATCGGTAAATGTGAAATTTTATCGGTCTTTGACCGGTGACTGACGGCCATCTGAAGCCCTGCATGGGTAGGACAGCCCTGACAAGTAAAACCTCCGATTTTGGTTTTACAAACTCGGTACCAGCGACCGGTTTTACAATACTGAACAAGACCTCGTGTTTTATCCGTTAAGTAACAAATACTTTTTGCAGATAAGTGAAAATTAAAAAAATATTCTAACCTTGCTATGCTGGTAAAAAATTTGATGGATCAGATGGTCGGGCACAATAACTTGATTGATTGCATACCATGCTGGGTAGGTTACTTATTAGGGCAATCGACCCGTGAAGATCCGGGGTAGAGCAGGTCTTCAGCAGCCCATGCTTGCTGTAAAAGGCGACTATGCTTGTCGTAAGAGGCGACTATTGGGCCACTGGTCAGGCTCGCTGACTTGCTTGAAACATGTCATCGATCCCAATTGTGTGGATCGACTCTCATGATATCAATCACTGGATTGTCTGGTCCAGACTCGATTATTTACGGACCGCCGTTGTATAGCTGGAATATTGCTAGTGCGGCGTTTCACAAACCAACCAACCAACTATTAGGTCAATCACTTGTTTGGTCCACAAAGCTGGAATATTGCTGAGTGCACATGGTCCTTCTTATTGGCGTCCATTTAACGTATACTGGATTTATTTCAGGGCTTTATTCAGTTACAGGATGATGATTATGATGATATTCAAGATCATATCAGGTAGGATGCCTAGACTGGAAGCAGTCCCTTTTTCTAATATATATTGGAAAGTATAATGAAAAATCTGAGATATATCAGTGTTTGATATAAAATATGACAATCAAATCCGTTATCATTTTTATCATTATCATGTTTATTATTTCCTGGCTTTCAGATGGTTCATATGCTGTTCACAACTTAATAGCTTGTAACTAAAAGTGTTATCCTGTTCAACATTGATTATTTAAGTCAAGGGGCCCTGTTGTTAAAATATAGTCATTTAGGGGGCCCCTATCAGTCAAATGATATGACAACAAGCTACAGTTTCCCCTTAATTTCAAACACTGCTATACAACAGCAATAATGACTGAAATATGTTTTTGTTTTTAGTTGTAAATGTGTTGACAGATGTATATCTAGAAGTGTAATTAACATGTATTATAAATATATTGTTTTGGCTCAAACTCCAAATGTTTTTACCCGCGCTGGAAATAGGAGTTATGACACAAAGATGTTACATTTGGGAAATACAAATCGTCTATTACCGTATTCGACATAATAAGCGCCCAAGGCGCCCTCAAAATTAGAGATAGGGGGCTCTTATGAGCATTGATTAGAAAATGATTTTAGTGAGCAAAGAACAGAGTTGAAAGATCGTAAATTTCGTGGTTTATGCTGACAGTCTGAAATGATACAAAAGAAATGTCTGTGCATATTATACACGACAGATATATTTTCCAGAATTTAATTGCCCATACTTAAGGGTGCATCTAACACACGAGCGCATATTATACACGAATAAATAAGTCTTGTGTACATTGATCAATCAGAAGGGGTGCTAATTGGGATTGTTCACTAGTCAATATATTAAAAAATATTGCCGTGGGCGCTTATTAGAGCAGGGTGCTTATTACGTCGAATACGGTACATCATCTTCACACTAAAAAATCTTCATATTTGGTACAGAAGTCCTCTCTACTATCAACAATCCATAATTAGTTGTAGAAGTCAAAGTATCTTGCTGACCAAGTCTCTTGTGCATGCACAAGGCTGGTAACCTCATTTCTTTTCTGTGTGTTAGCAACAACATCAAAATATTTTGTCCAGCACTTATTGGTAGTTATCACACTGTAATTCACTTATCTTCAGTTGTTTACTCGTCACTAGTAGTTCCTGTTGAGAAGTTATAGATTTTTATTCACATAAGTAGTTAGGGGATGTGATGTGGGACCAGGATGCAGTCTCTGTTGTTGTCCTCTACCTGCAAGAAGTGCATCCATCTTGTGGTTGATGGGAACCGCAATTTAGTTAGCTTGAAGTGCAGAGATGTGAAGTGCTCTGAGAATGCTGTGTGCTCACACTGCTCCTCTCCCAGGGGCTTTTCATCAAGATGGCGGAATCATTGAAGAAAGCAAAGAGGAAGGTGGTGCCGAAGAAGACAGTTGAAGCCCTGACTTCACTTTCCACTAGTTCCTAGTCGTCAATGGAGTCTTTAAGACATGTCTCGGAGTCTCCATCCTCAAAATAATGCTTCCCCGATGATCATCATCAGCATCTTGGAGCAGCTTTTGAAGAGGCAACAGGCAGGCATGCAGTCAATGTTGGAGAATCGACTTAATCAAGCAGCAAACACGTTTCATGGCAGACTGAGAAGCATCCCCGGTGTAAAGTCTGAAACTTTACTCCCCCTTCAAAGTATACACGGGTAGATTCTGGGGCCTCCCAGAATCTACCCCCCTTTCCCAGAATCTACCCCCGGGGTAGATTCTTGGAGCTCCCAGAATCTACCCGGGTATACTCTGAAGGGGGGTAGATTTTGGCACCTTACACCGGGCCAAGAGACTACAAGGTGGACAGACTGAAATGGGGCCAAGTGTGAAAGACCAGGGAGACTCAGAGGTTGTCCATCTCCTCGAGGTCTGCACGGGCACCTGAGGATAACAACTCACAATCAAATTGTGCTGCCTCAGACAACTGGCCCAACTGGGACCCCATTTATCCCTATGCAAACCTTTCTTCTAAACGTACCACTTGTGGCAGTACCCAGTCTGTTCAGACCACACTCCGGCACAGTGGGGACATTCATAACAACTCTGCCACAGGCTCCATCACGTGATCAGACTTTTCTCTTGTTTGTAAACAAACGTGCTTATTCTGAAATCACAGCAGAATGGTTCAATGCATGGTTTTCAGTGCACTTTACATATTGTTTTGCATAATTATATAGATATGCTACTACAACTACGACAGTTAGGTGCATGACAATATATCTTTATGCATCAAAGAAGCCATATCACTAGCTCCAGCTGGGCTTTGATGACAGCACGTGGAGCTGTATAAGCACAGTTAACAAAGACACAAAAGGAAATAGTATACCACATTTAAGGATTTTTTCTCATTGAAAGTTAACCATTCTATGACATATGTTTAAAAATGACACTGATGAAACACATGCAATATCTGCAATGGACTGTGTGAGATGTGACTAATTGTCGCTTCGTGCTGGCCTGTGGCATGGAACTCTGGGTAGGAGAGTGAGTTCATATCTCGGTACAAACTTTTTGAATGTGATGATAAAGCTTCAGTTAAGTATAGTAATCTTGCGAAATCTTGCTAATGTAAATGCCTATTGGTTTTTCAGTTCATTTTTTGAGTCATTTACTCACATTGGGTATTGCATTTTTTTCTTTGCATAATGAATAAATTTACGCCAATGAGTAGACATTGTTTAAAAAATTCTGTTTAAATACTGTTTTTAGGTAACTTTAATATTCTTCTGTTCATGTGCTCCCCTGAATGTGTCAGATGTCGAATAGGCTAACACCAGCCATATATGTGTCAGTTACAAAATGAGAGAATTAGACTTTTGTGCGTTATTCACTGCAGTGGAGTTTATGGATAGTTGATGCCTGCATTTGATCGGTAAGTAAAGATGAGTAAAGATGAAAATGCCACATTAGGTAATTACACACAGCATTAGAATACTATTTTATCATCCAAAACTGGCTTCCACAGGAGATATGGCTCGAGTGAGATCAAGCGATATCTATACTGTAGATATCGCTGCAATGAAATTGCATCACAATGCTTTGCAGACCATTGTGACGTCATTGGTTATTACCATGACGTCACAATCAAATGACATCACATAGAGAATCTCATCCGAGTGTCTTTTGATATCAAATATATCAACTCGTGTTGATATATTTGATATCAAAAGACACTCGGATGAGATTCTCTATATGTTTTTGAAATTTAATTGGCTCATTGTGATTTATTGTGCCTATTTATGGGGCTGTGGTCTTATATATATATAAAAGCTCCCTGTTCTAGCTGTACACATGAGTGTCCTGGGGGCTGCACCGAGTCCGTGTCCCTGACGGCATTATGCACAGACTGTCAGGGCAACTACAGTTGGAACATTCAGAAAATAGGCTATGGACTGCTCCCTCAGCAGGTGTGGGAGAATCGTGCTGTGTCCTTCAGCAACAACGCAACACTGACTCTTCCTGGTGACTTCTTCAACCCTTTTGAAAGCTACAGCATCAACGTCTCAGGTTGGCTTTACTATGTAAAGGTTGGATCATATCTAGTTAAAACTTGACAAATTTCTGAAAGATGAAAGAACTGCTGGATCGTATCTAAAGAATAGCAGCATTTTTGATATAGACAAAGAAATCATATCAGTGTGAAAAAAGCTGATTTCATCAAAATGTAATAGAAATAACATCAATGTCACCCCAGAGAAGCGTGTGATCAAAGGTGTACTCAATTAAAATCTCAAAATCAATTTTCTCATTTTTTTTCATTCTCACGCACAAGTCTCAATGGGCGGACGTCCAAAATTACTCACGACCAAGGCAACCTACATCAACAGTTAAGACAACTGCTTGTTTAGGGAGGCGTGAAAATATTTATCTGGATAAGTTTTGGAACCTTTTACAAAGAGACAGAAGTCATGTACTTATCATATGGCCTCTCTTGTAAGGCCCAACATTTTTCTATTTTTCACAGGCCCACCACCCCTTCTGAAAAGCAGCCGGTCTAAGAAATAAATTAAACATAAAAATATTTATTTGTATTATGTCTCCCTCTAGTAATATCCCTCTTCTACAATATACAGTGTTATATATTAATTCTATGTCCACATCACTATCAGTGATTCAACCTGCAGTTGTAACTCCACAGTAGAATGACTTTCATATAAATAAATAAATCATTGACATTTATTTTTATTTTCATTTTTATTTCGACCGACCTTGAGTGGGAAAGCTGGAATAAATCTGTTTAACATAAAATTAAACAAGTGTAGTCTTCAGGTATCAATTAGATTTTCATCAAAAATGAAAAAAACTGTACTGCACAAATTTATTTTTTCCAATATTTAAACTATGATGTTCAAATGATCTGTGTAAAGTAACTGTTGAGGGAAGTGATTCAAATGAAACTTGAAATATAGATGGCATGTTGCATCAAGTAAAGAAAGAAGGTAACATACGTAGCAGATATCTTTATCTGACGTGAATCAGAAAATGTGAGGTTGGTGTTTGGTAGGCCTTTTGTTTTCATTAGTAGGTTTACGGATTCCCCACCCCCCCCACCCCCCACCAAAAAAATTCTGTGGCGACTCCTTTGTAGGAGAAACATCCAGGCCCCTACCCATTAGAATAAAAGAACACAAGACCTCAGTACAAAAAAATGACTCAAAATCAGCCATCTCCGACCACACCCAAACCCACCCCGATCACAACATCCAGTGGAACAACATCAAGATCCTGGCCAACAACCAATCAGACTACAAAATCAGGAAACTCCTAGAAGCCATCCACATCAAAAGGATCCAGCCAGCAATGAACAGAGACCAAGGCTATTACATCCCGCCTGCTTACCATCACCTAATTGCTCAATCCCTTTGTCCATCCAATTAATACAGTGGCTTCCATCATCTCCATCAGTTAGCTTGTTTACTCTGCTAGTATACTCTGTGTTCATCAGTCATCCACTGGCTTCCAATTAGCTTAATCACCTCTCTGTGCCCATCAACTAGTCACTGTAACAACTTAGATGTCAATAAGTGTATATATACCTATGTTGTTTAGCCCTAGCCCACGGTAATGAAAACGCCGATAAAGCAGCTAAACTATCCCTCAAAATCCCAGAAATAAGCTTAAACTTACCCATCTCAAAATCAGAAATTAAGAGTGTAAACAAGCAAAAAATCACAAAAAAATGGCATAACCTATATCTAAACTCAAACAGCCAAATCAAAAAAGTGCTCCGCAAACCACTAACCAAACCAAAAATTCTCCATCCATCCAAAAAAATCGACAGAGTAATCACTAAACTCCAAACAGGACACACCAACCTAAATAACCACCTAAAAAAATTTAAAAAACACACTACAGGTAACTGCCCACACTGCAAACAACCAGAAACCCCAGAACACGCACTCATCCACTGCACACACTACCTAACACATCGAACCGCATTACAAACCACCCTCAATCTAAACAAGGCTCTAACTCTAGAAGCAATACTAAACCCACAAAATAAACTAGAAAACTTCAAGGCCTTAGGCGTATTCTTAATAAAAACGGAACTAATAAAACGCATCTAAAAACACAATAACCTACCAAATCAAAATCACATAAACAAACAAACATCCACCATACCCAGCTCCCTTAGTTCTCCTCCCCCATCCCATCGGCATCTATTCCAAATCTCAAAATTCCCAAATTCTATATAAGCAACCCCTAAAACCCCCCTCTTGGGTTGCACAGACCACCTTCGCCCCTTTCGGAAACACATTAAATGGCCTGGCCGGGCCCGTGTGCGAAATACGCATCAGTCGGAAAGTGCACGTTAAATCTCCAAAGTAAGTAAGTAAGTAAGTAAGCCCTATCCATCACTTGCTTGATAAAGGTGTTAGGATCTACACCGAAACGTCGCACCAATTGTAATAAAGAAGTTGTTCATCCATAGAACTCGTCTTACTCTCTGTACTGCACATTATTGTACTGCAGATCGCTGGATTTGTAACAAACTAAAAGCAATAAAAGTCTAAGGCTTGCAGGTATGAAAGTAATTCATTTATTGGGATGTTATTGGTCAAAGGCACTTTTCCTGTGAAAGAAAATAGTCAAGGATGCTTAGAAGCATGTCATGTCATTAATTATTATTATCAGTGCATCCTGAAGTGCTAACGACACTGCATGGCACTGTAAGTATGAATAATAAGATATATTATATATCTACATATTCCTATGTTAAGATACTAAAATCAAAACAATAGTTATCATTGTTAATAATTCTAAGAATACTACCTCTATACACCAATGGGAAAGGTTGGTTCTGCCTCAAGTACACGTCTTGTGTCATTGACAGTAAATCCAGTAGACGTTTATCATACTAAATCTTGCAGTAGAATATTCAATCAATATGTGATGCCTTCTCTTGAATTACTGTTATATTGATGATTGTCTTATGATTGTCTTTGGTTCTTCTAAGACATCTTTAGTTTATTTTGATCCCGATATAGTCGTCACCTCGTCTGTCCATCCGTAGTCATTTTGTTTCCGGAGCACAACTCGAAGACTGTTAAATTTAAAAAAAAAATTAATTTGCAGATATATCAAACAGATCTCCTGAAGTGGTGCCTTTTGCTATTTATGGATTTTTGGCATTTGTATTTTTTTCGATTTCCATGGAAACAATTTGTACTTAGTCTCATTAGGGGGTGCATTTTGTTTCCGGAGCACATCTTATAAATCATGAAAGACTTTCATCCAAACCTCGTCATGTATTAACCAAGGGCTGCAGTGGTGCCTTTTGCTATTTAGGAATTTTCTAAATTTAATATTTTTCCGTTTCCCTGGAAACAAGTTAGACTTAGCTGAAACGGAGGTTGGTGTCGTCTCCAGATCAGATCTAAAAACTATTCAACATTTTTCATCGAAACTTCCGTTTGTAATAAGGCTGTGATGGCAAGGTCGGCTGCGTCTGACTTGTGATGGTGACAGTTACTGGGTACACCATGATAACAGTTTATAGGCCAGTGTTGCATGGCAGGAGTACTGTGCAGCATCAGGCAAAAAACCTTTACTTTTTGTTGAAATTGTGTGAGTGGCGGTGTAGGGCAGGGCTTGCTTACCCTCCCTCGAACACCTGGTATCATTGTCAAACAGCATCTGTTCCCGTTCCTGATTTTCGGTGATCCATTCATATAATTTTCACTATTATTTTGCATTTTAGCCCCAATGGAATCTGTTTCGGCAGAGAAACAATATTCCTTGATGTTGATGTGATATTTTAACCAACTTGAACTATATTTGGTAATCAATCCTGTTGCAGGTTCATATTTCTGGTTTACTGTGGAAGCAGTTTGCTTCATTTCATCAAACGGTATGAAGTTTTGTATCTTACATGTATGTAACAGCAACTGTAGCCTGAAGCCAAGGGATAGTAAAATGTCTTAGAAAAAGATCAGCTTATTCTATTCGGTATACAAAGACTAAAATCTACTGAAAATAATTCAGTATGCAATATGCAAGTTAAAATTTAAGTTAATTTAAATTGCAATCTACAGGCTTTCTTTTATTTATGTTTTAAGCAAACCTTTCACTTAATATTTTTAAATTGGCTTTTTTAAATTTCATTCCAGACAACAAAGTGTACATAACATCCGACAGCAACACCACCTCAGTCCCTGTAGACAGCTACATAACATTCCTGCTGCTGGTCAATGATTCCTCCTCTTCAGTGTCCGTGGACATTGGTGGACAGGACTCCTGCATCCCCAGCCTTCAGACTCTTACACCATCAGTCAGAAGTAGCTACCCTCTTTCTACCTTTCTGCTGTCTTCATCCACAGAGGGACTGACATATGCCTTGTTTGGGACACATTTGGGAAGGGGTGGCAACTTCATCATCAATGCATCAACAACTAGCCCCACACCCAGCCAGTCCCTAACATCACTGGATGTAGTGTATGAGAAGATTGATGTGGGACAGTGTACTAATGACACCATTGTGAATGGAACATCCAGGAGTATTCAAGCTGCCCCAGTGTACTTTAGAAGCCGTGATTTGTACTTTAGTCTGTACACTACAGTGTCCTGTGTGTTAACCTCCCAGAACTACCACTGGACAGTGGTGTCTTACAAAGAGGAGGATACCAGCATGTGTTATAGGGAGGAAGATTTTGAATCTGTCACCTTGGCTGCTGGCAGTGGGAACAGTGAGGTTCTTCACATCTCTGCAGGGGCTTTACCTCAGGGTTATTACAGAGTAGGCGTGACCTTTGAAAAACATGACTCCAATTCCTCTGTGGGCAGCAGAACTCTGTATGTGAGTAGTTTTCTTGTCACAAAATGCATGTTGCTTTGTATATTCTGTATGGAGGACTGTTAAGATAACCATGATTGTTTTTACATGGCTGCTAGTAATTCTTTCAAACTAGCTGGACTTGATGAACCTGTTAATGTGATTGAACATCAGAAGCAATGTACCAGCTGACCATAATGTTCAAATGTTGCCAAACTTTTTCTCAACATTGGAAAGTAGCTTCTCATGTCAATGTCATTGAAAGTTGATGACTCCCTGCTTATTTGCTTTCTAATGTAAGTTGAATGTTGATGGCTTCCTGTCTGTTAGCTTCATAATGTAAGTTGAATGTTGATGGCTTCCTGTTTCCTTGATTATGTAAGTTGAATGTTGATGGCTTCCTGTTTCCTTGATTATGTAAGTTGAATGTTGATGGCTTCCTGTTTCCTTGATTATGTAAGTTGAATGTTGATGGCTTCCTGTTTCCTTGATTATGTAAGTTGAATGTTGATGGCTTCCTCTCTGTTTCCTTCCTGATGTAAGTTGAATGTTGATGGCATCCTGTTTGTTTGCTTTGTAATGTATGTTGAATGTTGATGGCATCCTGTTTGTTTGCTTTGTAATGTATGTTGAATGTTGAAGGCTTCCTGTATGTAAGCTTCCTGATGTAAGTTGAATGTTGATGGCTTCCTGTTTCCTTCCTGATGTATGTTGAATGTTGATGGCTTCCTGTTTCCTTCATTATGTAAGTTGAATGTTGATGGCTTCCTGTTTCCTTCCTGATGCATGTTGAATGTTGATGGCTTCCTGTTTCCTTCATTATGTAAGTTGAATGTTGATGGCTTTCTGTTTGATTGCTTCCTAATGTAAGTCGAATATTGATGGCGTAATTGCTTTTAATTTTCTTCATTCCAGGGTTTCCTGCAGGTTGTAAATGAGCCCCTTGTTGTCGTAATGTCCCCCAGCGTCACACATCTGGCCCATGATAGAAATCTCCCTCTTGTCCTTAATGCCAGTGCCAGCTACAACCCCAACGTGGGCCTTCCCACTACAATCAGGTATTGTTCTTTGTACACAACTTTGTCAAACACAGTATGTGAAGATGCATCACTTTTGTTTGATTACTTATTTCACCTGAATAAGAAAACACAAACTATATGTGAAAGATATAGAACGTAAGTTGAGGCTCCAGCATGCACAGTGTCATTAATCCCGTTTTAGAAAGATGGTCTTTCTGTCCTTCTTTTCACTTCTTTCTTTGGACACTCATTACCAGTGTGTGTGATTGTGTCAATACATATAAACAAGGCTACCTCACTGATTTACGAAAGACAAACTACTTATGGCAAGAAGCATTAAGTAACACTTATTCAGTGTCTGCATCTTGTGGTGAAATTATTACTCTGATGTTTACTTTCACATCTGATATTTTGAATGAACAGTTTTACTTTTTGGTAGAATTCCTTTGAACTCCCTTTATATATGACTATCATATTAATCTGAATTTAAATCTGTATGAAATTAATTGTGTATACTGAAGATATTTCAGTTATGTTTATTTTGTATTTTGAATGGTTGTTGTCGGTTATTCCATAAATTCTGATCGACCGCACTTAATGTAACATTTGAAACCAAACACTGCACTTTCGATTCCAAATTCCATTTAGTGCAGTTAAATCTAAAGGTAACCTAGCTCTACATTGAAAACAGTATATTTATCTCCTAATTGTGTATGCCGAAGATATTTCAGTGATGGCTTGATCTGCGACTGCTTTTCTTCAGGTATTCCTGGTATTGCCAAATAGACGGTCAGCCGTGTGATTGTGTGCCTAAAATGTGGCCTGGTGTCGGAAATGACACTCAAATAATTCCTTTCACAGGTAGGATGTGCCAAACAATGTTTAGACTCTGGTGACAAGTTTGAATATTTAGTAGTTTTTCAGGATAAATTACCCAATTTTCAAAGTCAGATCACTTATAAAATTGTTGTCTTCCAGAAATGCTCTGAAAATTCTCTTCAGAACTGTAATATAAGATGGCATGATAAACTACATTGTTTGCAGATTTTCCCAACCATAAGGAGGTGTAGTTTTGTTCAAGATTTCAATTTAGATAATATTGAAATTATAACAATATTTGATTAAAGAAGAAAACAGATTTTCTCAGAGAATATTAACATTCATGCTGAAAAGGTTTGAGGCGTGAAATAAGTATTAAAACACATTTGTAATACATCCTGTTTGCTTTCTGTTCAGAACCAGTACTGAGGATGGAAGGACGATATTTGACTGCAGGTCAGAACTACTCCTTCACTATGACCCTAGACTCGGACAATGTGACCGGGGGCAACCACACTGTCCTGGTGGCGGTCAGTGGTGTTGTCAGCATGCAACTGCAGATCAAGTAAGAACAGATATGCCAATAACAGGTTGTCATTGAATAATGGCATGCACGCACGTACCATGTTTCATGTTAAGCTGAGACTGACTGATACAACAAAACAAGCCGTAGCACTGTAAACATTTAATATGTCCACTATTGCTGGTGGGATGTCTGTAGATTTGCGGGAAAATATAATCATTTCCACTTCAGCTGTACATCAGGGTGTGGGGACGATTCTACAGAGCCTGTGACCCTGACAGTAGCCTGCACTGACTGTGACGGACTGGGCAGTGTCACCTACACATGGGACATACACAAAGGCCAAGTCGGGGTGCTGCCTCCTCAGATGTGGGAGGGTCATGCTGTGTTGAACAGCGACAAAACAACACTGAATTTACCTGGACACTTCTTCAACCCATTTGAGCTCTACAACATCAGCATCACAGGTGAAAACAGTATCTGTTGATGTTGGAACAGGCAACATATTACTCAATGTAGTCTCACAAGAGATGTGTTAAGCTTCATCTCAAACATGTTCATGCTGACTAGGGGTCACATGTGACTCCTAACCTAAGGTGCTGCAATTCCCTGCCTCACTTTGGCATGCCAGAAAGCTAGGATCACAAGTGTGAATGCTAGATTCTCCCTGATCCAGTAACCTTGAGTTCTACAAAAGTGGAATATATGTTAGGCCTGGATCACTGCAGGCTTTCCTCCCTGCTCTCATAACCCCAAAATAAGTGAAATACTATGTAAAGCTGTGTTAAACCAAACTCACGTTGACTAAATAAATGAAACTTTATCGGTGTATTTATCCTATTTATCAGAGAAACTGTGACACATGTTGGTTAATTATCTATTGATGAAACTTTTATTTCAGCCCTAACCAATGCTTCATCTGAGGGGTCTGCTGTCCACATGATGCCAGTCAGGGGTAGGTGTCGATCAGTGCCATCTTGGCATGTACCCAGTGGGGTACCAGGGCAGGGTAGGTCCCCAGAGCTGACTTGATATGGAGGGGCTACAGTATAACCTTGCTGATAGGGTATCATCATCCCCTGTGTTAGTTGTTGTTGGTGCTATCAACCATTTGTTTACCTGACCAAGACTGCCTGGAATAATGCTGACCACATCACAAAACAACATTCACTTTCCCAAACAGGCAGGAATTGAAGATGTATCCCTTTTAGGATACCTTTAACATTAGCAAATTGGTCCGGACTCGCCAGATAGTGCTAATTCCTATCCCTGTGAAATACAAGGAAGGTCACGCCGGTTCGAAACATGTCCTTGCATTGTGTGTTGGTTGGGTTCCACAACTTCTGTTTTGTTGTTTCATTAGCATTGATGTAATGGTTGTATGATTTGTTTGTTCTTTTCGCAAAGCTCTGTAAGTTTTAGGGGATGTGTGGGCATATGTCTCAAAACTAAAGAAATAAATGTTTTTCCCACATAGCATCCATATTGGCATGATATTTTCATTCCAGAGGACCAAGTATACATAACATCCGACAGCAACACCACCTCAGTCCCTGTAGACAGCTACATAACATTCCTGCTGCTGGTCAATGATTCCTCCTCTTCAATGTCGGTGGACATTGGTGGACAGGACTCCTGCATCCCCAGCCTTCATACTCTTACACCATCAGTCAGAAGTAGCTACCCTCTTTCTACCTTTCTGCTGTCTTCATCCACAGAGGGACTGACATATGCCTTGTTTGGGACACATTTGGGAAGGGGTGGCAACTTCATCATCAATGCATCAACAACTAGCCCCACACCCAGCCAGTCCCTAACATCACTGGATGTAGTGTATGAGAAGATTGATGTGGGACAGTGTACTAATGACACCATTGTGAATGGAACATACAGGAGTATTCAAGCTGCCCCAGTGTACTTTAGAAGCCGTGATTTGTACTTTAGTCTGTACACTACAGTGTCCTGTGTGTTAACCTCCCAGAACTACCACTGGACAGTGGTGTCTTACAAAGAGGAGGATACCAGCATGTGTTATAGGGAGGAAGATTTTGAATCTGTCACCTTGGCTGCTGGCAGTGGGAACAGTGAGGTTCTTCACATCTCTGCAGGGGCTTTACCTCAGGGTTATTACAGAGTAGGCATGACCTTTGAAAAACATGACTCCAATTCCTCTGTGGGCAGCAGAACTCTGTATGTGAGTAGTTTTCTTGTCACAAAATGCATGTTGCTTTGTATATTCTGTATGGAGGACTGTTAAGATAACCATGATTGTTTTTACATGGCTGCTAGTAATTCTTTCAAACTAGCTGGACTTGATGAACCTGTTAATGTGATTGAACATCAGAAGCATAGTACCAGCTGACCATAATGTTCAAATGTTGCCAAACTTTTTCTCAACATTGGAAAGTAGCTTCTCATGTCAATGTCATTGAAAGTTGATGACTCCCTGCTTATTTGCTTTCTAATGTAAGTTGAATGTTGATGGCTTCCTGTCTGTTAGCTTCATAATGTAAGTTGAATGTTGATGGCTTCCTGTTTCCTTGATTATGTAAGTTGAATGTTGATGGCTTCCTGTTTCCTTGATTATGTAAGTTGAATGTTGATGGCTTCCTCTCTGTTTCCTTCCTGATGTAAGTTGAATGTTGATGGCATCCTGTTTGTTTGCTTTGTAATGTATGTTGAATGTTGATGGCATCCTGTTTGTTTGCTTTGTAATGTATGTTGAATGTTGAAGGCTTCCTGTATGTAAGCTTCCTGATGTAAGTTGAATGTTGATGGCTTCCTGTTTCCTTCCTGATGTATGTTGAATGTTGATGGCTTCCTGTTTCCTTCATTATGTAAGTTGAATGTTGATGGCTTCCTGTTTCCTTCATTATGTAAGTTGAATGTTGATGGCTTCCTGTTTCCTTCCTGATGCATGTTGAATGTTGATGGCTTCCTGTTTCCTTCATTATGTAAGTTGAATGTTGATGGCTTTCTGTTTGATTGCTTCCTAATGTAAGTCGAATATTGATGGCGTAATTGCTTTTAATTTTCTTCATTCCAGGGTTTCCTGCAGGTTGTAAATGAGCCCCTTGTTGTCGTAATGTCCCCCAGCGTCACACATCTGGCCCATGATAGAAATCTCCCTCTTGTCCTTAATGCCAGTGCCAGCTACAACCCCAACGTGGGCCTTCCCACTACAATCAGGTATTGTTCTTTGTACACAACTTTGTCAAACACAGTATGTGAAGATGCATCACTTTTGTTTGATTACTTATTTCACCTGAATAAGAAAACACAAACTATATGTGAAAGATATAGAACGTAAGTTGAGGCTCCAGCATGCACAGTGTCATTAATCCCGTTTTAGAAAGATGGTCTTTCTGTCCTTCTTTTCACTTCTTTCTTTGGACACTCATTACCAGTGTGTGTGATTGTGTCAATACATATAAACAAGGCTACCTCACTGATTTACGAAAGACAAACTACTTATGGCAAGAAGCATTAAGTAACACTTATTCAGTGTCTGCATCTTGTGGTGAAATTATTACTCTGATGTTTACTTTCACATCTGATATTTTGAATGAACAGTTTTACTTTTTGGTAGAATTCCTTTGAACTCCCTTTATATATGACTATCATATTAATCTGAATTTAAATCTGTATGAAATTAATTGTGTATACTGAAGATATTTCAGTTATGTTTATTTTGTATTTTGAATGGTTGTTGTCGGTTATTCCATAAATTCTGATCGACCGCACTTAATGTAACATTTGAAACCAAACACTGCACTTTCGATTCCAAATTCCATTTAGTGCAGTTAAATCTAAAGGTAACCTAGCTCTACATTGAAAACAGTATATTTATCTCCTAATTGTGTATGCCGAAGATATTTCAGTGATGGCTTGATCTGCGACTGCTTTTCTTCAGGTATTCCTGGTATTGCCAAATAGACGGTCAGCCGTGTGATTGTGTGCCTAAAATGTGGCCTGGTGTCGGAAATGACACTCAAATAATTCCTTTCACAGGTAGGATGTGCCAAACAATGTTTAGACTCTGGTGACAAGTTTGAATATTTAGTAGTTTTTCAGGATAAATTACCCAATTTTCAAAGTCAGATCACTTATAAAATTGTTGTCTTCCAGAAATGCTCTGAAAATTCTCTTCAGAACTGTAATATAAGATGGCATGATAAACTACATTGTTTGCAGATTTTCCCAACCATAAGGAGGTGTAGTTTTGTTCAAGATTTCAATTTAGATAATATTGAAATTATAACAATATTTGATTAAAGAAGAAAACAGATTTTCTCAGAGAATATTAACATTCATGCTGAAAAGGTTTGAGGCGTGAAATAAGTATTAAAACACATTTGTAATACATCCTGTTTGCTTTCTGTTCAGAACCAGTACTGAGGATGGAAGGACGATATTTGACTGCAGGTCAGAACTACTCCTTCACTATGACCCTAGACTCGGACAATGTGACCGGGGGCAACCACACTGTCCTGGTGGCGGTCAGTGGTGTTGTCAGCATGCAACTGCAGATCAAGTAAGAACAGATATGCCAATAACAGGTTGTCATTGAATAATGGCATGCACGCACGTACCATGTTTCATGTTAAGCTGAGACTGACTGATACAACAAAACAAGCCGTAGCACTGTAAACATTTAATATGTCCACTATTGCTGGTGGGATGTCTGTAGATTTGCGGGAAAATATAATCATTTCCACTTCAGCTGTACATCAGGGTGTGGGGACGATTCTACAGAGCCTGTGACCCTGACAGTAGCCTGCACTGACTGTGACGGACTGGGCAGTGTCACCTACACATGGGACATACACAAAGGCCAAGTCGGGGTGCTGCCTCCTCAGATGTGGGAGGGTCATGCTGTGTTGAACAGCGACAAAACAACACTGAATTTACCTGGACACTTCTTCAACCCATTTGAGCTCTACAACATCAGCATCACAGGTGAAAACAGTATCTGTTGATGTTGGAACAGGCAACATATTACTCAATGTAGTCTCACAAGAGATGTGTTAAGCTTCATCTCAAACATGTTCATGCTGACTAGGGGTCACATGTGACTCCTAACCTAAGGTGCTGAAATTCCCTGCCTCACTTTGGCATGCCAGAAAGCTAGGATCACAAGTGTGAATGCTAGATTCTCCCTGATCCAGTAACCTTGAGTTCTACAAAAGTGGAATATATGTTAGGCCTGGATCACTGCAGGCTTTCCTCCCTGCTCTCATAACCCCAAAATAAGTGAAATACTATGTAAAGCTGTGTTAAACCAAACTCACGTTGACTAAATAAATGAAACTTTATCGATGTATTTATCCTATTTATCAGAGAAACTGTGACACATGTTTGTTAATTATCTATTGATGAAACTTTTATTTCAGCCCTAACCAATGCTTCATCTGAGGGGTCTGCTGTCCACATGATGCCAGTCAGGGGTAGGTGTCGATCAGTGCCATCTTGGCATGTACCCAGTGGGGTACCAGGGCAGGGTAGGTCCCCAGAGCTGACTTGATATGGAGGGGCTACAGTATAACCTTGCTGATAGGGTATCATCATCCCCTGTGTTAGTTGTTGTTGGTGCTATCAACCATTTGTTTACCTGACCAAGACTGCCTGGAATAATGCTGACCACATCACAAAACAACATTCACTTTCCCAAACAGGCAGGAATTGAAGATGTATCCCTTTTAGGATACCTTTAACATTAGCAAATTGGTCCGGACTCGCCAGATAGTGCTAATTCCTATCCCTGTGAAATACAAGGAAGGTCACGCCGGTTCGAAACATGTCCTTGCATTGTGTGTTGGTTGGGTTCCACAACTTCTGTTTTGTTGTTTCATTAGCATTGATGTAATGGTTGTATGATTTGTTTGTTCTTTTCGCAAAGCTCTGTAAGTTTTAGGGGATGTGTGGGCATATGTCTCAAAACTAAAGAAATAAATGTTTTTCCCACATAGCATCCATATTGGCATGATATTTTCATTCCAGAGGACCAAGTATACATAACATCCGACAGCAACACCACCTCAGTCCCTGTAGACAGCTACATAACATTCCTGCTGCTGGTCAATGATTCCTCCTCTTCAATGTCGGTGGACATTGGTGGACAGGACTCCTGCATCCCCAGCCTTCATACTCTTACACCATCAGTCAGAAGTAGCTACCCTCTTTCTACCTTTCTGCTGTCTTCATCCACAGAGGGACTGACATATGCCTTGTTTGGGACACATTTGGGAAGGGGTGGCAACTTCATCATCAATGCATCAACAACTAGCCCCACACCCAGCCAGTCCCTAACATCACTGGATGTAGTGTATGAGAAGATTGATGTGGGACAGTGTACTAATGACACCATTGTGAATGGAACATCCAGGAGTATTCAAGCTGCCCCAGTGTACTTTAGAAGCCGTGATTTGTACTTTAGTCTGTACACTACAGTGTCCTGTGTGTTAACCTCCCAGAACTACCACTGGACAGTGGTGTCTTACAAAGAGGAGGATACCAGCATGTGTTATAGGGAGGAAGATTTTGAATCTGTCACCTTGGCTGCTGGCAGTGGGAACAGTGAGGTTCTTCACATCTCTGCAGGGGCTTTACCTCAGGGTTATTACAGAGTAGGCATGACCTTTGAAAAACATGACTCCAATTCCTCTGTGGGCAGCAGAACTCTGTATGTGAGTAGTTTTCTTGTCACAAAATGCATGTTGCTTTGTATATTCTGTATGGAGGACTGTTAAGATAACCATGATTGTTTTTACATGGCTGCTAGTAATTCTTTCAAACTAGCTGGACTTGATGAACCTGTTAATGTGATTGAACATCAGAAGCATAGTACCAGCTGACCATAATGTTCAAATGTTGCCAAACTTTTTCTCAACATTGGAAAGTAGCTTCTCATGTCAATGTCATTGAAAGTTGATGACTCCCTGCTTATTTGCTTTCTAATGTAAGTTGAATGTTGATGGCTTCCTGTCTGTTAGCTTCATAATGTAAGTTGAATGTTGATGGCTTCCTGTTTCCTTGATTATGTAAGTTGAATGTTGATGGCTTCCTGTTTCCTTGATTATGTAAGTTGAATGTTGATGGCATCCTGTTTGTTTGCTTTGTAATGTATGTTGAATGTTGATGGCATCCTGTCTGTTTGCTTTGTAATGTATGTTGAATGTTGAAGGCTTCCTGTATGTAAGCTTCCTGATGTAAGTTGAATGTTGATGGCTTCCTGTTTCCTTCCTGATGTATGTTGAATGTTGATGGCTTCCTGTTTCCTTCATTATGTAAGTTGAATGTTGATGGCTTCCTGTTTCCTTCCTGATGTATGTTGAATGTTGATGGCTTCCTGTTTTCTTCATTATGTAAGTTGTATGTTGATGGCTTTCTGTTTGATTGCTTCCTAATGTAAGTCGAATATTGATGGCGTAATTATGTCTCCCCCAGAATGGAGGGAGACATACTGTTTTTGGCACGGTTCCCGTCAGCGTCGGCGTTCCCACCGTGTCCGGACCATAACTCAGAAACCGTTTAATATTTTTTCGCGAAACTTTGTATACACATTAACCCAGCACTGAAGTGGTGCCTTTTGCTATTTAGAGATTTTTGACATTTTTATATCTTCTCGTTTACATGGAGATAACTTGAACATAGACTCTGAATGGGGGTAAGCTTGGTTTCCTGACCATAACTCGGAAACCGTTTAATATTTCTTGCGAAACTTTGTATACACGTTAACCCAGCACTGAAGTGGTGCCTTTTGCTATTTAGAGATTTTTGACATTTTTATTTCTTCTCGTTTCCATGGAGATAAGTTGAACATAGGCTCTGAATGGGGGTAAGCTTGGTTTCCTGACCATAACTCAGAAACCGTTTAATATTTTTTCGCGAAACTTTGTATACACATTAACCCAGCACTGAAGTGGTGCCTTTTGCTATTTAGAGATTTTTGACATTTTTATTTTTTCTCGTTTCCATGGAGATAACTTGAACATAGACTCTGAATGGGGGTAAGCTTGGTTTCCGGACCATAACTCGGAAACCGTTTAATATTTTTTCGCGAAACTTTGTATACACATTAACCCAGCACTGAAGTGGTGCCGATTAGTTGTTTGAAATTTCTAGGAATTCTATTTTTGTCTCTGTTATTTAGTAATGGAGGGTGGGAATGAAGAGATGGGGTTTAACGTGAAGTAAACGAATGAATGGGGGTTAGGGGAGTGGGGGGAGACATATGTTTTTACGAGTAAAAACACTTTCTAGTTGCTTTTAATTTTCTTCATTCCAGGGTTTCCTGCAGGTTGTAAATGAGCCCCTTGTTGTCGTAATGTCCCCCAGCGTCACACATCTGGCCCATGATAGAAATCTCCCTCTTGTCCTTAATGCCAGTGCCAGCTACAACCCCAACGTGGGCCTTCCCACTACAATCAGGTATTGTTCTTTGTACACAACTTTGTCAAACACAGTATGTGAAGATGCATCACTTTTGTTTGATTACTTATTTCACCTGAATAAGAAAACACAAACTATATGTGAAAGATATAGAACGTAAGTTGAGGCTCCAGCATGCACAGTGTCATTAATCCCGTTTTAGAAAGATGGTCTTTCTGTCCTTCTTTTCACTTCTTTCTTTGGACACTCATTACCAGTGTGTGTGATTGTGTCAATACATAAACAAGGCTACCTCACTGATTTACGAAAGACAAACTACTTATGGCAAGAAGCATTAAGTAACACTTATTCAGTGTCTGCATCTTGTGGTGAAATTATTACTCTGATGTTTACTTTCACATCTGATATTTTGAATGAACAGTTTTACTTTTTGGTAGAATTCCTTTGAACTCCCTTTATATATGACTATCATATTAATCTGAATTTAAATCTGTATGAAATTAATTGTGTATACTGAAGATATTTCAGTTATGTTTATTTTGTATTTTGAATGGTTGTTGTCGGTTATTCCATAAATTCTGATCGACCGCACTTAATGTAACATTTGAAACCAAACACTGCACTTTCGATTCCAAATTCCATTTAGTGCGGTTAAATCTAAAGGTAACCTAGCTCTACATTGAAAACAGTATATTTATCTCCTAATTGTGTATGCCGAAGATATTTCAGTGATGGCTTGATCTGCGACTGCTTTTCTTCAGGTATTCCTGGTATTGCCAAATAGACGGTCAGCCGTGTGATTGTGTGCCTAAAATGTGGCCTGGTGTCGGAAATGACACTCAAATAATTCCTTTCACAGGTAGGATGTGCCAAACAATGTTTAGACTCTGGTGACAAGTTTGAATATTTAGTAGTTTTTCAGGATAAATTACCCAATTTTCAAAGTCAGATCACTTATAAAATTGTTGTCTTCCAGAAATGCTCTGAAAATTCTCTTCAGAACTGTAATATAAGATGGCATAATAAACTACATTGTTTGCAGATTTTCCCAACCATAAGGAGGTGTAGTTTTGTTCAAGATTTCAATTTAAATAATATTGAAATTATAACAATATTTGATTAAAGAAGAAAACAGATTTTCTCAGAGAATATTAACATTCATGCTGAAAAGGTTTGAGGCGTGAAATAAGTATTAAAACACATTTGTAATACATCCTGTTTGCTTTCTGTTCAGAACCAGTACTGAGGATGGAAGGACGATATTTGACTGCAGGTCAGAACTACTCCTTCACTATGACCCTAGACTCGGACAATGTGACCGGGGGCAACCACACTGTCCTGGTGGCGGTCAGTGGTGTTGTCAGCATGCAACTGCAGATCAAGTAAGAACAGATATGCCAATAACAGGTTGTCATTGAATAATGGCATGCACACACGTACCATGTTTCATGTTAAGCTGAGACTGACTGATACAACAAAACAAGCCGTAGCACTGTAAACAATTAATATGTCCACTATTGCTGGTGGGTCGTCTGTAGATTTGCTGGAAAATATAATCATTTCCACTTCAGCTGTACATCAGGGTGTGGGGACGATTCTACAGAGCCTGTGACCCTGACAGTAGCCTGCACTGACTGTGACGGACTGGGCAGTGTCACCTACACATGGGACATACACAAAGGCCAAGTCGGGGTGCTGCCTCCTCAGATGTGGGAGGGTCATGCTGTGTTGAACAGCGACAAAACAACACTGACTTTACCTGGACACTTCTTCAACCCATTTGAGCTCTACAACATCAGCGTCACAGGTGAAAACAGTATCTGTTGATGTTGGAACAGGCAACATATTACTCAATGTAGTCTCACAAGAGATGTGTTAAGCTTCATCTCAAACATGTTCATGCTGACTAGGGGTCACAGGTGACTCCTTACCTAAGGTGCTGAAATTCCCTTCATCACTTTGGCATGCCAGAAAGCTAGGATCACGAGTGTGAATCCTAGATTCTCCCTGATCCAGTAACCGTGAGTTCTACAAAAGTGGAATATATGTTAGGCCTGGATCACTGCAGGCTTTCCTTCCTGCTCTCATAACCCCAAAATAAGTTAAATACTATGTAAAGCTGTGTTAAACCAAACTCACGTTGACTGAATATATGAAACTTTATCGGTGTATTTATCCTGTTTATCAGAGAAACTGTGACACATGTTGGTTAATTATCTATTGATGAAACTTTTATTTCAGCCCTAACCAATGCTTCATCTGAGGGGTCTGCTGTCCACATGATGCCAGTCAGGGGTAGGTGTCGATCAGTGCCATCTTGGCATGTACCCAGTGGGGTACCAGGGCAGGGTAGGTCCCCAGAGCTGACTTGATATGGAGGGGCTACAGTATAACCTTGCTGATAGGGTATCATCATCCCCTGTGTTAGTTGTTGTTGGTGCTATCAACCATTTGTTTACCTGACCAAGACTGCCTGGAATAATGCTGACCACATCACAAAACAACATTCACTTTCCCAAACAGGCAGGAATTGAAGATGTATCCCTTTTAGGATACCTTTAACATTAGCAAATTGGTCCGGACTCGCCAGATAGTGCTAATTCCTATCCCTGTGAAATACAAGGAAGGTCACGCCGGTTCGAAACATGTCCATGCATTGTGTGTTGGTTGGGTTCCACAACTTCTGTTTTGCTGTTTCATTAGCATTGATGTAATGGTTGTATGATTTGTTTGTTCTTTTCGCAAAGCTCTGTAAGTTTTAGGGGATGTGTGGGCATATGTCTCAAAACTAAAGAAATAAATGTTTTTCCCACATAGCATCCATATTGGCATGATATTTTCATTCCAGAGGACAAAGTATACATAACATCCGACAGCAACACCACCTCAGTCCCTGTAGACAGCTACATAACATTCCTGCTGCTGGTCAATGATTCCTCCTCTTCAGTGTCAGTGGACATTGGTGGACAGGACTCCTGCATCCCCAGCCTTCAAACTCTTACACCATCAGTCAGAAGTAGCTACCCTCTTTCTACCTTTCTGCTGTCTTCATCCACAGAGGGACTGACATATGCCTTGTTTGGGACACATTTGGGAAGGGGTGGCAACTTCATCATCAATGCATCAACAACTAGCCCCACACCCAGCCAGTCCCTAACATCACTGGATGTAGTGTATGAGAAGATTGATGTGGGACAGTGTACTAATGACACCATTGTGAATGGAACATCCAGGAGTATTCAAGCTGCCCCAGTGTACTTTAGAAGCCGTGATTTGTACTTTAGTCTGTACAGTACAGTGTCCTGTGTGTTAACCTCCCAGAACTACCACTGGACAGTGGTGTCTTACAAAGAGGAGGATACCAGCATGTGTTATAGGGAGGAAGATTTTGAATCTGTCACCTTGGCTGCTGGCAGTGGGAACAGTGAGGTTCTTCACATCTCTGCAGGGGCTTTACCTCAGGGTTATTACAGAGTAGGCATGACCTTTGAAAAACATGACTCCAATTCCTCTGTGGGCAGCAGAACTCTGTATGTGAGTAGTTTTCTTGTCACAAAATGCATGTTGCTTTGTATATTCTGTATGGAGGACTGTTAAGATAACCATGATTGTTTTTACATGGCTGCTAGTAATTCTTTCAAACTAGCTGGACTTGATGAACCTGTTAATGTGATTGAACATCAGAAGCAATGTACCAGCTGACCATAATGTTTAAATGTTGCCAAACTTTTTCTCAACATTGGAAAGTAGCTTCTCATGTCAATGTCATTGAAAGTTGTCGACTCCCTGCTTATTTGCTTTCTAATGTAAGTTGAATGTTGATGGCTTCCTGTCTGTTAGCTTCATAATGTAAGTTGAATGTTGATGGCTTCCTGTTTCCTTGATTATGTAAGTTGAATGTTGATGGCTTCCTGTTTCCTTGATTATGTAAGTTGAATGTTGATGGCTTCCTGTTTCCTTGATTATGTAAGTTGAATGTTGATGGCTTCCTCTCTGTTTCCTTCCTGATGTAAGTTGAATGTTGATGGCATCCTGTTTGTTTGCTTTGTAATGTATGTTGAATGTTGATGGCATCCTGTTTGTTTGCTTTGTAATGTATGTTGAATGTTGATGGCTTCCTGTTTCCTTCCTGATGTATGTTGAATGTTGATGGCTTCCTGTTTCCTTCATTATGTAAGTTGAATGTTGATGGCTTCCTGTTTCCTTCCTGATGTATGTTGAATGTTGATGGCTTCCTGTTTTCTTCATTATGTAAGTTGAATGTTGATGGCTTTCTGTTTGATTGCTTCCTAATGTAAGTCGAATATTGATGGCGTAATTATGTCTCCCCCAGAATGGAGGGAGACATATTGTTTTTGGCACGGTTCCCGTCGGCGTTGGCGTCGGTGTTCCCACAGTTTCGGGACCATAACTCAGAAACCGTTTAATATTTTTTCGCGAAACTTTGTATACACATTAACCCAGCACTGAAGTGGTGCCTTTTGCTATTTAGAGATTTTTGACATTTTTATTTCTTCTCGTTTCCATGGAGATAAGTTGAACATAGGCTCTGAATGGGGGTAAGCTTTGTTTCCTGACCATAACTCAGAAACCGTTTAATATTATTTCGCGAAACTTTGTATACACATTAACCCAGCACTGAAGTGGTGCCTTTTGCTATTTAGAGATTTTTGACATTTTTATTTCTTCTCATTCCATGGAGATAACTTGAACATAGACTCTGAATGGGGGTAAGCTTGGTTTCCGGACCATAACTCGGAAACCGTTTAATATTTTTTCGCGAAACTTTGTATACACATTAACCCAGCACTTAAGTGGTGCCTTTTGCTATTTAGAGATTTTTGACATTTTTATTTTTTCTCGTTTCCATGGAGATAAGTTGAACATAGGCTCTGAATGGGGGAAGCTTTGTTTCCTGACCATAACTCAGAAACCGTTTAATATTTTTTCGCGAAACTTTGTATACACATTAACCCAGCACTGAAGTGGTGCCTTTTGCTATTTAGAGATTTTTGACATTTTTATTTTTTCTCGTTTCCATGGAGATAACTTGAACATAGACTCTGAATGGGGGTAAGCTTGGTTTCCGGACCATAACTCGGAAACCGTTTAATATTTTTTCGCAAAACTTTGTATACACATTAACCCAGCACTGAAGTGGTGCCGATTAGTTGTTTGAAATTTCTAGGAGTTCTATTTTTGTCTCTGTTATTTAGTAATGGAGGGTGGGAATGAAGAGATGGGGTTTAACGTGAAGTAAACGAATGAATGGGGGTTAGGGGAGTGGGGGGAGACATATGTTTTTACGAGTAAAAACACTTTCTAGTTGCTTTTAATTTTCTTCATTCCAGGGTTTCCTGCAGGTTGTAAATGAGCCCCTTGTTGTCGTAATGTCCCCCAGCGTCTCACATCTGGCCCATGATAGAAATCTCCCTCTTGTCCTTAATGCCAGTGCCAGCTACAACCCCAACGTGGGCCTTCCCACTACAATCAGGTATTGTTCTTTGTACACAACTTTGTCAAACACAGTATGTGAAGATGCATCACTTTTGTTTGATTACTTATTTCACCTGAATAAGAAAACACAAACTATATGTGAAAGATATAGAACGTAAGTTGAGGCTCCAGCATGCACAGTGTCATTAATCCCGTTTTAGAAAGATGGTCTTTCTGTCCTTCTTTTCACTTCTTTCTTTGGACACTCATTACCAATGTGTGTGATTGTGTCAATACATAAACAAGGCTACCTCAGTGATTTACGAAAGACAAACTACTTATGGCAAGAAGCATTAAGTAACACTTATTCAGTGTCTGCATCTTGTGGTGAAATTATTACTCTGATGTTTACTTTCACATCTGATATTTTGAATGAACAGTTTTACTTTTTGGTAGAATTCCTTTGAACTCCCTTTATATATGACTATCATATTAATCTGAATTTAAATCTGTATGAAATTAATTGTGTATACTGAAGATATTTCAGTTATGTTTATTTTGTATTTTGAATGGTTGTTGTCGGTTATTCCATAAATTCTGATCGACCGCACTTAATGTAACATTTGAAACCCAACACTACACTTTCGATTCCAAATTCCATTTAGTGCGGTTAAATCTAAAGGTAACCTAGCTCTACATTGAAAACAGTATATTTATCTCCTAATTGTGTATGCCGAAGATATTTCAGTGATGGCTTGATCTGCGACTGCTTTTCTTCAGGTATTCCTGGTATTGCCAAATAGACGGTCAGCCGTGTGATTGTGTGCCTAAAATGTGGCCTGGTGTCGGAAATGACACTCAAATAATTCCTTTCACAGGTAGGATGTGCCAAACAATGTTTAGACTCTGGTGACAAGTTTGAATATTTAGTAGTTTTTCAGGATAAATTACCCAATTTTCAAAGTCAGATCACTTATAAAATTGTTGTCTTCCAGAAATGCTCTGAAAATTCTCTTCAGAACTGTAATATAAGATGGCATAATAAACTACATTGTTTGCAGATTTTCCCAACCATAAGGAGGTGTAGTTTTGTTCAAGATTTCAATTTAGATAATATTGAAATTATAACAATATTTGATTAAAGAAGAAAACAGATTTTCTCAGAGAATATTAACATTCATGCTGAAAAGGTTTGAGGCGTGAAATAAGTATTAAAACACATTTGTAATACATCCTGTTTGCTTTCTGTTCAGAACCAGTACTGAGGATGGAAGGACGATATTTGACTGCAGGTCAGAACTACTCCTTCACTATGACCCTAGACTCGGACAATGTGACCGGGGGCAACCACACTGTCCTGGTGGCGGTCAGTGGTGTTGTCAGCATGCAACTGCAGATCAAGTAAGAACAGATATGCCAATAACAGGTTGTCATTGAATAATGGCATGCACACACGTACCATGTTTCATGTTAAGCTGAGACTGACTGATACAACAAAACAAGCCGTAGCACTGTAAACAATTAATATGTCCACTATTGCTGGTGGGTCGTCTGTAGATTTGCTGGAAAATATAATCATTTCCACTTCAGCTGTACATCAGGGTGTGGGGACGATTCTACAGAGCCTGTGACCCTGACAGTAGCCTGCACTGACTGTGACGGACTGGGCAGTGTCACCTACACATGGGACATACACAAAGGCCAAGTCGGGGTGCTGCCTCCTCAGATGTGGGAGGGTCATGCTGTGTTGAACAGCGACAAAACAACACTGACTTTACCTGGACACTTCTTCAACCCATTTGAGCTCTACAACATCAGCATCACAGGTGAAAACAGTATCTATTGATGTTGGAACAGGCAACATATTACTCAATGTAGTCTCACAAGAGATGTGTTAAGCTTCATCTCAAACATGTTCATGCTGACTAGGGGTCACATGTGACTCCTAACCTAAGGTGCTGAAATTCCCTGCCTCACTTTGGCATGCCAGAAAGCTAGGATCACAAGTGTGAATCCTAGATTCTCCCTGATCCAGTAACCTTGAGTTCTACAAAAGTGGAATATATGTTAGGCCTGGATCACTGCAGGCTTTCCTCCCTGCTCTCATAACCCCAAAATAAGTTAAATACTATGTAAAGCTGTGTTAAACCAAACTCACATTGACTAAATATATGAAACTTTATCGGTGTATTTATCCTGTTTATCAGAGAAACTGTGACACATGTTTGTTAATTATCTATTGATGAAACTTTTATTTCAGCCCTAACCAATGCTTCATCTGAGGGGTCTGCTGTCCACATGATGCCAGTCAGGGGTAGGTGTCGATCAGTGCCATCTTGGCATGTACCCAGTGGGGTACCAGGGCAGGGTAGGTCCCCAGAGCTGACTTGATATGGAGGGGCTACAGTATAACCTTGCTGATAGGGTATCATCATCCCCTGTGTTAGTTGTTGTTGGTGCTATCAACCATTTGTTTACCTGACCAAGACTGCCTGGAATAATGCTGACCACATCACAAAACAACATTCACTTTCCCAAACAGGCAGGAATTGAAGATGTATCCCTTAGGATACCTTTAACATTAGCAAATTGGTCCGGACTCGCCAGATAGTGCTAATTCCTATCCCTGTGAAATACAAGGAAGGTCACGCCGGTTCGAAACATGTCCTTGCATTGTGTGTTGGTTGGGTTCCACAACTTCTGTTTTGTTGTTTCATTAGCATTGATGTAATGGTTGTATGATTTGTTTGTTCTTTTCGCAAAGCTCTGTAAGTTTTAGGGGATGTGTGGGCATATGTCTCAAAACTAAAGAAATAAATGTTTTTCCCACATAGCATCCATATTGGCATGATATTTTCATTCCAGAGGACAAAGTATACATAACATCCGACAGCAACACCACCTCAGTCCCTGTAGACAGCTACATAACATTCCTGCTGCTGGTCAATGATTCCTCCTCTTCAGTGTCAGTGGACATTGGTGGACAGGACTCCTGCATCCCCAGCCTTCAAACTCTTACACCATCAGTCAGAAGTAGCTACCCTCTTTCTACCTTTCTGCTGTCTTCATCCACAGAGGGACTGACATATGCCTTGTTTGGGACACATTTGGGAAGGGGTGGCAACTTCATCATCAATGCATCAACAACTAGCCCCACACCCAGCCAGTCCCTAACATCACTGGATGTAGTGTATGAGAAGATTGATGTGGGACAGTGTACTAATGACACCATTGTGAATGGAACATCCAGGAGTATTCAAGCTGCCCCAGTGTACTTTAGAAGCCGTGATTTGTACTTTAGTCTGTACACTACAGTGTCCTGTGTGTTAACCTCCCAGAACTACCACTGGACAGTGGTGTCTTACAAAGAGGAGGATACCAGCATGTGTTATAGGGAGGAAGATTTTGAATCTGTCACCTTGGCTGCTGGCAGTGGGAACAGTGAGGTTCTTCACATCTCTGCAGGGGCTTTACCTCAGGGTTATTACAGAGTAGGCGTGACCTTTGAAAAACATGACTCCCATTCCTCTGTGGGCAGCAGAACTCTGTATGTGAGTAGTTTTCTTGTCACAAAATGCATGTTGCTTTGTATATTCTGTATGGAGGACTGTTAAGATAACCATGATTGTTTTTACATGGCTGCTAGTAATTCTTTCAAACTAGCTGGACTTGATGAACCTGTTAATGTGATTGAACATCAGAAGCTATGTACCAGCTGACCATAATGTTCAAATGTTGCCAAACTTTTTCTCAACATTGGAAAGTAGCTTCTCATGTCAATGTCATTGAAAGTTGATGACTCCCTGCTTATTTGCTTTCTAATGTAAGTTGAATGTTGATGGCTTCCTGTCTGTTAGCTTCATAATGTAAGTTGAATGTTGATGGCTTCCTGTTTCCTTGATTATGTAAGTTGAATGTTGATGGCTTCCTGTTTCCTTGATTATGTAAGTTGAATGTTGATGGCTTCCTCTCTGTTTCCTTCCTGATGTAAGTTGAATGTTGATGGCATCCTGTTTGTTTGCTTTGTAATGTATGTTGAATGTTGATGGCATCCTGTTTGTTTGCTTTGTAATGTATGTTGAATGTTGATGGCTTCCTGTATGTTAGCTTCCTGATGTATGTTGAATGTTGATGGCATCCTGTTTGTTTGCTTTGTAATGTATGTTGAATGTTGATGGCTTCCTGTATGTTAGCTTCCTGATGTAAGTTGAATGTTGATGGCTTCCTTTTTCCTTCCTGATGTAAGTTGAATGTTCATGGCTTCCTGTTTCCTTCCTGATGTATGTTGAATGTTGATGGCTTCCTGTTTCCTTCATTATGTAAGTTGAATATTGATGGCTTCCTGTTTCCTTCCTGATGTATGTTGAATGTTGATGGCTTCCTGTTTTCTTCATTATGTAAGTTGAATGTTGATGGCTTTCTGTTTGTTTGCTTTCTAATGTAAGTCGAATATTGATGGCGTAATTGCTTTTAATTTTCTTCATTCCAGGGTTTCCTGCAGGTTGTAAATGAGCCCCTTGTTGTCGTAATGTCCCCCAGCGTCACACATCTGGCCCATGATAGAAATCTCCCTCTTGTCCTTAATGCCAGTGCCAGCTACAACCCCAACGTGGGCCTTCCCACTACAATCAGGTATTGTTCTTTGTACACAACTTTGTCAAACACAGTATGTGAAGATGCATCACTTTTGTTTGATTACTTATTTCACCTGAATAAGAAAACACAAACTATATGTGAAAGATATAGAACGTAAGTTGAGGCTCCAGCATGCACAGTGTCATTAATCCTGTTTTAGAAAGATGGTCTTTCTGTCCTTCTTTTCACTTCTTTCTTTGGACACTCATTACCAGTGTGTGTGATTGTGTCAATACATATAAACAAGGCTACCTCACTGATTTACGAAAGACAAACTACTTATGGCAAGAAGCATTAAGTAACACTTATTCAGTGTCTGCATCTTGTGGTGAAATTATTACTCTGATGTTTACTTTCACATCTGATATTTTGAATGAACAGTTTTACTTTTTGGTAGAATTCCTTTGAACTCCCTTTATATATGACTATCATATTAATCTGAATTTAAATCTGTATGAAATTAATTGTGTATACTGAAGATATTTCAGTTATGTTTATTTTGTATTTTGAATGGTTGTTGTCGGTTATTCCATAAATTCTGATCGACCGCACTTAATGTAACATTTGAAACCCAACACTGCACTTTCGATTCCAAATTCCATTTAGTGCGGTTAAATCTAAAGGTAACCTAGCTCTACATTGAAAACAGTATATTTATCTCCTAATTGTGTATGCCGAAGATATTTCAGTGATGGCTTAATTGATCTGCGACTGCTTTTCTTCAGGTATTCCTGGTATTGCCAAATAGACGGACAGCCGTGTGATTGTGTGCCTAAGATGTGGCCTGGTGTCGGAAATGACACTCAAATAATTCCTTTAACAGGTAGGATATGCCAAACAATGTTTAGACTCTGGTGACAAGTTTGAATATTTAGTAGTTTTTCAGGATCAGGATTTTTCAGATCACTTATAAAATTGTTGTCTTCCAGAAATGCTCTGAAAATTCTCTTCAGAACTGTAATATAAGATGGCATAATAAACTACATTGTTTGCAGATTTTCCCAACCATAAGGAGGTGTAGTTTTGTTCAAGATTTCAATTTAGATAATATTGAAATTATAACAATATTTGATTAACCCTTTCGCCCCGACTGCCCAATTTATCGGGCAGGATAAACCGTGTCCCAGAACCCGGCTGCCCGAAAAATCGGGCAGCATAAGCTGTGGCCCAGAACCCGGCTGCCCGATAAATCGGGCGGCACGAGCGTGTTTACAAAATCGCTCTTTCTACTTCCTTTCTCGTGTGTAATCTCGTTCTAAATATGGAAACGAGATCTACACGTAATGACACGTCATTCTATGGAATTTCCCCGTCTTTTTGGCGCGAAAATCGCGGGTATGTCACCCGTTTTCGCGACAGGTATTTTTCTCGCTTGAATCGTAAATCAAGCGTAATGGCGGCCAACTACGATTCGGTTAGCGATCAGATGATTAACAACGACTCTATCGGGAATAATAATGTGTTTGAATTGAATAATTTACGCGAAGGGGAGAGGGAATTTCGCGAATATTTTGGTGAAGATTTTGATGGTTTCGACGAGGTGTCCCCCCCGCCAACTTTCAAGAATGGGAGTGGCAGAGGGACCACAATAGTGGAGACATGAGGGATTTTGAAGAGGCGACCGGACTCAAGAATATATATTGACACGGTGAGTGAAGAGTCGTGCTATTGATTTTTTCCAACTGTTTTACAATGATTCTGTGTTTGAACAGATTATCAGTGCGACGAATGAGAATCCAGCCACCGACACGTGAACGAGCGATCACAACAACAACAAAGGTGAGTGGCATGACGTATCTGTTTCTTTTTTTTTAAATTTATTTATCTGATCGCAATCCGAATTGTAGTTTGCCGGTTTGTCGTATGTCCTTATATTTCGCTCAATTTGAATAAAATTTATTTCCATATTCATGTTTGTGTTCTTGTTTTTTACATCTTAATTTAAATTTTAGTAACTGTAATGATTATTTATTTATTAATTGATTTAATAAAGTACTGATTTAATTTATTATGCAATTGTAAATAGCAGTGTATTGTAAATATGTTATAACATTTTGTATATTTGCAGAACTTGAATTTACGATCTTTCCGTCCTTTTACAATCTTTCCCTCTTCAGATCAATCTGTGTTATCTTCCCTGTGATGTCATTCTTATAGTAGCTGTGGTTCAATGTTCAGATAATGTGATAAATAACTTTTTAAAAACTTAAATAATTAATTTTTGTTTCAAATCCTGAAAAAGAACAAAATAAATCAAATATTTGTGTTTTTACCTGTGTTAACGAGTTTACCTGCGTTAACAAGTTAACCTGTGTTAACGAGTTTACCTAAGAGGCTGTAAGTGTATCATAAGTAATATGTGACATCAGTATAGAAAACAAAGTCAGTACCAAGAGTTGTAAACTTGTTTATTTGTTTACAGATGTGCATGAAGAGAATTTACCTGTAACACCTGGGATTACCTGTGCCGTCCAAGATGACAAGACCTCTGTGTTATGTTTACCTTGTATCTGTGATTTATTTTTGTGATTTGTAATACAATTTGAGCCAAAATTCATTGTCTGTTTTCATTTTTTCAGTGTTTTCAAGTTTTATTTCACTTGTAAACACCTGTAATTAGAAAATAACAAAGGTTAGAGACAATAACAACAAAGAATATTAAAGTATACTTAATCCTCTTTACAATGGTATATGATAAATGTATATTAAAAGCAAGTTTCTGGTAGGAAAAATGCATCAAAAATGATAGTGTGATTTTCCAATAATACTGCCAGGGAGGCCAGTGTACAGGCCTTGTCAGTGTCAGGGACTGCAGGGTTTCAAGGGACATAACTCTGGGGCAGCCAGTGATGAAAGAGTTAAAGAAGAAAACAGATTTTCTCAGAGAATATTAACATTCATGCTGAAAAGGTTTGAGGCGTGAAATAAATATTAAAACACATTTGTAATACATCCTGTTTGCTTTCTGTTCAGAACCAGTACTGAGGATGGAAGGACGATATTTGACTGCAGGTCAGAACTACTCCTTCACTATGACCCTAGACTCGGACAATGTGACCGGGGGCAACCACACTGTCCTGGTGGCGGTCAGTGGTGTTGTCAGCATGCAACTGGAGATCAAGTAAGAACAGATGTGCCAATAACAGGTTGTCATTGAATAATGGCATGCACACACGTACCATGTTTCATGTTAAGCTGAGACTGACTGATACAACAAAACAAGCCGTAGCACTGTAAACATTTAATATGTCCACTATTGCTGGTGGATCGTCTGTAGATTTGCTGGAAAATATAGTCATTTCCACTCCAGCTGTACATCAGGGTGTGGGGACGATTCTACAGAGCCTGTGACCCTGACAGTAGCCTGCACTGACTGTGACGGACTGGGCAGTGTCACCTACACATGGGACATACACAAAGGCCAAGTCGGGGTGCTGCCTCCTCAGATGTGGGAGGGTCATGCTGTGTTGAACAGCGACAAAACAACACTGACTTTACCTGGACACTTCTTCAACCCATTTGAGCTCTACAACATCAGCATCACAGGTGAAAACAGTATCTATTGATGTTGGAATAGGCAACATATTATTCAATGTAGTCTCACAAGAGATGTGTTAAGCTTCCTTTCAAACTTGTTCATGCTGACTAGGGGACACAGGTGACTCCTTACCTAAGGTGCTGAAATTCCCTTCATCACTTTGGCATGCCAGAAAGCTAGGATCACGAGTGTGAATCCTAGATTCTCCCTGATCCAGTAACCGTGAGTTCTACAAAAGTGGAATATATGTTAGGCCTGGATCACTGCAGGCTTTCCTCCCTGCTCTCATAACCCCAAAATAAGTTAAATACTATGTAAAGCTGTGTTATTAAACCAAACTCACATTGACTCAATATATGAAACTTTATCGGTGTATTTATCCTGTTTATCAGAGAAACTGTGACACATGTTTGTTAATTATCTATTGATGAAACTTTTATTTCAGCCCTAACCAATGCTTCATCTGAGGGGTCTGCTGTCCACATGATGCCAGTCAGGGGTAGGTGTCGATCAGTGCCATCTTGGCGAATAATGCTGACCACATCACAAAAGAACATTCACTTTCCCAAACAGACAGGAATTGAAGATGTATCCCTTAGGGTACCTTTAACATTAGCAAATTGGTCCGGACTCGCCAGATAGTGCTAATTCCTATCCCCGTGAAATACAAGGAAGGTCACGCCGGTTCGAAACATGTCCTTGCATTGTGTGTTGGTTGGGTTCCACAACTTCTGTTTTGCTGTTTCATTAGCATTGATGTAATGGTTGTATGATTTGTTTGTTCTTTTCGCAAAGCTCTGTAAGTTTTAGGGGATGTGTGGGCATATGTCTCAAAACTAAAGAAATAAATGTTTTTCCCACATAGCATCCATATTGGCATGATATTTTCATTCCAGAGGACAAAGTGTACATAACGTCCAACAGCAACACCACCTCAGTCCCTGTAGACAGCTACATAACATTCCTGCTGCTGGTCAATGATTCCTCCTCTTCAGTGTCGGTGGACATTGGTGGACAGGACTCCTGCATCCCCAGCCTTCAAACTCTTACACCATCAGTCAGAAGTAGCTACCCTCTTTCTACCTTTCTGCTGTCTTCATCCACAGAGGGACTGACATATGCCTTGTTTGGGACACATTTGGGAAGTGGTGGCAACTTCATCATCAATGCATCAACAACTAGCCCCACACCCAGCCAGTCCCTAACATCACTGGATGTAGTGTATGAGAAGATTGATGTGGGACAGTGTACTAATGACACCATTGTGAATGGAACATCCAGGAGTATTCAAGCTGCCCCAGTGTACTTTAGAAGCCGTGATTTGTACTTTAGTCTGTACACTACAGTGTCCTGTGTGTTAACCTCCCAGAACTACCACTGGACAGTGGTGTCTTACAAAGAGGAGGATACCAGCATGTGTTATAGGGAGGAAGATTTTGAATCTGTCACCTTGGCTGCTGGCAGTGGGAACAGTGAGGTTCTTCACATCTCTGCAGGGGCTTTACCTCAGGGTTATTACAGAGTAGGCGTGACCTTTGAAAAACATGACTCCAATTCCTCTGTGGGCAGCAGAACTCTGTATGTGAGTAGTTTTCTTGTCACAAAATGCATGTTGCTAGCTGGACTTGATGAACCTGTTAATGTGATTGAACATCAGAAGCATAGTACCAGACCATAATGTTCAAATGTTGCCAAACTTTTTCTCAACATTGGAAAGTAGCTTCTCATGTGAATGTCATTGAAAGTTGATGACTCCCTATTTATTTGCTTTCTAATGTAAGTTGAATGTTGATGGCTTCCTGTCTGTTTCCTTGATTATGTAAGTTAAATGTTGATGGCTTCATGTTTGCTTCATAATGTAAGTTGAATGTTGATGGCTTCCTGTTTGCTTCAATATGTAAGTTGAATGTTGATGGCTTCCTGTCTGTTAGCTTTGTAATGTAAGTTGAATGTTGATAGCTTCCTGTCTGTTTTCTTCCTAATGTAAGTTGAATGTTGATGGCTTCCTGTCTGTTTTCTTCCTAATGTAAGTTGAATGTTGATGGCTTCCTGTCTGTTACCTTCGTAATGTAAGATGAATGTTGATTGCTTCCTGTCTGTTTTCTTCCTAATGTAAGTTGAATGTTGATGGCTTCCTGTCTGTTACCTTCGTAATGTAAGATGAATGTTGATTGCTTCCTGTCTGTTACCTTCGTAATATAAGTTGAATGTTGATGTCTTCCTGTTTGCTTCACGATGTAAGTTGAATGTTGATGGCTTCTGTCTGTCAGCTTCGTAATGTAAGTTGAATGTTGATGGCTTCCTGTCTGTTAGCTTCGTAATGTAAGTTGAATGTTGATGGCTTCCTGTCTGTTAGCTTCGTTATGTAAGTTGAATGTTGATGGCTTCCTGTCTGTTACCTTCGTAATGTAAGTTGAATGTTGATGGCTTCCTGTCTGTTAGCTTCATGATATAAGTTGAATGTTAATGGCTTTCTGTTCGATTGCTTCCGAATGTAAGTCAAATATTGATGGCGTAATTGCTTTTAATTTTCTTCATTCCAGGGTTTCCTGCAGGTTGTAAATGAGCCCCTTGTTGTCTTGATGTCCCCCAGCATCACACATCTGGCCCATGATAGAAACCTCCCCCTTGTCCTTAATGCCAGTGCCAGCTACAACCCCAACGTGGGCCTACCCACTACAATCAGGTATTGTTCTTTGTACACAACTATGTCAAACACAGTATGTGAAGATGCATCACTTTTGTTTGATTACTTATTTCACCTGAATAAGAAAACACAAACTATATGTGAAAGATATAGAACGTAAGTTGAAGCTCCTGCAGTGTCATTAATCCCGTTTTAGAAAGATGGTCTTTCTGTCCTTCTTTTCACTTCTTTCTTTGGACACTCATTACCAGTGTGTGTGATTGTGTCAATACATAAACAAGGCTACCTCACTGATTTACGAAAGACAAACTACTTATGGCAAGAAGCATAAAGTAACACTTATTCAGTGTCTGCATCTTGTGGTGAAATTATAACTCTGATGTTTACTTTCACATCTGATATTTTGAATGAACAGTTTTACTTTTTGGTAGAATTCCTTTGAACTCCCTTTTTATCCCGCGATATGCCAAGGAGAGGCACAGGCCACCGAGCCGTGGATGCCCCGTGCCTATAATATAAACAGAAGATGAGATTGGGTTAAATGGCCGAGGGTGTGCAGGTACTAGTGGGCTACTTAGCTGCTAATTGTGTATACCAAAATGCTACCGTTGCCATGGCCACGCGCGTGGCCAACGGCGATTGCAGCTAGCGCTGCTGGCCTGAGACTGCTACCGCTGTCCGGCCCCCACGGTAGCATATTTAAACGCTACCATTGCTTGGCAACTCCGACGCTGCCAAAAGCAGCTCCACGCTGCTGGCCTAAGTCAGACTACCGCTGCCCGGCCCCAGGTAGCCGGCCAAAGCAGATCCCACTGCCCGGCCCCATTAGCAAAACCATTGTGCGGCTCCCGCCGCGGACCCAACTGTCAGCTACTGCTTGACAAGACAACTTCCGCCGCCGGGCCCATATACGTGGCAATTGTTTGCCCCAACGTATGTTATTTTACGATTTCCCGGCTGAAAAGTCGGGAAAGACAAGGTTCCCACTGAGAAGCAGGTAACCCCGGAAAGGTTCCCGCTGAAAAACAGGTAGCCTTAAGCACGAGTATTAATTTGGAAGCAAGTTAATTTGTTACTAGCAGTGTAGCCCACAAGAACCCCGCCACAAAGCACCAGAGTGCTACCCCACACCCACTGCGCGGAGATAGCATTGTTGCCCGGCTTGCCTATGTACTGAAAGGAAACACTAACCTGTGGAGATAATATCCTTACTGGCACAAAACAAGCGCCAGGGCATGCAAAAAATTGTCTGTAAACACACACAGTCCTTTGTCACTGAGGTGGACGCCCTCCCAGGTGTACCATGTCTTGTCTGATGCCAGGATCTGGGGATGTGGCACCATTGTACCGCCGAGCTCTTTGACTCGGTTGGCCAGTCAGCGGTTGATATTCTTCCGCATCCCCTATATCTTTAGTGGGTCCCTGGCATCGTGCCAGTAGCGCCTGGGCAGCATTGAGGATACGATGATCTTGGTGTCAGGAAGCTGGAGTTGTATCCGAAGGAGCCCAGGTGAATGATGAGGGCTCTGGGGCTGCGCCGTGTTGCCTTGACCTGTGCATCCAGAATGGTGTCCAGCTCCTTCCACCTCATCCCCCCTCGTGCCAGCCATAGCATCCTCGGTTGGTTCGGACTGGTGCCCTTCAGGAGCAAGTACTGCCGTGCCCTGGCCATGTAGCTGGATCCCACCAACCAAACTGTAAACAATAACAATAAGTGTAGTAAGTACCATGAAAGACTATTTGAATTAATTGTGCAACATTGAATTTGTTGGTAAGCGTATGTAAGCATTGTAGCAATCTGATTTCCACCTGCCGTATTGTTGTATGCTGCTGGGGGTTGCCCGAGTAGCTTAAATTCTGGATGGCGCAACCTGTTTTTGAGGGTCCAGTTTGGACCAGTTCGCTAACCCTAAAGAATCCGAAGAAGGCTGTGCAGTAGACTGCCTTGAACAGCCTGGCTTCATATGCTGATGAGCATACGTGAGGCAGATTGTTGGTTACTACCTGCAGCAGATCTGCAGTGATCGGTTTTCTGGTGTCTGGTCGGCCCGCTGATTTGTGTAAGCCGGTTAAAATCTTGCCTACCAGGAAATGGTTTGTACAGTCGGTGAGCCCGTGGAATTTGTGGTGTGAAGACAGCGCTGCAATGTAAGTCTTGACTGTGTTAGGGGAGTGGTGAGTGACTGACAGATAAGCAATAAGGTTTACGACCTGATCCAGCGGGACTGGCCACACCTCTTGTAGCTGGTGTACGGACCGGAACTGGTGCAAGGCATTGATGCCTGTTTGGTAAGTGGCCCATGTATTAGTAGACAGAGATTGTTGTAGGAGTCTGCCGGCTTCCTGCCTCAGATCAGCCATATATTGCATGGGATAGGTGTGGGGTTCTGGTCCGCGGCTGGTGCTGCCTCTCGGAAGCGTTGGAGCTGAAACCTCGAGAGAGCATCGGCAATAGTGTTAGCAGTGGAACATACATACTTTGCCTTAAACATAATATTATATCTGAGGCACTGCAGGATTCGTGGGTTGGACCCCATTCCCTCGAAAGCAGGTCCTAGAGCTATGGGAATGTTTGCCACACTTACCGCATTTGTGAGTGTACTTACAGTTGACCCTGCTACAGCCAAATTTATTGAAATCCCAGCATACCTGACTGGCGATGTCCCCCTGTACGCGTGTCATTGCGCCCCGTCCGGCTGATTCTGGTTGTAGTACCGGCTGTGTTACCATGTACTTCAGCCACAACTCCCCGTCGATGTTGTCCCAGCGTCGTGAGGGGTCCCTTGACATTCTGTGTGGGAATTGTTTGTCGTAGGTTGACCAGGCATCCCCCCCGAATCGAAGTGCCGCCGTTCTTATGGTTTCCATGTAGGACAACAACCCCTGGGTTGTGCGGACCTCGGAGTGCCTACTAACATATATACACATGAAAATGTGGAAAGCTGAAGTCCAGCTTGCCAGGGACAGGCGCTTTGGTTGCTGCTTTATTAGTTTAAAAATTACCTTACCTGAGGAGTCGTACGCCATGGTAATCGTACCGTCCTCGTGACCTCCCTCGGTGTTTGGTAGGATTGTGCTGAGGTCGACATACTCGCCACGCCAGATTTTTTCCCTCACCTGTTGTTTGACGTGCGCATCTATTCCATCCGCACGGAAGGAAAGGGAATCCCCGTATCCTGCGATGTGATTGGCTGGCCAAGCCGCGTCACCGTCGGCCTCGTTGTGAGCATCGGGGATTCTCCCTATGTTGGGCGAAATGGCGGGAGAACTAAAACCAAGCCTTACCTGTTGGTTTGCGCTAACCGAACCGGGCGCTGAATGTTCCAGCAACTGGAGTATTTTTTCCAGTTGCTCGTTTACCTGGGTAGCCGAGTTGGCAGCCTGCGCGGCATTTACAAGCTGCGCCGATTGTACGTTAATTCTGTTGCCCCCTTCGATATATCCGTAATTGGCAGACTCACCATCAGCTGTTGCCTCCTGTACAATGTGTACTCCCGGGGTTTGTCTTCTGGTTGTCCTGGCCTGCTTGGCTCCCCTCACAAGCTTGTGGTTGACGGCTGCTCTTCTCTTGGGAGGCATCACGAAAGGTCGAGGTGGTGAGATAGTATTCCACAAGCGTAAAATTGTCCCGAGGGTGAAGTTCGGGAGTAGAACGGAATAAATGCAATACGGCCAGTGCTGAAATAGATGGTATTCAAAGCGTAATCGGCGACACGGTCGCGATTGTGTAAATGCGATACGGCGAGTGTTGGAATAGATGGTATTCAAAACGTAATCGGCGAAACGGTCGCGACTGGGTACAAAGGAAACGTACAAGCGATTAGTAGCACGGTGCCGAGTGGTGGCCCGGGGGTGATTGAGTTACGAGGGGTGATTGGGTGACAGACGTGATTAGCCCATGGTTTGGATACGCACGATAAAGTCATTTAGTAGTTAGTACTAAATGTAAATATATGACTATCATATTAATCTGAATTTAAATCTGTATGAAATAAATTGTGTATACTGAAGATATTTCAGTTATGTTTATTTTGTATTTTGAATGGCTGTTGTCTGTTATTCCATAAATTCTGATAGACCGCACTAAATTTTACATTTGAAACCCAACACTGCACTTTCGATTCCAAATTCCATTTAGTGTGGTTAAATATACAGGTAACCTAGCTCTACATTGAAAACAGTATGCAGGGTTCCCCCTAGACTCCAATATCTGAGAGTCACCTTGACTCAGCCTATGAATTTTTGGGAGTCAAAAATATTTTTTGAGAGTCAAATGTTTTATTGTATGATTAATGAAATTTAAAGTGTTCACTGTTAATGTTACACTTAAAGTTAAGTATCTTTTAAATATTATATGTCTTTAGTTTAAGTTAACAAGTGCTAATTAATGTTCTCAGCTGATTGTACTACAGAGAAATAAAGGATATATGAATGAAAAACAAAGTTTGTTGGTTTTATATTTTCACAATCCTTAATTACTTCACAGCTCATGAAACAATTTACAGTGACACTAATACAGGATGAATAAATAACATCAGTCTCAACTGTGAGACATAATTTTTAATCATGGATGGATATTAAAATACATTTCATGTCAGATTATAATTTAATACCACTAACTCATTTACATCTTTTATCTAGTTATCTTGTATTATCTATCAACAGTGAAGTTGAACTGAAGAATTGTGAACACTCGTGATATTTTCTGGTTGAATACAGTTTATTAGCAACAACAAACATGCCCAAAGCTTTACATTTTGTATATACCATATTTATTCGTGTATAATACGCACCCCTAATTATGGGCAATTAAATCCTGAAAAAAATAGACTTTTCTTCAGTCTCATTTCAGGCTGTCATGATCCGTCATCGGAAATATCATAACAAATCTGAATTGAATTATGCAAGTTAATCCTGTTGTTAATAAAAATGTGTTCTCTGTATATCTGACCTTATGTTTGTCATCTATTTTATTAATTTTATTTAAAATTTCATTCAATAATGTTTACCTAAATTTTGGCAAAAACATGTGTCCCTACAACTTCCGTTTACCCCGTTCCATAGGTTCCACTTAACCACATACCGTGACCGCGCCAAATCACATCATTCACTGCAACAATGATAATATTTTCTTCTGTTTCATTTTTTACGAGTCTACACATCTAGATGAACATATGTCATGGTTAACTTTTAGTGAGAAAATATGCCGAAACATGAAAAACCTTGTCCATTTGCGGAGTTTTCCTTTGTTTACATCACGTGCTGACATCGAAGCCACACGGAGTGTGAGAGTTACGTTCACTTTGATGAATAAATATATTTTGTCTTGTACCTCACATTCACACAGTTTTAGTAGCTTATCTATATAATTATGCAAAACAATATGTAAAGCCCCCGGCTGTTCTGATTTTAGCATTTGTTTTAAAACGAGAGAAAAGTCTGGTCATGTGACAGGCTATGCAAATTAGCCCATGGCAGTGGTGTTATGCGAAGTTATGTTACTTCTAAAAACGATGATTAATTGAAAACTAGATATAAATTTTAAGATGTTTGCAGATATTGTCTTCAGAAAATGTTTTTAAATTAAGTTCAGGTGAGTAGTTGTAATATTTTCATTCCAAAGCTGGTAAACATCAACATAGATATTTTGAAATTGCGTCAGTCATGACGCAGTCATTTATTTCTGGACGTATTTTTCCTTAATTGAGAGTCATATACACAAGAATTCTGCGTCAGGGGAAACCCTGAGTATGTTTATCTCCTAATTGTGTATGCCGAAGATATTTCAGTGATGGCTTGATCTGCGACTGCTTTTCTTCAGGTATTCCTGGTATTGCCAAATAGACGGTCAGCCGTGTGATTGTGTGCCTAAGATGTGGCCTGGTGTCGGAAATGACACTCAAATAATTCCTTTCACAGGTAGGATATGCCAAACAATGTTTAGACTCTGGTGACAAGTTTGAATATTTAGTAGTTTTTTAGGATAAATTACCCAATTTTCAAAGTCAGATCACTTATAAAATTGTTGTCTTCCAGAAATGCTCTGAAAATTCTCTTCAGAACTGTAATATAAGATGGCATAATAAACTACATTGTTTGCAGATTTTCCCAACCATAAGGAGGTGTAGTTTTGTTCAAGATTTCAATTTAGATAATATTGAAATTATAACAATATTTGATTAAAGAAGAAAACAGATTTTCTCAGAGAATATTAACATTCATGCTGAAAAGGTTTGAGGCGTGAAATAAATATTAAAACACATTTGTAATACATCCTGTTTGCTTTCTGTTCAGAACCAGTACTGAGGATGGAAGGACGATATTTGACTGCAGGTCAGAACTACTCCTTCACTATGACCCTAGACTCGGACAATGTGACCGGGGGCAACCACACTGTCCTGGTGGCGGTCAGTGGTGTTGTCAGCATGCAACTGCAGATCAAGTAAGAACAGATATGCCAATAACAGGTTGTCATTGAATAATGGCATGCACACACGTACCATGTTTCATGTTAAGCTGAGACTGACTGATACAACAAAACAAGCCGTAGCACTGAAAACATTTAATATGTCCACTATTGCTGGTGGATCGTCTGTAGATTTGCTGGAAAATATAGTCATTTCCACTTCAGCTGTACATCAGGGTGTGGGGACGATTCTACAGAGCCTGTGACCCTGACAGTAGCCTGCACTGACTGTGACGGACTGGGCAGTGTCACCTACACATGGGACATACACAAAGGCCAAGTCGGGGTGCTGCCTCCTCAGATGTGGGAGGGTCATGCTGTGTTGAACAGCGACAAAACAACACTGACTTTACCTGGACACTTCTTCAACCCATTTGAGCTCTACAACATCAGCGTCACAGGTGAAAACAGTATCTGTTGATGTTGGAACAGGCAACATATTACTCAATGTAGTCTCACAAGAGATGTGTTAAGCTTCCTTTCAAACTTGTTCATGCTGACTAGGGGACACAGGTGACTCCTTACCTAAGGTGCTGAAATTCCCTTCATCACTTTGGCATGCCAGAAAGCTAGGATCACGAGTGTGAATCCTAGATTCTCCCTGATCCAGTAACCGTGAGTTCTACAAAAGTGGAATATATGTTAGGCCTGGATCACTGCAGGCTTTCCTCCCTGTTCTCATAACCCCAAAATAGGTGAAATACTATGTAAACCTGTGTTATTAAACCAAACTCACGTTGACTCAATATATGAAACTTTATCGGTGTATTTATCAGAGAAACTGTGACCATGTTTGTTAATTATCTATTGATGAAACTTTTATTTCAGCCCTAACCAATGCTTCATCTGAGGGGTCTGCTGTCCACATGATGCCAGTCAGGGGTAGGTGTCGATCAGTGCCATCTTGGCATGTACCCAGTGGGGTACCAGGGCAGGGTAGGTCCCCAGAGCTGACTTGATATGGAGGGGTTACAGTATAACCTTGCTGATAGGGTATCATCATCCCCTGTGTTCGTTGTTGTTGATGCTATCAACCATTTGTTTACCTGACCAAGACTGCCTGGAATAATGCTGACCACATCACAAAACAACATTCACTTTCCCAAACAGGCAGGAATTGAAGATGTATCCCTTAGGATACCTTTAACATTAGCAAATTGGTCCGGACTCGCCAGATAGTGCTAATTCCTATCCCTGTGAAATACAAGGAAGGTCACGCCGGTTCGAAATATGTCCTTGCATTGTGTGTTGGTTGGGTTCCACAACTTCTGTTTTGCTGTTTCATTAGCATTGATGTAATGGTTGTATGATTTGTTTGTTCTTTTCGCAAAGCTCTGTAAGTTTTAGGGGATGTGTGAGCGTATGTCTCAAAACTAAAGAAATAAATGTTTTCCCACATTGATTATGATCTCATTGCATCCATATTGGCATGATATTTTCATTCCAGACAACAAATTATACATAACATCCGACAGCAACACCACCTCAGTCCCTGTAGACAGCTACATAACATTCCTGCTGCTGGTCAATGATTCCTCCTCTTCAGTGTCAGTGGACATTGGTGGACAGGACTCCTGCATCCCCAGCCTTCAAACTCTTACACCATCAGTCAGAAGTAGCTACCCTCTTTCTACCTTTCTGCTGTCTTCATCCACAGAGGGACTGACATATGCCTTGTTTGGGACACATTTGGGAAGGGGTGGCAACTTCATCATCAATGCATCAACAACTAGCCCCACACCCAGCCAGTCCCTAACATCACTGGATGTAGTGTATGAGAAGATTGATGTGGGACAGTGTACTAATGACACCATTGTGAATGGAACATCCAGGAGTATTCAAGCTGCCCCAGTGTACTTTAGAAGCCGTGATTTGTACTTTAGTCTGTACAGTACAGTGTCCTGTGTGTTAACCTCCCAGAACTACCACTGGACAGTGGTGTCTTACAAAGAGGAGGATACCAGCATGTGTTATAGGGAGGAAGATTTTGAATCTGTCACCTTGACTGCTGGCAGTGGGAACAGTGAGGTTCTTCACATCTCTGCAGGGGCTTTACCTCAGGGTTATTACAGAGTAGGCGTGACCTTTGAAAAACATGACTCCCATTCCTCTGTGGGCAGCAGAACTCTGTATGTGAGTAGTTTTCTTGTCACAAAATGCATGTTGCTTTGTATATTCTGTATGGAGGACTGTTAAGATAGCCATGATTGTTTTTACATGGCTGCTAGTAATTCTTTCAAACTAGCTGGACTTGATGAACCTGTTAATGTGATTGAACATCAGAAGCATAGTACCAGACCATAATGTTCAAATGTTGCCAAACTTTTTCTCAACATTGGAAAGTAGCTTCTCATGTGAATGTCATTGAAAGTTGATGGCATCCTGTTTGTTTGCTTTGTAATGTAAGCTGAATGTTGATGGCTTCCTGTCTGTTAGCTTGCTAATGTAAGTTGAATGTTGATGGCTTCCTGTTTGCTTCGTAATGTAAGTTGAATGTTGATGGCTTCCTGTCTGTTAGCTTTGTAATGTAAGTTGAATGTTGATGGCTTCCTGTTAGCTTTGTAATGTAAGTTGAATGTTGATGGCTTCCTGTCTGTTAGCTTTGTAATGTAAGTTGAATGTTGATGGCTTCCTGTTAGCTTGATTATGTAAGTTGAATGTTGATGGCTTCCCGTTTGCTTCGTAATGTAAGTTGAATGTTGATGGCTTCCTGTCTGTTAGCTTTGTAATGTAAGTTGAATGTTGATGGCTTCCTGTTAGCTTTGTAATGTTAGTTGAATGTTGATGGCTTCCTGTTTGCTTGATTATGTAAGTTGAATGTTGATGGCTTCCTGTTTCCTTGATTATGTAAGTTGAATGTTGATGGCTTCCTGTTTCCTTGATTTTGTAAGTTGAATGTTGATGGCTTCCTGTTTGTTTTCTTCCTAATGTAAGTTGAATGTTGATGGCTTCCTATTTGCTTCGTAATGTTAGTTGAATGTTGATGGCTTCCTGTTTGCTTCGTAATGTAAGTTGAATGTTGATGGCTTCCTGTTTGCTTCGTAATGTTAGTTGAATGTTGATGGCTTCCTGTTTCCTTGATTATGTAAGTTAAATGTTGATGGCTTCATGTTTGCTTCACGATGTAAGTTAAATGTTGATGGCTTCATGTTTGCTTCACGATGTAAGTTGAATGTTGATGGCTTCCTGTTTGCTTCATTATGTAAGTTGAATGTTGATAACTTCCTGTCTGTTAGCTTTGTAATGTAAGTTGAATGTTGATGGCTTCCTGTTTGCTTTGTAATGTAAGTTGAATGTTGATGGCTTCCTGTTTCCTTGATTATGTAAGTTGACTGTTGATGGCTTCATGTTTGCTTCACGATGTAAGTTGAATGTTGATGGCTTCCTGTCTGTTAGCTTTGTAATGTAAGTTGAATGTTGATGGCTTCCTGTCTGTTTCCTCGTAATGTAAGATGAATGTTGATTGCTTCCTGTCTGTTTTCTTCCTAATGTAAGTTGAATGTTGATGGCTTCCTGTTTGCTTCACGATGTAAGTTGAATGTTGATGGCTTCCTGTCTGTCAGCTTTGTAATGTAAGTTGAATGTTGATGGCTTCCTGTCTGTTTGCTTCGTAATGTAAGTTGAATGTTGATGGCTTCCTGTCTGTCAGCTTCGTAATGTAAGTTGAATGTTGATGGCTTCCTGTCTGTTAGCTTCCTAATGTAAGTTGAATGTTGATGGCTTCCTGTTTGCTTCGTAATGTAAGTTGAATGTTGATGGCTTCCTGTCTGTTTGCTTCGTAATGTAAGTTGAATGTTGATGGCTTCCTGTCTGTCAGCTTTGTAATGTAAGTTGAATGTTGATGGCTTCCTGTCTGTTAGCTTCCTAATGTAAGTTGAATGTTGATGGCTTCCTGTTTGCTTCCTAATGTAAGTTGAATGTTAATGGCTTCCTGTCTGTTAGCTTCCTAATGTAAGATGAATGTTGATGGCTTCCTGTCTGTTAGCTTCCTAATGTAAGTTGAATGTTGATGGCTTCCTGTTGGCTTTGTAATGTAAGTTGAATGTTGATGGCTTCCTGTCTGTCAGCTTCCTAATGTAAGTTAAATGTTGATGGCTTCCTGTCTGTTAGCTTCCTAATGTAAGTTGAATGTTAATGGCTTCCTGTCTGTCAGCTTCGTAATGTAAGTTGAATGTTGATGGCTTCCTGTCTGTTAGCTTCGTAATGTAAGTTGAATGTTGATGGCTTCCTGTTTGCTTCCTAATGTAAGTTGAATGTTGATGGCTTCCTGTCTGTTTGCTTCCCAATGTAAGTTGAATGTTGATGGCTTCCTGTCTGTTTGCTTCCTAATGTAAGTTGAATGTTGATGGCTTCCTGTCTGTTTTCTTCCTAATGTAAGTTGAATGTTGATGGCTTCCTGTCTGTTTGCTTCCTAATGTAAGTTGAATGTTGATGGCTTCCTGTTTGTTTTCTTCCTAATGTAAGTTGAATGTTGATGGCTTCCTGTCTGTTTGCTTCCTAATGTAAGTTGAATGTTGATGGCTTCCTGTTTGTTTTCTTCCTAATGTAAGTTGAATGTTGATGGCTTCCTGTCTGTTTGCTTCCTAATGTAAGTTGAATGTTGATGGCTTCCTGTCTGTTTGCTTCCTAATGTAAGTTGAATGTTGATGGCTTCCTGTCTGTTTTCTTCCTAATGTAAGTTGAATGTTGATGGCTTCCTGTTTGCTTCCTAATGAAAGTTGAATGTTGATGGCTTCCTGTTTTCTTCATTATGTAAGTTGAATGTTGATGGCTTCCTGTCTGTTTGCTTCCTAATGTAAGTTGAATGTTGATGGCTTCCTGTTTTCTTCATTATGTAAGTTGAATGTTGATGGCTTCTGTCTGTTTGCTTATAATGTAAGTGGGGTGGTGGGGCAGCCGAATGGTTACCGTTGCAGTGTTTTCTCGATCGTCACACTGAAGACCCGGGTTTGATTCCCCACATGGGTACATGGTGTGCAGCTGATTTCTGGTGTCCCACTCACTCACTCGTAATGTAAGATGAATGTTAATGCTTCCTGTATGTTTGCCTCATAATGCAGGTTGAATGTTGATGGCTTAATTCTTCTGTTTGCATCACAATGTAGGTTGAATGTGCTCACTCTTAATTCCAGGGTTTCCTGCAGGTTGTAAATGAGCCCCTTGTTGTCGTAATGTCCCCCAGCGTCACACATCTGGCCCATGATAGAAATCTCCCTCTTGTCCTTAATGCCAGTGCCAGCTACAACCCCAACGTGGGCCTTCCCACTACAATCAGGTATTGTTCTTTGTACACAACTTTGTCAAACACAGTATGTGAAGATGCATCACTTTTGTTTGATTACTTAGTTCACCTGAATAAGAAAACACAAACTATATGTGAAAGATATAGAACGTAAGTTGAGGCTCCAGCATGCACAGTGTCATTAATCCCGTTTTAGAAAGATGGTCTTTCTGTCCTTCTTTTCACTTCTTTCTTTGGACACTCATTACCAGTGTGTGTAATGGTGTCAATACATATAAACAAGGCTACCTCACTGATTTACGAAAGACATACTACTAATGTACTAATGTATATGCACAATTATAGGCTACAAAATGTTAATTTGTGGTTACTACAATATTCAAAGGATGTGTGGCAATGGATATCATGCAGAAAACATGATAGAAATCTACATAAAGAATGTATTTCAAGTTTTGAGGACACCAGAGACACCTATTAGGTGTTTTCTATATTCAACTGTGGCATGATATCTTTTACGTCACATTGAGCGATATGACGTCATAATAGTGACGTGCGGTGTAGAACGAAACCTTTGTAAAGCTTGCTTAGAATTGTTTTGGGTGCCCACCTCATTATAGCTTACACAGTTGCCTTAATTGCTACATGCTTTCAGGACCTGTCATGTGTTTAAGTGAAGTATTACGGTGTAAACAAACTGCTTGAGCCTATAGAGCACCATATCATATTTAAAGGCTTTTTTTGGTTGTTCCATAAATTCTGATCGACCACGCTAAAAATAACATTTGAAACCTCACACTACGCAAATTCCATTTAGTGCAGGTAACCTAGCTCTACATTGAAAACAGTATGTTTATCTCCTAATTGTGTATGCCAAAGATATTTCAGTGATGGCTTGATCTGCGACTGCTTTACTTCAGGTATTCCTGGCATTGCCAAATGGACGGTCAGCCATGTGACTGTGTGCTTAAGATGTGGCCTGGTGTCGGAAATGACACTCAAATAATTCCTTTCACAGGTAGGATGTGCCAAACAATGTTTAGACTCTGGTGACAAGTGTGAATATTAAGTAGTTTTTTAGGATAAATTATCCTGTTTTCAAGGTCAGATCACTTATGAAGTTAGAAAAGTGTATCTTTTTTTCAAGATGTCGATTTAGAATGTAAAGAAATTGAATCAATATTAAATTGAAAAACATGCTATTATGCCCAAAATGTTTGAGGCGTGAAATAAATATTAAAACACATTAGTAATACACCATGTTTGCTTTCTGTTCAGAACCAGTACTGACAATTGAAGGCCGACATTTGACTGCAGGTCAGAACTACTCCTTCACTATGACCCTAGACTCGGACAATGTGACCGGCAGCAACCACACTGTCCTGGTGGCGGTCAGCGGTGTTGTCAGTCTGCATTTCAACATCAGGTTTGTATCCGAGGGGAAGTAGTTGCTCATTAGAATCCTTTCTATTGAAAAACATTGGATTCCAGAGAATTCTCTTTATTATACCCCCGTCCTAAAAGTGAGAGGGTATATATACTGAGAGGCACAAATAACGCATACTCAAATTTAAGTGTCAATAATTTTTTTCTGAAATGAAATATACAAATGACTAATTAAAGATTACACTGATGAATTTCATAACCAGTTACTGTGTGACAAAGAATTAATGTCTATGAAAATGACGTTAAAGGCGAGTGGTGTCAATAACAAGTGTGTCCTCCTTGTGCAGCAATGCACGCTTGAAGCCGGCGAGGCATTGAGAGACATAGTCGACGAATTGCAGCCTGAGGAATACGTCTCCAATAATGCAGAAGAGCTTGAGTCAGTTGTGGAACCGTCTGTGGAGGATTTTGTTGACGTCGGACACGGCGGCCAAGTTCATCCCACAAATGTTCTATGGGGTTCAAATCTGGGGACCTTGAAGGTCAGTCCAACACATTAACGTTTTTCTGTTGCAAGAAGGAATTTGTTATCCTGGCAGTGTGAGGCCTTGCATTGTCATGTTGAAAAACATGGCGACGTAAACCACGTTGAGTCAGTAATGGCAGCAGAACAGACTGTAGAACGTTGTCGATGTAACGTCTGGCATTAAAGGGGCACTGATCTAACGCAATTTCCCGGACTGGTTGTTGCCTTTGTTATTGTTTTTTCCCCCGTGAGTACCCGGATGATACGCAACGCAACTGAGCGTGACCAGAGACTGGGCTACCGTATGCAAGGACAGCTAAATAAACTTGGAGGCTGGAGGCAATATTTGTTTTACGCATTTTTGCATAAACACTGATTGGTTAACCGTGATCTATAAAGATTTCGACAAAGGGCGCATGTTAATTAATTTCTTCAGCCTAAACTAACAGACGAAAAGAACGGCGGAGCTCATCGGATGTCGTCATTTGGAAATACCCCAGATGGTCATAGTTAACACTAAAAAAATGCAGTGAAAGCATTTTCGGATTTCGGATTGCGTCGATAATACGATTACTACCCCCTTGTTGTCATCCACGTTTTCTCGTATAACCCTACACTTGTGTATTTGTCGTCATTCACTTGATGCTCAGTTAATGAATTTATTACAGGTACAATTAGTGGTAGCACCACTTAGATTACCTGACAAAGGTTCCCATTTGGCATTTATTGTGTCTGGGGTAATTATTCAATCTAAATCCAGGTTTGAAGTGAGGTGAAATGTGTGTTATGTAATATGCACGTTGCAGACCAGCAAGAGGTGAATGATCAGTTGACTTACTTTTTTTTGTGAAAATCAATGGATCGCTCCTAGTCATCAAAGGATTAACAGAAAATACATTGATTGATTAATCACTGTTATCTTGCACAGTGGATATGTCAAAAGTGAGTGTTTACATGTCTAGGTTTACTAAAACAAAGGGAATAAACTCATATCCTTGCGTGAAGTGCCGATGTAAAAACAACATACTTTGTTCAAAGGGTTAACTGATAATACGTTGATTGATTGATCATTGTTATCTATCACTCAATGGATTTTTTAGGAACCGTGGACGTTATGAAAATAGTTGTCACGTGGGCTTTCTCAGCTGACCCTTGAGACTTGCCACCTATGTGAAACACCTGAAACAATCCAAGTGATCAGTTGAGAAACGAACACGGGTTATAATATCCCGAAACGATATATACCTTTTAAAATATGTGATTGTTACAGAGACACGTGACATCAAATAAGTTTCTTTGTACAGCTGCAGACGAGTGGGATATTGTTCCTTTGTGTGGATATTCATGGATACATTCCTTGAACAAGGAAGCTGCCAAAAATTTATACACATAAATTTGGTAGGTTGTCATTATGGTATTTGCATTTTGTTTTCACTCTTTTAACCGATTCGTCCTTGTTTCTCTACGTCTTGGTTGGGAAATTCTTCAATGCGCAATAGACGTTGTTTTCACAGGCCTGTCCCTTGTAAGCGTGTATATATTACCGTCAATTTGTAAAATGTAATTCTCTCAGGCAATTTATAAAATGTGTAAATATTTCAGTCATTTTGACTAAAAAATCTGTCCAGATTGATTAAGACGATCAAAAGGGCCTACAAACATCACAACAGATTATTATGTAGGATTAGAAGCCAAACAACATAGAAATGTAATTTTCAATGTAACATTTTCAGTCTCTTGGTGATGACATTAAACATCAAAATGTTTGGAATACGTTATCATAATAATACAGATGGAAATGATTTTCATCCACTTTGTTAAATAACTGAATATTTAGGCGTTTAATAAATTTGAAAATGTTACACATTTTGACAGTAAAAAATATACACACTATCAAAAAGCAATGCTCAAGTGAAATATTTACTTTGTGTTGCAAGTCAATATAACGTAAACGGAAATCGCAAAATTACCAAGCAAGTGACTTATCAAAACTTTGTCACCATTACCGATGCTACCCACAAAGATACCTACATTTCCTTATTATCTCGAAAACTGTATTTCATTTTGTTGATCAATGTGACCATACGCCCTTATTACTACCCATACAAGTGACTAATGCGCTTACGAATGGCGCAGCAGAGGTCGCGAACTAGTCTAGATTTCTGCTATACATCCGGGTACTCACGGGGAAAAAACAATAACAAAGGCAACGACCAGTCCCGGGGAATTGCGTTAGATCAGTGCCCCTTTAAGGTTCCCCTGAATAACAACAAGATCCGAGCGGAAATTTGCGTTGATTGCTCCCCAAACCATAACACCTCCACCTCCAAACCGATCACGTTCAATAACACATGGTTGTGTAAATCGTTCATGTTGGCGCCGGTATACATGTAAACGTCCATCAGGGTAGCTGACTGTGAAACGTGATTCATCAGAAAAAACAACTTGTCTCCAATCTCTACCACCGAGATTACCTCCACCAGCTGCCCATCGCTGCAGTGCTAGCCTGTTAGCCTGAGTCAAGATTTGTCCACGGTAGGGTCGTCGACACCTCAAATTCCTGGCAGCAAGATGACGACGCACTGTACGGTCACTGATGTGTCTTCCACGGAGACAATGGTTGCATTTGCCGTTGACCTGGCAGACGTGAAGCGATTTCTGAGGTGGCTGTTAACGATTTGACGATCTTGTCTCTGTGACGTCACAGGCGGTGCACCTGGTTGAGGACGGTCCCTTACACTGCCTGTGGTTCTCAACCGCTCATGTAATCTCGATATTGTCGTTTGATGGCAATGGAAATGAGCAGCAACTTGTTCTTGGGTACGACCAGCATTCAACATCCCCATTGCTTCATTATGCTGATCTTGCGTTAACCACTGCATTGTGTAGGCAACTGATGGCAAAATGTCATGGTGTGCATTTATAGGGCCTACCTTTGATGCACGTGCATCATGCCTTTCACAAAATGTGCATCGATAGCAGCATTCCCAGTGGTGTGTTGCGTTTTGGTGATTGGCTTCGTTTTCAGAAAGAGTTTTTGTTTGCAACCCATATGACATGTTTACAGTAATAACCAACAATGGACAGTGTCAACAAGGTAAAATGTAAACGGACCTCATATGTTCTTAAAAAATTATATCTTAAAATTGAGTATGCGTTTCTAATGCCTCTCAGTATAGTTATGTCAAGGAATTCAGTCTGTCCATTCTTCCAAGGACATTTTTTTGTGCGACCTATAACTTGAAAACATCTAAAAAGATTCTTTTTACAAAATTGGTGAACACTTTCTATACCAATAGTGCAAAGTTTGTTTTCAATATTTCAATTTTCTGAGAAAATACAGCTATTTTCATTTTTTTTTTACTTAAACATATGTGCAATCTATGACTTGGAAACTATTGCATGGATTCTTTTCTAATTTAGGTAACAGAAGAGCAGCAGCGCAAAGTTTGATTTTGATATATGTGTATTTTCTTATGTCCGCAGTCTTTGTATATATGTTTCAACTGTGTCCCTAGTCTTTGTATCTATGTTTCAGCTGTGTCTGTAGCCTTGTATCTATGTTTAAACTGTGTCTGTAGCCTTGTATCTATGTTTAAACTGTGTCTGTAGCCTTGTATCTATGTTTCAACTGTGTCTGTAGCCTTGTACCTATGTTTCAACTTATTTAGTAGCCTTGTATCTATCTTTCAACTGTGTCTGTAGCCTTGTACCTATGTTTCAACTGTGTCTGTGGCCTTGTATCTATATTTCAACTGTGTCTGTAGCCTTGTAGCTATGTTTCAACTGTGTCCCTAGTCTTTGTATCTATGTTTCAGCTGTGTCTGTAGCCTTGAATTTATGTTTCAACTGTGTCTGTAGCCTTGTATATATGTTTCAACTATGTCAGTAGCCTTGTATCTATGTTTCAACTGTGTCTGTAGCCTTGTAGCTATGTTTCAACTGTGTCTGTAGCCTTGTAGCTATGTTTCAACTGTGTCTGTGGCCTTGTATCTATATTTCAACTGTGTCAGTAGCCTTGTATCTATGTTTCAACTGTGTCATTAGCATTGTATCTGTTTCAACCGTGTCTGTAGCCTTGTATCTATGTTTCAACTGTGTCAGTAGCCTTGTACCTATAGTTCAACTGTGTCAGTAGCCTTGTATCTATATTTCAACTGTGTCTGTAGCCTTGTATCTATGTTTCAACTGTGTCTGTAGCCTTGTACCTATGTTTCAACTGTGTCTGTATCCTTGTATCTATATTTAAACTGTGTCAGTGGCCTTGTATCTATGTTTCAACTGTGTCTGGATCCTTGTACCTATGTTTCAACTTATTTAGTAGCCTTGTATCTATGTTTCAACTGTGTCTGTAGCCTTGTACCTATGTTTAAACTGTGTCAGTGGCCTTGTATCTATGTTTCAACTGTGTCTGTATCCTTGTATCTATATTTCAACTGTGTCTGTATCCTTGTATGTATGTTTCAACTGTGTCTGTAGCCTTGTATCTATGTTTCAACTGTGTCTGTATCCTTGTATCTATATTTCAACTGTGTCTGTAGCCTTGTATCTATGTTTCAACTGTGTCAGTAGCCTTGTACCTGTGTTTCAACTGTGTCTGTAGCCTTGTATGTATGTTTCAGCTGTGTCTGTAGCCTTGTATGTATGTTTCAACTGTGTCTGTAGCCTTTTATATATGTTGCAACTGTGTCTGTAGCCTTGTACCTATGTTTCAACTGTGTCTGTAGCCTTGTATCTATATTTCAGTTGTGTCTGTATCCTTGTATCTAAGTTTCAACTGTGTCTGTAGCCTTGTATCTATGTTTCAGCTGTGTCTGTAGCCTTGTATCTATGTTTCAACTGTGTCTGTAGCCTATGTTACCTATGTTTCAGCTGTGAAAGTGGGTGTGGTGGGATATTTGAGCCTTCAGAAACTCTTTCCTTCAAAGTGAGCTGCCTTGACTGTTTTGGAACAGTCACTTACTCGTGGAGGGTTGAGCGGAACGGCATGGAGGGCCTCCCAGTCACCTCGTGGGCTCCAAATGCTGTGGTAGGCAGTGACGGATCTCTCACTGTGCCTCCCGGCACCTTAATGCCATGGGAGTCATACAACTTCATTGTCCGAGGTAAGAAATCATACTGTGAGTTAATCGTCGACGGGTCTTCAGGGGTACATGATGGGATGTACCTGTGTTTGAGCCTGTGTACCCAGTGCCAGCAGGGTACTTCACATCAGGCACCGGTTAACAACAAATATGTCACTGGCATAAACTTTGCCCATTTACTAGTATCAGTATCTAACATGTCTTCATCATTATGGCCAGTGAACTGTTTCACAGACATCTTAACAGAGTTATCATCCTTGCATTACAATCAGGTGAGGTGAGGTTAAAAGGGGTTTGACATTGCCTCCAAGATCATTGTACTTAGATAGCGACGTGCATGCATGTGTTTGTGTGTGGCTGCTTGTACTAGTCCGCAATGATGCTGATTTTATTGTGCTTGCCCACTGTGAAACAATGCCGCAGTTTAACATGAATACCCCGTTCAGACACAGTATACTGGCTCCAAGCCAACCAGTCCTTCTTTTAGCCCCTTAATGCCAAGCGCCAGGCAGGGTAACAACAAGTACCATCTTCTAACATCTTTTCGTATGATGAGGCCAGGGATCAAACCTGGACCTTCCGCTCTCCGGGCGGATGTTCTACCACCAGACCACTGAGTTGGTCGCATTACAATCAGATGTGCTCAGGTATGTTTGCTAAACTGGATTTGGTAGCTGTTCAGTTTTGGGATAATATAATCATATCATTGTAGTGGCATTGGTAAGAGTTCGGCATCCCTGCGGGGTATTTGAAATTGATACTGTATCTGTCAACAGGGAAAGAATAACCAATACAAAATGAGCACCTGAAGATAACATTCCTTTATACAATACAAACCTCATTAACTTTACCTTCATAAAAATATGCATGCAAAATAAGACAACTTTACCTTCCTTATCTAGATAACCCTAATATTAAGAGTTAAAGATTGAAAGGGTCCTTAAATATCGTATAAATGCCATAGGAAAAGACCTCCAGGACCCCTGTGGTTTCTAACACTGACTGATATTGTTATTCCGCTTGCCTCAAACCACAGAGTTTGGTGGAATCATGACAATATTTTGCTCCAAATCAAGCCATTCAGTTAACTGTATTACAAGTGTGCCAAAATACAGCACCAGTACATAGACTGGATAAATCAACTTTGACACGCTGGTTTTAGTGAGCAATGTTTTTACATAGTAGCAGTGTGATTTGTCGTCATACTGTACAGAGTAACATTCGATACTGTCAGTCATGCTAATAGTTATTATTAGAGGTTTTTTAAAATTTACTTATTTTAGACCAAATTATCCTAGATATTCCTAATTGTCTCAATTTGGAGTTCGTCATGGTTACCTGGAGCTCAGCATCTTCCCGAAGCAAGGGCGTTAACTGACTATAAAAGTCCAGTTTCCACCCTAGCCGAACAAAGCTGGTGTTCCGGAGTTACATTTTGGCTGGACTAACGAGTCAATGCATAGTCCAATCAAAAACGAAAAACGTAACGAACTATACATTCGGTTCGTAAACAACATGGATTTCAAAGTACAGATGTAGGTTGACTGCAGGATGTGCAAAATGTGTACCGTCAGCTCGGACTCTACGGACACTTTCCAAATGTTTTCATGTTTTTAATCAAGTTGCTCACGTGATTTGATGCATTTCAGGGGGTAAGACACGTTTTATTAAAATATTGATTTTGATTATTGCTCAGATCGTCTTGACTGGGCATCACCATTGTGTTTGAAGCAAATCCAAGTGATATGTTAGGTGGAATTTGATTGGGCAGTAGGAGGGACATAGAAGGGGCATAACTCGCAATAGCCACTGGTCGCCCTACAATCAAGCAAAGAAACATATAGTCAGTTAACACCCTGCCTCAGGAAGATGGGAGCTCAGAGGATTTTCTTTAGTATGTATTTTATATATTCAAGCTAGTTATTTGATATGGATATATTTCCATGGCACCAGACTCCACACAAGATCTATAAAAATCACAGTACATAATATTACCCTGGGTCATCATTCTTAAGAGTTATGCTTTCAAATTACACCCATGAAGATCCGGGTTATAATAGGTGTTCAGCAACCAATGCTTATCGTAAAAGGCGACTATGCTTGTCGTAAGAGGCAACCATTGGGAGCGGGTGATCGGGCTCGCTCACTTGGTTGATGCATGTCATCATATCCCAATTGTGTGGATCAATGCTCATGATGTAAATCACTGGATTGTCTGGTCCAAACTCGGCTATTTACAGGCCACCTTCTAAAGGTGGAATATTGCTTAGTGCGGTGTTAAACAATAAACAAACTTTCAAATTACATTCTCAGTTCCCTAAAAAGTTTACAACCGAAGATGTATCTCAGTTATTAGTTTGTATGGGATGGCACACGAAGTCGAAACTGTGAGAAAACCTTTTCATGTCATCATGGTTATCTTTCTATGCTTTTGTTTTTCTTGAAAGGCACAATCAACCCTTCAGGCGAGGCATCCTATACTATTGGCTTTCAAGGTGAGTGTGAACTATTTTACTGCATGATATAGATTTCAGTGCTCACCTGGTCATAGAAACTTGGGAGTTCATATGATCAGAATTTGTACAATGTCTATCTGTTTGTCTGTAAGACTAACTTGTTTAAATGATGATGATGATGATGATGATGATTAGAATTTGTATAATGTCTATCTTTCTGTAAGACTAACATGTTTTAATGTAGAAAGTCTATCTGTTTGTCTGTAAGACTAACATGTTTAAATGATGATGATGATCAGAATTTGTACAATGTCTATCTGTTTGTCTGTAAGACTAACATGTTTAAATGATGATGATGATGATGATGATGGTGATGATAAATGTAAAACTGAGGAGTACACAGAAGTTCTCTGATTTCAGACTATCACGTGTTCCTCTTACCCCAAAACATCAGTGTATCCACAGGGAGCCTTCTCCTGTTCCTTGTACTGAGCAGTTCATCTAATGAAGTGGTAATACAGCTAGCAATAGATACCACATACCTGTGTACATCCAGCATGTCAGTAGTAACACCAGCAGGAAGAGCCACCTATCCTCTATCGTTCTTCAACCTGACAGATCAGACTGACAGTCAGACCTACCAAGTCATCAGTCAGCAGTTTACAGTACCAGGCGTGTATATCATCTCGGCGTACACCAACGTCGGTGATGAAACGTTCTCTTCGACATTAACAGTCACTGTACAAAATGCACACAGTTGTTCAATGAGCGTTGAAATCCTCGGTGTTGGGGATAGCTTACTGACAGCTACAGAGTACACTTTGGGCCATGACATCCATTTTACATCCACATACTCGTCTGTGTGCGAGGAGATGACCATTTTGTCATACAACTGGACAGTATCCCAAGACTTGATCAGTGATCCACATAGATGCAGATTTGAAGATGATTTTCAAGAGGTGACCCTGCCAGTGACCTCTGCGGTAGTGTTAAGTGAGTCGTTTCATATCGGCAAAAAGATACTGCCCCTTGGCTACAACAGGCTGTGTTTGGTGATCGTCTTCAGGACAGGATCTGTTGAATACCAGAGTCAAGCATGTGTGAGTATAATCTTGTTTTGTTCATTAATAAGCTGCTTATTGAAAACAACAGATAGAGTTAATCTATTGCCACCTGTCAATCAAACAACATGAATGATAGGGCTGGGACAGGTAACAAGGGTACTCGGGTCGGGTGTTTCCTGAGTAGGACCCGGATACCAACGGGACAACACAGACCTGTGGTTAGTCACGTGATATATTGTTTAATGGCAAAACGTATCTAGAACTTCCACGGTTACACTATAAGTGACTTATGTTCACATTTCTTTCCGACTATGCACACATTCCTTCTGACTTTTATATGTTTCAATAAAGATAAAACTTCAGTCAAACTTCAGTGTATGCATGACCAGATTGTTTTATATAAGTATCTAAATATCTAAATAAGTTTCTACGGTCAAACTATTCCTAATCAAACATTTGTACCTATCTCTTGAAACCAACAGCGGGTACCCGGGGTAGGGTAATAGTGGGGTGGGTACCCGGGTAGTAAATCTGGACTCGTCCCAGCCATAATGAATGACCAATCAGGAGTCAACAGTGATACAGAATATGCAAGTTCGTCAGACAGCTTCAAACCTCACTTTTATCAAAGTGAAAGTGTTAGAACACAGGCTCTATGGGTGGTCACTTCTTCAGTCAGGTGGAGTACATTTGTATGCTGATAAAGTACTGTAAAGTATACAGTTTATGGAGGCATTAAACACTCGTGTTTCATGAAACTACATTTCTGCATGACATGCCTTTAAAAACATAAAATGCTTGACGACATGAACCATACAGTTTATGTGAAATTGTGCTATCTATTTCGACTTTGAATGGTGGAGTTCTGCATTGTATAGTCTGTGGAACTCGAGTATTTGCCTGTGCCCCAAGATACATAGAGAACTTGTGCCAGTGCTATGACCTTGCCCTTTGTTCTCGCGACGGTACACATCTAGACATATTGATACACATAATGATGGGCAAATACATTTGGTATGGTCCCTAATGGTGTGAAAGACATGAATAAATCCTTACATATGCCATATATTTGGATGACTATTTCTCACTGATTGTTGCTGGCAGTATTATATAATCCTGCTCTGGCAACAGATTAACTATGACATGAGAAAGTCTAATCGTGTATAGATTGAAATGTTCATAAACCCTCCCTTGTTGTTTCAGGGTTATTTGAAAATGCTCACAGAACCATTAGTGACATCACTGTCTCCTTCTGCATCTTTCCTGACACTGCCCAGAAATCGCCCCCTGGTGCTGAATGCCAGCACAAGCTATAACCCCAACTCAGATGACCAGTCAAACATCAGGTACAAACTGGCTATAGCCCCAACTCAGATGACCAGTCAAACATCAGGTACAAAGTGGCTATAACCCCAACTCAGATGACCAGTCAAACATCAGGTACAAACTGGCTATAACCCCAACTCAGATGACCAGTCAAACATCAGGTACAAACTGGCTATAACCAGAACTCAGATGACCAGTCAAACATCAGGTACAAACTGGCCATAACCCCAACTCAGATGACCAGTCAAACATCAGGTACAAACTGGCTATAACCCCAACTCAGATGACCAGTCAAACATCAGGTACAAAGTGGCTATAGCCCCAACTCTGATGACCAGTCAAACATCAGGTACAAAGTGGCTATAGCCCCAACTCTGATGACCAGTCAAACATCAGGAACAAACTGGCTATAGCCCCAACTCTGATGACCAGTCAAAAGCTAGATACGAACTATAGCCCCAACTCAGATGACCAGTCAAACATCAGGTACAAACTATAGCCCCAACTCAGATGACCAGTCAAACACCAGGTAAAAACTATAGCCCCAACTCAGATGACCAGTCAAACATCAGGTACAAACTATAGCCCCAACTCAGATGACCAGTCAAACATCAGGTACAAACTATAGCCCCAACTCAGATGACCAGTCAAACACCAGGTATAAACTATAGCCCAAACTCAGATGACCAGTCAAACACCAGGTACAAACTGGCTTTAACCCCAACTCTGATGACCAGTCAAAAACTAGGTACAAACTGGCTATAGCCCCAACTCAGATGACCAGTCAAACATCAGGTACAAACTGGCTATAACCCCAACTCTGATGACCAGTCAAAAACTAGATACAAACTATAGCCCCAACTCTGATGACCAGTGCAGTCAAACATCAGGTACAAACTGGCTATAACCCCAACCCTGATGACCAGTCAAACATCAGGTACAAACTGGCTATAACCCCAACTCTGATGACCAGTCAAACATCAGGTACAAACTGGCTATAACCCCAACTCTGATGACCAGTCAAAAACTAGGTACAAACTGGCTGTAGCCCCAACTCTGATGACAGGTCAAGCATAAGGTACAAACTATAGCCCCAACTCTGAAGACAGGTCAAGCAGCCTGCATACCACATTGGTTTCACCAGTAAAATCAACAATGGTGTTTATTATGTTGGAACTCAGGGTTCATACAGGCTTGAAAAAGCCCTGAATTTGAAGACCCTCTTGAAAAGCTTTGATTTTTATTGTCAAACTTATATGTTATATGTGGGATAACACTTTCCGAATAAAGTACAGATTCTCATACTTTTTTTGGGTTGAGTCCCACCCGGAATTCGTACCCACACTGCCAAAATGAGGCACCTAATCGCCAGCACACAAAGTCAGCGATCTAACCCACTCAACCACTGAGGCTTCCACAAAAATGAAGGGTGACAACTGGTAGTCTAGATCACAACTGGTAGTCTAAATTGGCATGGCTCCCATGGCCAAAAGCTATGAACACACAATGCCATTTAGAAATTGTCAGACTTTCATTTTTGTAGAAGCCTTGGTGGCTGAGTTGGTTAGATCGCTGACTTTGTGTGCTGCGATTAGGTGCCTCACTTTGGCAGTGTAGGTTCAAATCCCGGACAGGACTCAACCCAAAAAGAGAACGGGAATCTATACTTTACTCAGAAAGTGCAATCCCACATATAACATTTGTTTCATTTGACCACTTTCTAAATGGCATTGTGTGTTCATAACCTTGACAAGCCTTGAAAATCACCAAACTAGTTTGAAAAGTCTTGAATTTGAAAACTGATATATACTTGTTAATCAAAAAGTATTAAAGCACACAAAAATATGTACCAAAGATGTTTCAGTGAGATTTATCACAGTGATAAATTTGTGTGCTAGAGGTGTTTCAGTGAGACCCTGAAGAATTCATGACAGATGAAATTTTTGAAGAGTGAAAAATAAATCTTGTTGGAAAATGTGTTTTTGTCATACTGCTTTTTAGGTCTCACAACTAATATATAGTTGCTGCAATTAATAAAATATTGACAGACTAAGGCTATTAACCCAACCATAAAAGCCTTGAAATAAACAGTTGGGAGCTTGAAAGGGCCTTGAATTTTCATGTTCCATATCTGTATGAACCTTGGAAGTGCAGATGAATGAGGTGGACATGTTCTTCACAGTGTTTATCCAGTACTAATGGCCTCTCAATATAAGGACATTGTTCTTGATGGAACACTATTCCACTTGGAGGTTCTTTATATCATGATCTCTTTATATAACATAGGATACAGGTGTGATATTGTCAGTGGTCTTAACAGTTTCAAGTGATGAATCAGAAAGGCTTCATTGCAATAATGAATTGTTTGTTGTAGTTTTGCCTGGTCCTGTGCACAGAACGGAGGGTTATGTGACTTCTTCAACACTATGTGGCCGGGACAGAGTGCTGACAGCATCCTGCCAGTTTCAGGTAGATTAGCTGCGTATCTTTATTTGTACATTAGAGAGTTTGGCTAGGTGAGGTGAGGTGAAATTAGGTTTAATGTCGAGTCAAAGATTATTGCACTTATATAGCGAAGTGGGTATGTCTGCTTGTACTAGTCTGGACTAATGCTGATTTATAGTGCTAGCCCACTGATATACCATGCCGCAGTTTAACATGAATACCCCACTCAGACAGTATACTGACTCCGAGCCGACCAGTCCTTGTTTTAGCCTCTTAATGCCGAGCGCAAGACAGGGTAACAAGAACAATCTTTTAACTTCTTTTGGTATGACGCAGACGGGGATCGAACACCTGACCTTCTGCTCTCCGGGCAGACGCAGTACCACTTGACCATGGAGACGTTTGAGTATGCCTAGGGCTTCAGCAGCAAAAGAAGTTGATTTAAGATCATTTCCCCCCCATAGGGATTTAAACAACAGACAAGCATTTACAATTCAGATTAAATGGCAATGTAAATCTTAAAACGTTTATGTGTATCTTAACCATAAGAGCATGGGTATAGGGAAAACTGTCACTGAAAATATGAGTGATTGGGTAACACGCCTATATCTAGGCGTTGGAATTGATTGTTGAAGAGGTCTATATCAATGCTTTCAAAGCTATTTTTGCACATATCTGAAGAGGAAATCATCCATCAGTCCCAGAAGAATTCTGCAGTAAAATTACCAAACTTCGGCTAAAATTGCACATTTCTGTGGTAAAAACATTTTTCTATCTGAAAATTAATACAAACTAATTTTTTCGTTGAAAGAATTTAATCTCTTACATTTAGACATTTCAAGACATTAAATGATGCAAATAGACATGTATAGTGTCACTGATATTTATTCTTGTTTAAATGTAAACAGTTAGTCTAGTCATAATACCACAAGAATGTTTAGAAGTGAGAATTATTTATTTCAAATTTTGTTTTAGAGCAGGATTCATATTTTGTATTTTTGAATCACATGTTAAATATTTTGGCATCATTTAAGTGCAACAAAGCTTGAAGATAATGAAATTTACTGTATTGTTGATAAAAAAGGGCAAATTCTGCGATTTGTCTACAATTCTGTGATACCGGTAAGTTAAATTTTCTGCAAATCACAGAATTCATCTGGGACTGATCCATAGACTTCATATTGATATGATAATACATTGACTGAGCTGGTGACTTTTTACATATTCGGTGTACCCATATCAGACCTGTCAACCCTCCCACATTTTGCGGGAGACTCCCGCAATTTGATGAAATCTCCCAGTCTCCCGCAAGATGGACTATTTCTCCCGCAAAACAGAATTCTTCATTATTTAAAAAAATCGCCTCATTGTCCCGTGAGTGAAAACAATGAACGGGAAGTTTGCGTCCTGATCTGTCCGGTAGGCTCCCGGATTAGCGACCCTTATCACAGCCACCGGCAGGGGGACCCAGATGGGCCTTTGTCCAGTAATCAAATGGTAATTAAATTCATATGGTGAACGATTGAACAATGTAAACTGTTAAGAAAACTCGGATAGTCCTAACAGGTGCCTGAAGGGTTGAACTTGAAATGAAAAATCAGCCAAGTATTCATCACTTCATGAAATGAACTGTTGTCTTCATGTTCTTAGCGTGTTTATTCTTCCATAATTTAAGAACGTAGATACATATGGCCGGTCCAGTTATACATGACTTTATTGGTTATCAGATTTGTCAGAAACTTTGTTAAAACATCAACATACCTCAAAGTTACGTCATTGAACTCTTGGAAATGAAAACAAAATATGTCCTGCAAGCGCCGTCTTCAGAAACAACACTGCGTGATTGGTTGATTCGGTAGTCGAAATAACAATGAGTTACACGATCAGGCTTCCTCACAGCTAGGATTTCAAAGTCAAAGTTTAAAGTGAAACTTATAAATTTCCTTTTGACTGACATCGTGACTTGTGTGCACAGAAAATATCAAAACAGAATTTTATCAAATTTTGCGAGAATGTATCATGTGATTATTTTACACGATTTGATTGGCTAATAGTTTGCTTGCGTCCCAGATCTGCAATCTAATTTGCATACAACAGTACTAGTCAACCAATGAGATTAATACACGTCAAGGTCAGAAAGGTCAACAACGACAACAAGACTCATTTCATTTATAAATTGTAGTAAAACGTAATAGTACTTCCAAATATGGCATACATTTCTTGGAATGGAATAATGTGAACATTTCTAGGAAATTTAAGAAGCGAAGTAATGGGACTGTCAACAGACTACCGCAGACAGAAAAAAAACAGTATATCTTATTGAAACTAAGGGCGACGATGTTGCGTCAGGATAAATGTATTTGATATTTCTTTGGCGAATTTTGTAACCAACATCGCGCCAAATACTCAGAAAACCTGCATCGTAACGAAGCCTGACAACTGGTCGGATTGAACACGTCGTCAACTGGTCAAGCTACCGATTGTGAAATTTCAATATCTGTTTGCGTTTATCTGAGATGATCTTTGAACGAAAGTTATATGGGTAGATTGTGCTGGGTTTATTTTTGGAGGAGGAAAATGCAAACGGAAATTAAGCAAGCTGTACGTATAAGAAACTTATTGATTATTTATTGTTTCAAAATATTTGGTTTTCTTTGTAACATTATTAAAAATAAAAGTTGGAAATTATCTTATCTTCACTATCTTAAAAATCTCCCCCTTTGGAGGCAAATCTCCCCCATTTTGAAGTCAAATCTCCCACATTGTCATGATGAGGGGTTGACAGGTCTGACCCATATTTGTCTGGTATTGCAGGAGCAGTTTTGACAATACCATCAGATCTGCTCACACTTGAGCAAACATACAGAGTGAGTATTAGACTGTCAAAGTCAGGATTGGAAGGATCAGCCGCAAATATCAGTGTCCTCATCACCAACCCAACGACACCATCACTCCTTGTGAGGTAATCCTTTAATTTATTTCTACCAGGTATATCCATAAGTATCCATAAGTCCATCTCATAGTTAAGCCGAGGTATTAAATTGATCCTTGAAATCTGTACCAAAATGATACATACCGTTAGGTATCTATTAAATACTAATAATGATCATATTTACGATGCACTAAAGCATTCAAAGCACTGTATTATTACCCAGGTTAATGAATCAGTGTGCACTTGATTTTCATTCTCAACTCAAGCTTCCTGTGAGGCGCTAGGTTATCAGCCACATTACAATATCATCCTACTGGGTACCCATTCACTGCTCGGTGAACAGAGGCATTTTTTAAACAAGGTCACTTGCCCAAGGAGACGCTACATGTGCTAATGTGTTCCCTACGGTGCTGTGACAGTTCCTGTTGTTGATGAGTGAGGTCATATTTGATGTCGCATCGGCAGTATTTCAGCCATATATTGACTGTTCTTAATGAACAATACCATATAGGTAGGCAATGCTACCAAACATTCATACTTCACGTGAATCTGATCAGACCGCTGCCCCACACCACCTCATAGATTCTAATCATGTTAAAAATCTAATTAATCTAATTAATTTATTATAAGTCCTCTCTGTCTTGATTCTTCACTAGAACTGAAGCAGGACAGATAGTAATACTTGTGGTATACTTTTCTAATGGGGCTGTGGGGTTGCCGAATGGTTAAAGTATTTGTTGGTCCTGATTGTCCACATATCTACTACGTGAGAAGCCCATTCCCTGATTAGATTTTCCTGGTCTATTGCTAAAAACAGCTTAGAATCCTACTCACTAACTTACTCACTCTTTTCTTGTGAATGAAACTGACATTATTGTCTGAAGCTGCTGTAAAATCCAATCATTTCTTCATATATATAAAACTTGGGTATTTACAGCTTTATTGTTGAAGCAAGCTGGAAAGAATATTGTTAAGTTAAACAGTTACAATCAAGGTGATCTCTGGTGGATCCTGCTGACATGTTGTTGACTGCAGGTGTAAGTTGGGTTGTGGGGTGAAGCTGAACCCGTCCGAGCTCCTGGCTTTGGAAGCTGTGTGTGTCAACTGTGATGACAGTGGACTGTCCATACAGACCTATCAGTGGTCCGTCACCCGCTCCTCCACAAACCTGCCTATAGATGCAGCCAAGCTTGCTGTTGGAACAACTACCGGCATTCGTCAGTCAGTGTTTGTACTGTCGGCCAACTTCTTTGAGGTCTCCGATGTTTATGACATCAGGGTAACAGGTAACTATCTGGCATAACTATCTACCATACAGGCTGTGAATCTCTTCACCTAATAGTATTGCATATCACAATAAATAGTACCTACACATTGCATTACCTATATATAATGTAACTGTTGTTTCATTTAACAATGTTCCTATGACTGCATATGTTGATTGATTCACCTGTTACTCTGTAACAATTGACCTGCTTACTCAACAACTGTTGTTTACTCTAATGATTGACTGTTTCTGTGTTATGATTGATATGTTTACTATGTAATGTTTGACATGTTGACTATGGAACAATTGACATGTTTACTTTGTAGCGATTGATGTTTTACTCTTATTGAATGTTACTGTGTAACGATTGACCTGACTACTCTAATGAGTGAGTGAGTGAGTATGGTTTTACGCCACTTTAAGCAATATTCCAGCAATATCATGGCGGGGGACACCAGAAATGGGCTTCTCACATTGTACCCATGCCGGGAATCGAACCCTTATCTTCGGCGTGACGAGCGAACGCTTTAACCACTAGGCTACCCGACCGCCCCGACTACTCTAATGATTGACATGGTTGCTCTATAATGATTGACATGGTTACTCTATAGTGATTAACATGGTTTCTCTATAATGATTGACAGGGTTACTCTATAGTGATTAACATGGTTTCTCTATAATAATTGACAGGGTTACTCTATAGTGATTGACATGGTTGCTCTATAGTGATTGACATGGTTGCTCTATAATGATTGACATGGTTACTCTATAGTGATTGAAATGGTTGCTCTGTAATGATTGACATGGCTACTCTATAATGATTGACATGGTTACTCTATAGTGATTGAAATGGTTGCTCTGTAATGATTGACATGGTTACTCTAAAATGATTGACATGGTTACTCTATAATGATTGTCATGTTTGCTCTGTAATGATTGACATGGCTACTCTATAATGATTGACATAGTAACTCTAATGATTGACTGTTATTCTGTAATTCTGTAATGACTGACCTCTTTCTTCTGTAATGAACACAATACACAGTACTAGTATGTTAATTATCCAACATGCTCAAAGGGAGGTGATAGCATAAGCCTAAAGTAACAATATGTGTAAAAGTAAAAAGTCTTTTAATATTTTGGGGGAAACTGGGATTTTGTATAGAGACAGGATATGTGTCAGTCACTGCTTCAAGACGCACAATTGTCTGTAGAGAAGCAAACAATTAATTGTTTTTTGTAAGAAAGTTGAGCATGACCAGCACATTTGGCCTTTTGTGTGAAAAACAATGAGGCCAAAACAAAAAATTTAAAAAATCACAGGGGCACCAGACCCTGTCTCCCACCATTCAAGATCAAATAGTCAATCCCTAGGTACCAGCAGCCTGTATTGAGTTTGTATAGATCTCCCTTCATGATATTACTGTCACTACAAGGTAATGAATATCCTAGGTGCCAACAGCCTGTATTTAGTTTGTATAGATCTCCCTTCATGATATTACTGTCACTACAAGGTAATGACTATCCTAGCAACCAACAGCCTGTATTTAGTTTGTATAGATCTCCCTTCATGATATTACTGTCACTACAAGGTAATGACTGTCCTAGGTGCCAACAGCCTGTATTTAGTTTGTATAGATCTCCCTTCATGATATTACTGTCACTACAAGGTAATGGCTATCCTAGGTGCCAACAGCCTGTATTTGGTTTGTATAGATCTCCCTTCATGATATTACTGTCACTACAAGGTAATGAATATCCTAGGTGCCAACAGCCTGTATTTAGTTTGTATAGATCTCCCTTCATGATATTACTGTCACTACAAGGTAATGACTATCCTAGCAACCAACATCCTGTATTTAGTTTGTATAGATCTCCCTTCATGATATTACTGTCACTACAAGGTAATGACTATCCTAGGTGCCAACAGCCTGTATTTAGTTTGTATAGATCTCCCTTCATGATATTACTGTCACTACAAGGTAATGCCTATCCTAGCAACCAACAGCCTGTATTTAGTTTGTATAGATCTCCCTTCATGATATTACTGTCACTACAAGGTAATGACTATCCTAGCAACCAACAGCCTGTATTTAGTTTGTATAGATCTCCCTTCATGATATTACTGTCACTACAAGGTAATGGCTATCCTAGGTGCCAACAGCCTGTATTTGGTTTGTATAGATCTCCCTTCATGATATTACTGTCACTACAAGGTAATGAATATCCTAGGTGCCAACAGCCTGTATTTAGTTTGTATAGATCTCCCTTCATGATATTACTGTCACTACAAGGTAATGACTATCCTAGCAACCAACATCCTGTATTTAGTTTGTATAGATCTCCCTTCATGATATTACTGTCACTACAAGGTAATGACTATCCTAGGTGCCAACAGCCTGTATTTAGTTTGTATAGATCTCCCTTCATGATATTACTGTCACTACAAGGTAATGCCTATCCTAGCAACCAACAGCCTGTATTTAGTTTGTATAGATCTCCCTTCATGATATTACTGTCACTACAAGGTAATGACTATCTTAGGTGTCAACAGCCTGTATTTAGTTTGTATAGATCTCCCTTCATGATATTACTGTCACTACAAGGTAATGCCTATCCTAGCAACCAACAGCCTGTATTTAGTTTGTATAGATCTCCCTTCATGATATTACTGTCACTACAAGGTAATGGCTATCCTAGGTGCCAACAGCCTGTATTTAGTTTGTATAGATCTCCCTTCATGATATTACTGTCACTACAAGGTAATGACTATCTTAGGTGTCAACAGCCTGTATTTAGTTTGTATAGATCTCCCTTCATGATATTACTGTCACTACAAGGTAATGCCTATCCTAGCAACCAACAGCCTGTATTTAGTTTGTATAGATCTCCCTTCATGATATTACTGTCACTACAAGGTAATGACTATCCTAGCAACCAACAGCCTGTATTTAGTTTGTATAGATCTCCCTTCATGATATTACTGTCACTACAAGGTAATGCCTATCCTAGCAACCAACAGCCTGTATTTAGTTTGTATAGATCTCCCTTCATGATATTACTGTCACTTCAAGGTAATGACTATCCTAGGTGCCAACAGCCTGTATTTAGTTTGTATAGATCTCCCTTCATGATATTACTGTCACTACAAGGTAATGCCTATCCTAGCAACCAACTGCCTGTATTTAGTTTGTATAGATCTCCCTTCATGATATTACTGTCACTACAAGGTAATGACTATCCTAGCAACCAACAGCCTGTATTTAGTTTGTATAGATCTCCCTTCATGATATTACTGTCACTACAAGGTAATTACTATCCTAGCAACCAACAGCCTGTATTTAGTTTGTATAGATCTCCCTTCATGATATTACTGTCACTTCAAGGTAATGACTATCCTAGGTGCCAACAGCCTGTATTTAGTTTGTATAGATCTCCCTTCATGATATTACTGTCACTACAAGGTAATGACTATCCTAGCAACCAACAGCCTGTATTTAGTTTGTATAGATCTCCCTTCATGATATTACTGTCACTACAAGGTAATTACTATCCTAGCAACCAACAGCCTGTATTTAGTTTGTATAGATCTCCCTTCATGATATTACTGTCACTACAAGGTAATGACTATCCTAGCAACCAACTGCCTGTATTTAGTTTGTATAGATCTCCCTTCATGATATTACTGTCACTACAAAGTAATGACTATCCTAGCAACCAACTGCCTGTATTTAGTTTGTATAGATCTCCCTTCATGATATTACTGTCACTACAAGGTAATGACTGTCCTAGGTGCCAACAGCCTGTATTTAGTTTGTATAGATGTCCCTTCATGATATTACTGTCACTACAAGGTAATGACCATCCTAGCAACCAACAGCCTGTTTTTAGTTTGTATAGATCTCCCTTCATGATATTACTGTCACTACAAGGTAGTGACTGTCCTAGGTGCCAACAGCCTGTATTTAGTTTGTATAGATCTCCCTTCATGATATTACTGTCACTACAAGGTAATGACTATCCTAGCAACCAACAGCCTGTATTTAGTTTGTTTAGATCTCCCTTCATGATATTACTGTCACTACAAGGTAATGACTATCCTAGGTGCCAACAGCCTGTATTTAGTTTGTATAGATCTCCCTTCATGATATTACTGTCACTACAAGGTAATGACTGTCCTAGGTGCCAACAGCCTGTATTTAGTTTGTATAGATCTCCCTTCATGATATTTCTGTCACTACAAGGTAATGACTATCCTAGCAACCAACTGCCTGTATTTAGTTTGTATAGATCTTCCTTCATGATATTACTGTAACTACAAGGTAATGACTTGCCTAGGTGCCAACAGCCTGTATTTAGTTTGTATAGATCTTCCTTCATGATATTACTGTAACTACAAGGTAATGACTTGCCTAGGTGCCAACAGCCTGTATTTAGTTTGTATAGATCTCCCTTCATGATACATGTATTACTGTCACTACAAGGTAATGACTTGCCTAGGTGCCAACAGCCTGTATTTAGTTTGTATAGATCTCCCTTCATGATACATGTATTACTGTCACTACAATGACTATCCTAGCAACCAACAGTGAGTCTGAGGAAGGTGCCACAGTTTACACTGTGATCACCAACAGCCCCCCTAGCCCCGGGTCCTGCAGCATCTCCCCCCAGTCAGGCCAGGCCATCGTCACCCAGTTCACTGCCATGTGCAACAACTTCGTAGATGAAGACTTGCCCTTGCTGTATCGGATGTATCTGCAGAATGAAGCTGGGCAAAATGGTAACACTTTCTCCATTTCTTGTTTCTCTTTGAATATGTCAATAACATGAAACATTTTAGGGATAACAACTTTATTATTTGTTGTGACATTTCATGAGTACATTGGTAAAATGTAACAAATGTTATACTTGGGATAACACTTTCTTAGTAAAGTACAGATTCTAGTACTTTTTGGGGTTGAGTCCCATCCAGGATTTTAACCCACATTCTCAGAGAGGCACCTAATCGCCACCATGCAAAGTCAGGTATCTAACTCACTCAGCCAAACTCTTGAGATTGTGGGTTCGAATCACGGATCGAGTGAACCCCCAAAAGTGCTAGAATTTGAAAGTGTTATCCCAAGTATAACATTTGTTATGTGACATTTCATGGCTATTTGTTTGGTTTCAACAAAGTGTTCAAATCCTACAACATCTCTTTGGGTTTTCCTCTCAGATTAGGTTCATACATATAACCTGCCTCTGCTTGTTGTCACTCTGCATGGCACTCGTCATTAAGGGGATGAAACAAGGTTCGGTGGGCTCAGAGTCATTTAAAACAGAACCACACACGTGCATGCATGTCACTATAGAAGTACACTAATCATGAATACGACATTAATCCCCGTTTCACCTCACCTTAACTGATATAACTCAAATATTGTTCAAAATAAATAATGCATCAAATATAGTCACATGGTGGATGTAGAGATAAGACAGTTCTGATTTTTTCTGACAGTCGTAATGAAATTAAAGCTAGCCAGTAGCACTGTGCCCTGGGCCCACTTGCACAAAGCGATCTTAGCGCTATGATGATCATAACTCCCATACTTAAACATAGGCTTACAATAGTCGTAGCGCTAAGATCGCTTTGTGCAAGTGGGCCCTGGTAAGGATAATCAAACACATGGTCACTGGTTTGCTGTAGCTAGATAGTATTTACTGCAGAGCAAAACCCATAAATTCATTTTATCATATAATGGGCAGGTTTCTCGGCAGGATAAAGCCAACGGATAAAAACGATATCCGTTGGGGTCATATGCGTATAGAGATGCAAATATCAAAGGTCAAGTAGGACTACTTTCACTGTTTATAAACAAACATGGCGTCGTCCTCGTCATTCGGCGATCGAGTCAAAATTAACCATCGGGAATCTGGATAAACAACAGGGATAATTGCTATCATTATCAAAAGAACAGTCTAATATACTGAAAATCAGTGTCTAACTGTGACGTAGCTAAGGCATTTTATAAGTTTTGGCTACTTTGGAGGTATAAATTTCGAAACAATTTTGCGAGGGCGCGAGGCCTAGCCAAGCAGGATCAGTAGCAATATCTGTGCTTGTAAACCTCTGCGACTTGAAACCTTCTCCACAAATTAAAATAGTTGGATTTGGCCGAAATATGTTTGAATTGTTACCTTGTTTGGTTTTGTCGCTGTGTGTACATCTGACTACACTTCTTAACCTTATGACAGGACAGACCGACTGTCAACAACGTCTGACCGTGCCCGTGACGTCTCATAGACTAGGGTTAGAGTAGCTTCCCTTTGACAAAGGGCAGTTACTCTAGCGGACAGACCGATGGATTGCCGCGAAAGGCAATTAAAAACAACTGTTGTTTTGCGTATATGTTGCTTCGCCACTGTATAAGAAACAGATTTCAGTTGGAACTATATTGGCTACTGTCACTGTCCGACTGACACATCACTTACCCTGTGACGTAATAAATATTAATGCGCGCATTCCAGGAAAACTCGCAATGTTTCGGTAATGTTTGTGAGAGAGGGATAGCGATTTTAAAGCACAGAATTAAAGCATGACATTTTATGATAAAGAGGTTATCACGCTTGTGTGTTTGGGGATAGATAGAGGTTATCACGCTTGTGTGTTTGGGGATGGTAAATATCCTGTATTAGGAATAAAAACTATGTATTTAGCTCGCCAAGGCTCGCTAAATACAATGTTTATTCCTAATGCAGGATATTTACCATCCCCAAACACACTCGCGTGATAACCTCTATCTATCCAATTATATGAGACTTCATTATATCGATTTGTGATGACATTGACTAAATGCAATTTAACTTGTCAGCTAGTGGTGATTGATGGCTAGATGTATTCTGTACTTAACACTATTTTAAGGACCCCCGGTTCTTTCATATTGCTATTGACATTGCATGCCAGATTAACAATACTAATATGAAGGTCCTTGCCCTTCCTTTAGTGGTGCAGTCCTATATTCTAAGGTTGTCTTGCAGACATGCTGCTGTACTATGGCCAGGAGTCGTCAACCTCCCACCTGACACTTCCTGCAGGGCTGGAGAGCAGGAACTACACACACAATGTGTCCATCCTGGTGTTTGATTCTTATGATACAAGCACCTCTGTCACTGTCTCGGTACAGGTTAGTTCTGAACTATGTATGATTGTTGTCCAAATCTAATTCTGAATGCTGTAATTCTTCTTATGGTACTACAGTAGCATTATGTAATGTAATTATTTCATGAGGAGATACAGAATAATCAAAACGGATAACAAATCAATGGCAGAAGTTCAGTTGTTGCTATGAATGTTGAGAGAGATATGATTGGCACTACTGGATACAAGACACCTTCCTATTCACAAGGTGGCCTTGTGGTTTATGATGCTATGATTAGTTGTGCAGAGTTGCTGAAATAGCTGTATTTCGTTATTGAGCTCATCGAAACGAAATAGCTGTTTGATTATTCAGCTCATCGAAATGAAATCGCTGTTTCCTTATTCAGCTCATTGAAATGAAATAGCTGTGTTTTCTTATTCAGCTCATGCAGGTTGTTTTTATTATTGTTTTTCAACTCTTCTTTTTTTTCTTTCTATGAAAAACAGTAATTTCCAGTTCAACAACCCTTCCAGTTGATGGCCTGCTTGTCACATATATAAGATAATGACTGGTATATCTATGGTGAAGCTCAACAAAATTATGCTTGTGACACAAACTATGGACAATATTAGAATGATGATTTTAAGTGTGGTGCAACTTGGAGAAAGAACAAGAAAAGAGTTTATAATCAGGCCTCCAGTTTAGCGTTGGTTGGGAAACTGAAAACATGCTTAAATATTTATTGTTACCTCAACACAACTCTATGAATCTCTTCTGTTGTGGCTGCCAGGTGCTCAGCCTTCAGACAGGGTCTGAGTCTGTGAGTGAAGTACTTCGGGACATGGTCCAAAACTTGTCAGTAACAACAAGCAGTCAGGCAGGCAATCAAGGTAGGTATAGGTAGAATCATAAGATTTTTTTTCTCCAAATATTTGTTTATTTCGGTGTGATTTCAACAGTTCTATTCACTGCCGTATATCATGTGCTGTGATACAGATATTCTACGATTGGCTGAAAATATTGCTACAAGTCTCAATGACGAAGTTGGTGACTCAGCTGAAGAAAGTAAAGTTAAACGATCAGAGGTAAGTTGTAGCCTCAATAATACATAATGAATTGTCCTGTTTGCTGGTAACAATAAAATCGCAGTACTAATACGGGGTAGCCTTTTTGGCTCTCAAAATGTCAAGTTATAATGTTGCGGGAAAATTTTGAAATATTGTAATGAAAATTATCAGACAAAGGCATGAATAGGCAGATATTTAGTTGAAAAACTAAGTATGAGCAAGTCCGTGACTCAAGATGAATTGTTATGTCTATATTTACATCTTCAAGGAAAATCAATTGGGGTCACATACTAGAAAAATGTTTCATTTAAACCTAAAATATGCCAATAGCATATTTTATTCTCACCTGTGCCATTGTTGGAATGAACAAAGTTATATTCCTTTGAATACACTGCCTCTATTACTTCATAGCCAATATTCTTGCAACATCTGTAGAATTTCAACAAACATACTCTTCACTGTCAGCAATCCTAATCATACTTGTGTGTGTGTGTGTGTGTGTACTATTTTGGTGTAAAAATTGTATAGGTAGTATTTTTTACGTAATTTTGGACCATGGACTCACCCTCACCAACCACTGTCGTCAGTATGGAGGTTGGTATAGACCACATGTTGGCAGATAGGCATACAGCTCGTGTTCAGCACGATCCTTAACTTTACATAACAGATACCCCTCCTCGTCCACATGATTAGCAGCTACCACTAGCGTATCGGCAAGACGATCAGAAGCAAAACCTTCTGCATCTGTGGCGACGACTGTCCTCAACAGTTAAGCACAGGGTGGGCACATGTTCCACAGACATACCCTCTGCTGAGGCTGACCATTACATCAAGCCCTGCACGGATCAGCAGGATTACAACAGGGATCCTACTCCTTCCACGTGACCGTGGCTCACACCCAGTTGACAGTCAACAGTATGCTACAGACAGGGTGGCCATGGATCCCAACAGATCTTACATTGGTTGGCAGTGGTGTAGAGGAAGCAGCAGCTGTCAGTATATTACGACACAATTACACCTTTGTTGAACTGATGGAAGAAATCTATCACCTGCTGCCTAACTTACGGCCACCTGCAGCACCTGACCTGTCAACCCACAAGCCTGAACGGCCAGAGTTTGTCGACACACCTTCACCAGAACCTAGTTTCAACCCTCTGCCTTGGCCTTCATGTATAAATAAGATACTTACATAAGTTGGATTGCTGCCAGAGTTTGTCACGCAATGCTTCCTCTCCGTGAGTCATTTAAGTAATTGACAGAGGATACTCTGATGGAGATACGACTGGACTAGATGGGCTTTGTTCACTCTGTGCAGGAGAGTATTTTGAAAATGCAGGAAGATCTTATCTCGGTGCAGATGTAGATGTTAGTCAGCTTCAGCTCACCTGAAGACAACACCTCTTATCTCAGAGCCCGTCAAGAAGTCTGCTCGCACAACCCATCACAGCTGCAGTGCTGTTTAATCAGAAGTTGCACCAAATCATCAATGAGGTGCATCAGGACAAAACGGAATGTCTACCATCAACCTCGCGGCAACATCTAACAAGAGGCCTGTCAACTCGCTTCCTCATCCCTAAGATCCACCCTAGATGAAACATGTTGCTTTGGTCCGATATTCTTTTTGTTACGCCATGCCCTCTTTCCTCAGTCGTTAATCCCTAAGGTCATGGGAGGGTGCTGTTCATGACTTCCTAGGTGTAACTCTACATCAACCAACCCTATCAACCTTGTTTTGTCACTGGATGCCCACCAGGTTTCAATCTATCACCATCCCCATGACAAGTGGGGGAACGGATCAGAGATTACATCAACAATTGGCAGCTTCTCACATCTGACTGCCGGATTCTTGACATGATTTGAACTGGGTACAAGCTGCACTTCCATCAGTCCAACACATGTATCCCACCCTACAGGTCCTTGATTCCATCTGGGAATGACCAAGTTGGCAAATGCGTACTTTAGCCATCAAGACTCTACTTGAGAAGGGAGAAATTTGAGCACTTGCCAACTCGGATACCAGCGGAGGTTTCTGTTCTCTGGTATTCCTCGTGTCAAAGAAGAATATGTCAGAGACGTTGTTTGTTTGTTGTTTAACGCTGCACTCAGCAATTTTCCAGCTATATGATGGCGGTCTGTATGTAATTGAGTCTGGATCAGATTGATTGACATCATAGCATCAATCTACACAATTGTTATACAATGACATGCATCAACCATGTCAGCAAGCCTGACCACCTGACCCTGTTAGTCGCCTTTAATGGCAAGCATGGGTTGCTGAAGACCTATTCTAACCCGTATCGTCACAGGTATATCAGATATGTGTATGATCATCGGCCTGAAGCTCCTCAACAAAGACTACCTTGTACATCTGCCCATGTTCCAGATGGAATCGATCAAGAAGGTACAACCGCTCTCTGACTTGGAGACTGGTTAGTCACCTTAGACCTACAGGACACCTATGTTCCAGTCTGAGTGCCAAAAATACCTCTGATTCGCAGCCAACGAAAGGAGATACATGTTTCAAGTTCTCCCACTCGGTATATCAATAGCACCATAGCTATCCACTCGGATAATGGCTCCAATTATCAGCTTTGCTCACCTATCTGCATCTAGTGGATGTAGTTTATTGGAAAGAAATCATGTATCTCCCGCTCTGCACATGCGCTGAGGCATTCAACCAATATGGTATTCCTAACAACTGCTTAGGATGGCTGACAGTGAAGAGTAGTCTGTTGAAGATCTTTTTGGTGTGATGTTAACCAAATTGCAAGAATATTGTCGCACAATGATAACTATTGCTTGATATATCATAACTATCATAACATCTTGAAAAAACATTTTTAGTTCATACTAGTGAAAAACATTTCTGCCACAAAAATTACATTGTTGCTAGGTGTTTCTGGCTCGTTTCTCCAGTTTACAAAGATGTAGCTGAAAAATGACCTAGTCTCCATACAACATGCCAGGGCCTCTCTCTCTTTCTTTTGCTTCCATCCCTCTATGACGTATTGTAACCCTTTTATAAGCAAAGTAAAATATATTTTAGACTCGCGAGATTCTTCTGACGAAACTGTCCGATGTTGAAATAAAAAGTCAAGACTCCCTTGAGCAGATGACCAACATTATCGGAGAACTCACCACAACAACTGTAGAACTTACAGATACTATGCAGGTCTGACAAGAATGATCCCACTGCTCTTTATATTCTTTGATAGTCCATCTTGTAAATGATAATGATAATATTGATCATGATGTTTAACCTGGACTCCAAACAAGCATCATTCATCATTCAACCATCTATGGACCAGCATAAAATTTGACCCTGAAGAAATAGCGATAAATGTAAAAGTTTATGAAAAGAACAGTAATGTCACGACAGAGGTCTCCCGAAATGGGCTTGATATGTAGTACACTTTTGGGAATTTCAATCCAGATGTGGTGACGCATAACCACCAGGCTATATCCCATTAGCCCCTTCCTGTTACAAGACAGACATTGGATATGGACATTTCTATACAAGTTGAGTGAGTTGGGTTTAACGCCGTTTTTAACAGTATTCCAGTTATATCACGGCGTGTCAGCTTAATGTGGGAGGAAAGCCCGAAGTGATGCAGGTCTGAAATGTTTACCACTTCGGTGAAACCCACAAGCACGGGTATGGTGCTGACAAACCTAGAAACATAATCAGGGCGAACCGGGATTCGAACCCACAATCATAGGTTTCTGGCGTGCCCAAGGGACGCAACTCTGCACAGGGAATCATGGCGCCTTAGATGACTGGGCCACCCGTGCCCCCCAATACAAGTTGAATAGAATCCCTCACATCACTTAAATCAGTGTTATAGGTGGGAGACCATATGGTGTATACTGTACTTTAGTGAGAAATGTTTTGTTTGTTTGTTTGTTGTTTAACGCCACACTCAGCAGCATTCCAGCTATATGACGGCGGTCTGTAAAATAATCGAGTCTGGACCAGACAATCCAGTATTAAGTAGTTTAACCTATAGACATTTTTTTCAAGTTGACAGATGACAAAGTAGACACAATTCATGGACAGCACCTTCTTTAATGTACTGTTGCAGCAATGTTTTGGTTCAGATCTATACCATGATGTTGCTATAATAGTATGTTAAAGAAGTTGTTATCCATAAATTGTATCTACTGTGTAGTTTAACCCAAATGTGATGTTTCCATGGTTGTAGGACCTTGCTGTCAATGTTAGTGCCCATCTGACTGAGAGCTTGGGAGATGTAGCAGAAACTGCACCCACAGTGGCCAAATCCATAGCTATGTAAGTTGGATCAACTTTTGTATACTGGTACATTAGCCCAGTCACAATAATAGTCTTGTTTCTCGTGATTTTTTTCAATACTGACTGTGTAGGGTGGGTTTTATTTTTATTTCTTTATTTTCTTACTTTCTAATGTACAATATGGCTGGTTTTATTGTTTACTGTCGCACTCATCATTATTTTAGCTATATGATGGCAGTGTGTAAATAATCAAGTCTGGACCAGACAACCCAGTGATTGACATCATGAGCATCGATATACGCAATTGGGATACGATGCATCAACCAAGTCAGTGAGCCTGACCACCCGATTCTGTTAGTCGCCTCTAACAACAAGCATAGGTTGGCTTCATGGCTGACTCAAAGCATGAAAAGACCAGGTCAAAGTCATTAAGGACGCAACCAAGTTCTCCTGAGAATCAGACCTACACAGTATCAGTTGCAATCTTGCGCAAAAGCGAACTTTGACTTGTCAACAGCTGATGTAACCTTATGATCCCTGCTGCATCCAACATGTATGTGATGGTGGAGGATGACAAGGTGGCCCTGGATGTGCTCTTGTGTTTCATTGCAGGAAGCAGCTCCTCATCCTGGAGAACCTCATAGAGCTGACTGTTAACCCAGGGGCAGAGACGACTCCAGCCCCGGGTTCAGGAACCAGCATCCCACCAACCAAGACAGTAGGTGGTGCACCTTATCCTTGAATTAATTGATGAGGATGTTTACTGAGAGCAATAAACTACCAAGGTAATAATTCTTTGGTCAGTATTAACCTAAATGTACAATTATGCAAATTAAATTTTGCAGTTTGAACATAACATGAATGTAGCATGATAGAAATCAATAATCAATCAATTAGTGCTTAGTTTCATGCGCTTTGATGCAAAGTTACGTTGTCTTGGATCAGTTTCATTCGTTTACATCAGTGTGCACTTGTTATTATAATGATTGCACATTCTGGCTAATTGTTACCAATAATTGTTCCTATAGAAGATAGAAGAAAAGACAAAGCCGATTCTAGATGTGTACGAGAAAATTGGAGACGCCATGTTGCGAGGAATACAGTTTGCCTCTGAGGAACCACTACATATAGAGTCTAAGAAGACGTCTCTGGCACTTGCCTGGACTAAGGCAGATGACGACAGTGACATGGAGCTGACTGCTAAACTACAGGACAATGGACAGGCGGGACAAATTAAGATTCCAATCAAGTCAAGTCTCCAGAAAAGCTCTACAATCAGCACTGATGTTGAAGCAGTCAATGTTCAGGTGAAAATGTTGAAGCATGAATTTTTGTGACGATGTATGTGGATTGTATATTATTGACATTCTTGAACTAAATGTGTTAATCAATATAGCAAACCTTGGAAAATTGTGTATCCTTGAACGGTCATCAAAGACCATTCATATGACTTTGTGACTTTGTGAGGTCATTTCATTATACTATTATTAATGGCATTATAAATTAATTGTTACTTTTTATCCAAGTCAGTGTCGCTAACAGACACCCAGTCTCACATAAAGTTAATATCCCGAGTACAGATGAAGAAAACATCAATATCATTAGACACTTTATGTACATTGATGCCATGAGCAAGGAGCTCTAACTTCAGCAAGGCGTTCAGAATTGTGTTTTCATGTTGACTTTGTCTTTACATCAACAAGGAGTTCAGAAAACTTTTTTCTCTTTGTGGAACAGGTCCAGGTGATGTCAAGCAATCCTTTTGTTTGGGATGACTCAGCTGAGGGCATCAACCTCCCGATTGTCAACATCATCCTGAAGAGCCGAGGGCTGCATGGAAGGAAGCTGACGCTGGAGGACCTGCTGAAGCCCGCTGACATCATCATCACTGATAACAGTAGGTCACTCCTTGTAGCATCCTACAAACACAAGGGCTGGATGCTACCCTGTCTTCTTTCACTATACAATGTCTATGAGAATTTTCCTCTGATCTGCAACATCAAATATTTCTCTACGTCAGGGGTCACTTTTGTACCAATACAATGTATGCGTTCATCATATGGTTCACCTAATTTTCAGTAATCTCATTTCTGACTATAGATAAATGGTATAAGATCAAATGGTATATTTTGGACATTTTGAGAATTTTATCAGTATTTTAGAAGATCTCCTTCCTGCTTTTGTTTGTTTTTCTGTCGATATTACCCCTTGCCACATAGGTAGAGGCTGTTGTATATTGTGGCTGCCATCTGTTAACAAGTAGAATTAAAGGCCATTCTATTATGTCGTTAGAAATTGTATATGAACCAAGACAGAAAAAGCTGCCGTTTATTATAAGGGCCCAACTATAGGCTTTTATGATTAAAGAAATGACTTTTTTGAAGTAATTAAGTTATCTGAATTTTTTTTATCAGTGAGTATTAGATTTCCAACACTTTTAGGGTGACTTTTGGACATCTTACAACAGCAAATGCAGAAAAACAAGGCTAAAGTGTGTAGAGGCTCATGGAAAGTAGTTATCTCATCTCACTATCATTGTACCTCACCATTGTGACCCTCCCCTAGAGACTTTCATTTTTTTGGGTGACCTTCCCCTGGTTCCCTCTGACCAGTCCACCCCTATGATAAATGATCGGTCTCTAAGTATTTAAGTAAAAAATATATTGCATATTAATAATTTTGTCTTGCTCTTTAACTTCAGCAACAGTCTCTGAGCATGCCTGGGAGAACCATGAGCTAAACGTAACTGTTGACAGCAACAGCAACAACATCATCTCCTCAGACAGCAAAGCCATCAAAATCGCCAGCAACAGCTCATTGATGGTCAAACTTAATAGTGTAAACACTTCTCTCACACTAAAGGTATTGGTCAAAATTAACAGCGTCCTCTTCGCCAATGAGGTAGTAGACTCTGGATTTGACATGCCACTCTCCCCCAACCTGTTACTGCGGTCAGGGAACTTAACCCAGGCCCCGGACCTGGTGTTCCTGCCCAAGATGGAGGGCAATGACTCCTACTATACTGTCGGTTTCACAATCAAGCCTGGCCAGAGTCTGGACACAGAAGGGCTAAAGAATGGAACACTGGTGAATGTGAGAGTCGAGACCTACAGTTTGACCTGCTCCTACTGGGACGAAGGCCTGGAGATGTGGAGCACCAGGGGCTGTCTGGTAAGGGATGTGAATGTTCAGAATGACTGAAAGGATATAATAAATTATTTTTAGATTTTCATCCGAACCCATCACTTCATTTTATTGTCGCAAGGTAAGTACAATTAAAGATAATTGCTTTGTGTGTTGTCTTTTTACTTGATATACATAGTCCTACCAAACAGACCCATGAAGATCAAGGGTAAAATTGATCTTCAACAACCCATGCTTGGCGTAAGAGGCGACTAATGGGATCGGGTGGTCAAGCTCACTGATTTGACACTTTGATACATGTCATCGTATCCCAATTGCGTAGATTGATGCACTTGATATTAATCACTGGATTGTCTGATTGAGACTTGATTATTTACAGACTGACGTCATATAGCAGGACTATTGTTGAGTGCCGGGCTAAACAGCAGACTGATGCTTCATGCTCCAAATTGATAACATCTATCTACAGTTAATGTACACAAATGGCTTAATTAAAAAGTCTGATCAAGACTTGATTATTTATGAACAACTTTTAAGATGAAAATAAATGTTCCAACTACAGTTCACTGTTCAAGAGTGATTTTAATTGTTTTCATTTCAGGTTAGTCCATTCACGACACTGGAGAGCCTTCATTGTCTGTGCAACCATCTGTCGGTGTTTTCGGGAGGTATCTTTGTGGCTCCCAACACTGTCAATCCCGTCACAGATATTGTTCTCTTCCTACAATTCTTTGACAACCCTGTTGTTGTGTCAGCTGTCATTGCCCTGTGGGGAGTTTACCTTCTTGTTCTGTCCTGGGCAAGACAGAAGGATAAGGACGATGCCAAAAAGGTGAGCCCTTTGTAACATTACAAATATCTAGAAATGTTTTTGGCGCGCCGTCTGTCCAAAGGACCTTTTGAGAATATGTTGTGGCTAGCATTCCAGATTGAATTGAAATTGTCAATTTTTGTGAGTGAGTGAGTATGGTTTTACGCTGCTTTTAGCAATATTCCAGCAATATCAAGGCGGGGGGACACCAGAAATGGGCTTGTGGGGAATTAAACCCGGGTCTTCAGCCTGACGAGGGAACATTTTAACCACTAGGCTACCCCATAGCCTCCAATTTTTGTGTGTTTGTTCAAGACATCTGAATTGAAAATACTGTTGTTACGTTAATTCAATTTATTAGAAACTGTTTTGCAGTATTCTTGAACGAGGTAATGCTGATTAAGGCCTTTTTTGAACATCGGTCATGTGACTGGCAACTAGCTTTTCAAATTTTAAAGCTTAAATGTTTACATTAAGAAATCATTACAGATAGGAACCACAGTACTGGCTGACAATGACCCCAGTGACAAGTATGTGTACCTGATCTGTGTGGTGACTAGCTGGTGGCCCCAGGCCGGTACCACCGCCAATATCTTCCTCTACCTCCGGGCACGCTACAGGCAGAGTGCTCGTCACATCCTGGCAGACCCACATCGGAAGCTGTTCACTCCCGGGGCAGAGAATTGGTTTGTCCTCACCACCAGCAGGAGACTCGGCAAATTGAAATCTGTTGTTGTCTGGCATGACAACAAGGGGAAGAACCCATCTTGGTAAGTGAATAGGATTTCAGTCATATCACATTTTACATTCAAGCTTTGTTGTATGTAATAGAGGTTGATATTTGTGAATCACAATAGAAGTTGCATCAAATGAAACATAAAAGTTTATTCTTCTCTGCCATTTTGTGAAGTAGTAACTCAGCTTGACCTTGAGGTTCAAGTTTGATGGACACTCGAGTACCTGCATTGTACACATACATTGTACACGATCCCGAGTGTTCATCTAACTTGAACTTCTCGGTCTCGGATATGTAACTATTACAAGTCAGCTAGGTATGGGAGGAAATTCTGAAGTGTTGTAGGTCTTAGATTATGTACCACTTTGGTGAAACCCAGAGGACAGGTACGGTGCAAACAAACCAAGATACAGTCAGAGCAAACCGGGATTTGAATCTATGTTTCCGGCACAACTATAGGATGCAACACTGCATAGCTAATACTGGATTTTCCACTCCGTTCAGTGAAGGTAAATATGGCTCATCGAGTATATCATAGTAACATCTTGATACAAGTATACAAAGCCTATATCCCCCATTACCTGCTGGTTTCTGACAGAATGAGACTACTAGTCGCGTGTTGTGCAGATGGTTTGCAATGTAACTAACCAGATCTTCCTGCGTCTGCTACAGAATGGAGGCCATTTTGTAAACAAAGCTTGTCCTGTGTCCAGTTAAAATCAAGGGAGATCTCACAGACCGCAATATGGACCATTGCAGCACCTAAGATGTATGGGCTACCTTTGCCCATGCCGAGGAGTATTAAGTGCCATCTTAAACCATACTGAGGATTATTGTTGGAGAAATCTGGTATTGGGGTCATTGGGCAGTGGATCATGATTGCTAAGTGACGTCTTAAACCGTATCAAGGATTATTATTGGAGAAATCTGGTAATTGGATCATTGGTGGATCATGACAGCTAACCAACGTCTTAAATCGTATCAAGGATTATTATTGGAGAAATCTGGTATTGGGATCATCGAACAGTGGATCATGACAGATAAGCGCCGTCTTAAACCGTACCAAGGATTATTATTGGAGAAATCTGGTATTGGGATCATCGGCCAGTTGATCATGACAGCTAAGCACCGTCTTAAACCGTACCAAGGATTATTATTGGAGAAATCTGGTATTGGGATCATCGGCCAGTTGATCATGACAGCTAAGCACCGTCTTAAACCGTACCAAGGATTATTATTGGAGAAATCTGGTATTGGGATCATGGGCCAGTTGATCCTGACAGCCAGGGAACGTTTATGTTTCAAAACATAGACATTTAGGGATGTTTAACTATCTTGTCAAATAATATGTTTATCTCAGCGAAGTAAATTGCCTTCATTTTTCATGAGTGACGTACTACAAATGTTCTACTTAAAATGTATTTCTTTGTGATCTTCATGATCTCATTCTAAAAACCATTGTGTCATTGACATGATTTGATATTTATATATTGACTCATTATTTCATCACACCATGTACATACATAATTAACATATATGGACTTAATATTGTTGAATATATCTAACAATGATGTTTTGACCACCATACAATTAAAAGCAGACAGAACCTTTGTAAGACAATGCCAGGTGGAAGATGTATTGACATAGACATATTGTTCATTAATTAAGATAAATCAAAGACATAGCTTGTCTCCTTTCTCTCTTCTGTTATCTACAAATGGTCATAAAATCATTGAATCTACTGCAAGGCATAATTCCAAGATATCCTGTACATGTGTTGCAGGTTCTTGAAGGAGGTGGTAGTCCGTGACATCCAGACTAAAGAAGTATGGCACTGTCTGTATGATGACTGGCTTGCTGTCGACAGAGGACCTGGCTTCATCCAGGTGGAAATCCCATCTCTCAGTCAGACCAACATGGATGATCATCACCTGTACCAATTCATGCTCCAGTCCAGTCAAGACTTCCGGAACAGTCATCTGTGGATCAGCATCTTCTCCAAGCCAGCCTACAACCAGTTCACGCGAGCCCAGCGGCTGACGTGCGGCCTGTGTCTGCTCCTCACCACCATGTTGACCAGCATCATGTTCCATGGGGTGCCCACCGACGCCCCGGAGGACCAGGTCCAGAGTGGCCAGGTGGCTCTGTCTCTCAGTGGAATTGTCATAGGAATCCAGAGTGGCTTGATTATGTTTCCTATCAATACTATCTTCCTTGAGCTCTTTACTCGGACAGCTCCTAAAGAAGTTCCAAGTTTGAAATCATTGCCGGGGGAGGGAAATAGGGATGCTACAAGTAAGACTGGAAAGGATGAGGTATGTGAAGAAGATATAGAGATTTCTATTTGTAATACAAGAACAGAGTCAGGGTCACGGAAAGCTAAATGCAAAGATCTGAAGTGCTGTGTTTCAAGGAATTCTTCTGAAGTGGTCAGTGATTCTGAGTCAACTGGATCTAACGCAGATAAACCTTCAGTAAAAGAAAAAAGGAGTGATAAGGTGGATTTTGTAAAAGCAGACACCTGTGGTGGGGATTCAGTAACAGTAGGCACGGATGAAGTGGATTTGGCAATGTCACGTGCAAGGAGAAAAAGCAGTACAACACAGACAGTTGACGCAAAGAAAAAAGTGAAAAAGTCATTCAGGTATGCCATTTTTTAACTTCATGTTTTATGTAATGTTGAGGATATCTAATGTTTTAAGTCTTTGGTGTCTATAAACATCGACCTATAAACCATACATATTTTAGGTCTTATGGTTGGTAGTTAGATAGTGCTTTGTTGCTGCCTCAAAGGAAAAAAAAAACACTTGGTATTTGGTACGTGGATCTGGAGGGATTACAACAGAATCAACAATGAAAGAATTAAGCGTAAATTGTTTCCCAAATTATTTGCAATATTTTTAGTAAGTGCGCACACTGACTCACCCACACTCACAAGATAAACTGTAGAAAAAATAAATGCTTGTAAAAAATAATTATGCTTCCAACTGTTTGGGAAAAAGAAATTGCCTGCCACAAAAAATACATTGCTGCAAGATGGTTTAAAAAAAAGAAATTAGGTTCTTAGTTCTAAATATCTCATTTTGCTACTGTAGTTGAAAAAAATATGGAGTTTCCATACAAAATCCCAACTCTCATGGATATGAAATGGTGAGTCCCTAACACGGTTCCCCTGTGTTTTTGTTGCTGCAGCTTCCCCTGGTGGTTCCTGTACATTACCTGGACACTGTGCCTGGCTACCTGCATCATCTGCTCCTTCTTTGTGATGCTGTACGGCCTCAAGTACGGCTACCAGAAGAGTGTGGACTGGCTTGTGTCTTTCTTAACTGCCTTCACGCAGAGCGCCACCGTCACTCAGCCAATCAAGGTGGTCGTCCTGGCAGTGCTCCTCACACAAATACTCAAGCGACCAGTGAATTACGACAGCTGGACGCCTACTGAAGGTGCAGGCATGTGTAGTGCATGTGATTTGTGATACCGAGTATTTCTCAGCAACATTGCATGATATGGGTTGTGGGGTTGATGATCTCGACTCAGACATAGAAGCTACCGGGGTACTAGGATTTTATGAATTGTGCTCCCGAGAAAAATAAATTTAAATGTCAGAAACTGAAAAGTATAGTACAGCCTGTTTTTTTATCACTTGTTTTTCAGATTTAAAACTGTATTGTTTGTACTGTTTTTTTATGGTATCTTCTTTAAATTATTGATGGTCTGGTTTTGTGGGAAAATTACAAATATGACTTAAAGTTTGTCTGTATTATTACAGAAATCAAAGGCTTAATCTCTGTCCGTTTAGATGTGAATGTCAACGTTTGTGCCATGTTGGCTACAGTTCCAAAAGGCAAATGATTCTGGTAACATAAGCTACAGATACCATCATGAACAAATTTGACTGTAAACCAGCATCCTTTTAATCCATCACTAATAACAAGCATTCAAAATTGATGCTGACAAGACAGCAATAGATCTAAAAGTCTGTTATCTAAAAGTCTGGGCCAAAACCTGTTTGAATCTACCAACCCGAACATGGCTCTCATCATTTTCATTACATGTTAGTGTTATCATATGGACTACTATTAGCTGAGTTTACAAGACTGAATAGAATTTGACTAGACTTGTGCTTCAGGCTGGTGGCAGAGTGATGCTACTTTATGCAGTATCACTTCAGAGTACATCAAACAATGTTGAAATCGAAACTGAGTCTTCCTGATGATGAGTAAATACTTTAACTAACCCACTGCCACACTTTCTTGAAACACACTTTAACCAAGAGAGTGCACTGTAAAGATTCAAGGTTCATACAGGCTTGAAAAGACCTTGAATTTTAAGGGCCCTCTTGAACAGCCTTGATTTTTAATGTCAACCTTGAAAAGCCTTGAAAATCACAAAAATAGCTTGAAAAGCCTTGAATTTGAACAAAATGACATATTCTTAAAAGTGTCAAAACTCATGACACTTAATTAATTTTATGTGTTGGTGGTTAAAATATATCTTAGAATATTTGTTGTTTATACGGCTTTTTTAGGTCGTATGACTAATATATGGTATGCTGGATTTAAAAAAGAAATATTGACAGATTAAGGCTAATAACCGAACCAAAAAGCCTTGAAAATAACAGTTGAAATATTGAAAAGCCTTGGAAAGCCTTGAATTTAGTGTTTCACATCTTGTTAACCAAGAGAGTGCACTGTAACGATTGTACTAAAATTATACATGTAAGTTACATTTATTGCCAGTCTGATTGTTACTTGGATTCTTCTGCTACTGTTACAGAGGAGGAAGTGGAGACGTTGAGAGAGAAAGTGGCATCACAAGTTAAATCTCAAGTGACTGATCACCAGCGATATTACACCCCCCCACTGTCCACTCGAGTGCTGCAGGAAATTTGTAAAAGAATCCAACTTGATAACAAAGCCAGGATGATACTGTATGAGATTCTTCTGTATTTCACCTTTGTGGCGATAGTTCTACTGATGATCTATGGTCACAGGGACATCAACCTGGTGTACAGGGTCACCCACACCACAGAGACTATGTTCACAGAGGGCACAGGATTTAGTGAGGTGGACCATGTAGAAATTATTTCTGTGTCTCATGAGGCTTTGTTTCAGTGTTTGTCTATGTTTAAAATTAAGCATGAATGTTAAGGGAGCCCTGTCTTAAACCTAACATAAAATGATTATGATAAAGAAGGTCTCTCAATTGAAAACTGGTGAGGGGTAGCCTAGTGGTTAAAGCGTTTGCCAAAGACTGGGGTTCGATTACCACATGGGTGCGACGTGTGAAGCCCATTTCTGTTATCCCCCGCCGTGATATTGCTGGAATATTGCTAAAAGTGGCATAAATTCACACCCACTTACTCACACACTCTAAATTAAAATACTACAGCTGCAGAACTCACTCATTCCAGGACTTCTGTAGCTACATGCACCTCTGTGCGTCTGCTTGTTCTAGTACAGACTAATGTCAATTTTTATAGTGCTAGCTATTGTTTGTTTGTTATACCCCTGACCTAAAAGGGTGGGTGTATATAGTTATACCAAGGTATTTCGTCCGTCAGGGCATCTATCCATTCTTCCGAGGACATTTTTTGTGTGCAACCTATAACTTGAAAACGACTGAATATATTCTTTTCCATCTTGGAAACACTTATTATATGCATAAGAAAGGTGCAGTGCAAAGTTTGATTTTGGTAAGTTGATTATCTGAGAAAATAATGCTTTTTTCATGTTTCGAACATAGAAATATGTTGGAGTCAAAGTTGGGGGTATTAGTGAGCCCTATTTTGTCTTGTTTACTTGTCATTTAACACTGCACTCAGCAATATTCGTGCCACATGGCAGTGTCCTGTAAATAACCAAGTCTACATTAGTCAATCCAGGGACTGACATCATGAGTGTCAATCCACGTAATTGGGATACGATGACATGTAATCAATCATGTCCCAATACCTGAGCCTGAGTCCCAATACATTTAGTCGTCTCTTCAACAGGCATAGGTTGCTGGGGACCTGTTCTTATCCAGAGTCCCCACTAGTTAGATGTAGAGAGTGACATGAATGAGTATGCTGTTGCAGGTGTCCACAGTGGACTCCATGTGGAAGTACCTGCAGGGGGACTTTCTGAACAACCTTGTGTCAGGCACTGATGCTTCATCCCCAACATCTTGCCAAGCTTCGTACCTTCTGGGAAAAGCTCGACTGAGGCAGCTGAGATTGAATCCTGGTAAGATATACCCTTCACTTGAAGGGCAGCACAGTTAATAGACTGTGACATGTAGCCACCCTTTCAAAATGCAAGACCTAAAATTAACTACAGTGAATTCCATATTGTAGTAAAGCAAAACATTATCTATGGTTAAAATAGCACAGAAATTACAGGCTCCATAGACAGCATGTTTAAATAGAGACCACACACTTTGGGAACCTCAATTCATTCCTAAATTGCTTAATGTCATAGGGAGCTGGCACAGATATTCTAAAAATTTGTATAACAAGTCAAGTCCAACCTGTGTTGCCATAGGAACTAAGGTTTAATACAAGTGTAGGAGTTAAAAAATTAAGAGTCGTGATCTGGTAATCAAACTTTGATGTCAATTTACGTTCCACAGTCAGGATGTGGATTATAACCATATTTGCCATAATAAGTTTCGTTGGGCAGTTAGAAGATTGATAAATAAGGGTGACTATCAATACCATACACAAGTTAAACAAATTTCAGACACTGAGTGGTAGTGAACAAGCTTTGTTCAAATGTTGCAAAACTAAATTATTTTTTTAATAATAGTTACTTACAAGGCAATTATATATGTTTTCTGTTAAACATCTGTTATATACACAATAAAATATGGACTATATGTCTGGGGCACCTGGATCACCGTCAGATTGGTAAATAAAAATAATGTCTTACTCTGTTATGTTTGTTGCAGGTACATGTTCCTATCCAGCAATTATGAAAAAGTTTGCATCCGTCTCCTGTACGGGCCCTTATTGGCTATCAGATGAAGAAACTGGTCACTACAACACCTCCTGGTCCAAGTCTGTGGCCACCCCTGCCACAACCACAATGTACACCTACCAGTCTTCATTCCAGTTGGTCACCATACCATTTGTTGGCCTGCTTGCCACCTACTCGGGTGGCGGCTACGTCCAGGAGCTGCCCAGGTTACCAGACAGCGCCAGAGGTGTCATGGACATTATCCAAAGTTCGGACTGGATCGATCAGTACACTCGGGCCCTGTTTGTGGAATTCAATCTGTATAACCCGAATGTTAACCTGCTGAGTGTCGTCATCCTGGTGTTTGAATTCACCAACTTGGGAGGTGTGTTTCCTTACTACCAGATCTTCACATCAAAGCTGTATCACTACAGTGGGGAGTTTGAACAGTTTGTGGCAGCGTGTGAAGCCATGTTTCTCATATATGTAATTATTTTCACATACCTGGAAATCAAAAAGTACAGACAGATGTCAACCTCTGAATATTTCCAGGACACCTGGAGTTATGTTGAGATTATCATCCTTGCTCTGTCCTACACTGTCTTCGGGCTGTTCATACAGAGGATTGTCACAGTGGACTATTCCATCAAACTCTACAAAGAGTCCATGGGACAGTCCTTCGTCAGTTTCTACCCTGCAGCTTCGATCGACATCATCCTACAGTACGTCATGGCAGCACTTTCAATTTTCATAATTCTCAAAGTCTTCAAACTACTCCGATTCAACTTAAGAATGTCCATCTTAGCTGGAAGTTTAAAACGCTGCAGAGGCATCTTGTTTCAGTTCTTCATCAAAGTTTTCTTGTACACAATGGCCTTTGCTTGTTTTGGTCTGTTAGTGTTTGCCACTGAGCTTCAGGAGTACAGTAGCTTTGGTACAAGTTTAATAACATTGTTCAATTTTGCCTTGGGAGCATCAGATTATTTTGGACTTGAATCGGCAAGTAGGACCCTAGGGCCTGCGTTCTTCTTCATGTTTTCCTTCCTATTTCAGTTCCTACTGATCAGTATTTTCATTTCGATTGTCATGGATGGCTATGCTTCTATGGTAGAGCATGTTCTCTCACTGCACACAGAGTTACACATGGTGGAGTTTATCTGGAGGAAGATCAAGCTCCGCACCATGAAAGACAAGAAGAGGAAGAACGCCTACCAGAGAGACCTTTATAAAATCCAAACCAGAAGGTGAAACTGTTAATACTGGTCAGTTGTGGTCTGAAGCCATCGGATCAGCGCATGAAACTGTTGATACTTGTCTGTTGTGGCGTGAAGCCATCGGATCAGCGAATGAAACTGTTGATACTTGTCTGTTGTGGCCTGAAGCCATCGGATCAGCGAATGAAACTGTTGATACTTGTCTGTTGTGGCCTGAAGCCATCGGATCCGCACATGAAATTGTTGATACTTGGCCTGAAGCCATCGGATCAGCGAACGAAACTGTTGATACTTGTCTGTTGTGGCCTGAAGCCATCGGATCAGCGAATGAAACTGTTGATACTTGTCTGTTGTGGCCTGAAGCCATCGGATCAGCGAATGAAACTGTTGATACTTGTCTGTTGTGGCCTGAAGCCATCGGATCAGCGCATGAAACTGTTGATACTTGGCCTGAAGCCATCGAATCAGCGAATGAAACTGTTGATACTTGTCTGTTGTGGCCTGAAGCCATCGGATCAGCGAATGAAACTGTTGATACTTGTCTGTTGTGGCCTGAAGCCATCGGATCAGCGAGTGAAACTGTTGATACTTGTCTGTTTTGGTATATATATAGCAATCAGATCAGTAGGTGACACTTTTGATGCTTGTGGTGCAATGCAAATCAAGTTTGAGACAAATTCTGAATTATCATGCTTGTCACATGTAACACAGATAGTGGTGCAAAGTTATTATACATGTAGTTCCAAATGTTGAATTTACTGAATCATGTATTTGAAATAAATGTTTTCGTTAGTTGATAAGTATACTTTACTATACTATACTATTTTGTTCCCGAAACCAATCATTTGTCGTATATATATATACACAATGCATTTGGAATGGAATAATATGATGTATACTAATGGGAAAAAGTAACTGTGCTTCTTATAAAGTGGTGTAAATGTTTTTTCATAACAATTTCATTGACGAAACCTATACCTGGTTACAAGAGACACAGACACGCTCTAAAAGAGGAGTGGAGTAACAACTCAATTAACAATGTCAATATTGGGTGTGACCACCACTTGCATTGATACAGGTGAGGCTGCAGCAGCCCATGGAAGCAATATTGGGCCCATCACTGGACGTTTAGGCCGGATGTTGTGCTCCCTCAACCAGTCGCGTATGGTTCTGCCAGTAAGTGGTCTCAACCTAGAAATTGTTCAAGCTGTTAATGTAGCAGTTTGGTATTGATTCCATACATGCACCAACCGAATATGGTTGTCTTGTTGAAGCAACATCACGTGGACGACCTGCCCGTGGCCAGTCATGAGTGTTTCCCTGATGTAGATAACATCTCCAAAGAGATACTATAGTGTTTCGATGAACATTGAAATGACTGGCAACTTTGTTTTGCACCATTCATGTTTGCAGCATACACACGTGTGTAGATGTTTTCAGCAAGCCAAGGCCTTGCATAAGCATTATTTACGGTTAATCCAAAGTGTTTCTATGAGCACCTGATAGCTAAACAATCACTTGTGCTGTTCACATTCAGAAACCAAATGTGTATCATGCTTCAAATCAACACGCAAACATCCAAACTCTGTGCCATGTATAATGCAAACTGTGAAACAGGACCTTAAATATATATTAAAAGATGCATTATTTTATTTCAAAATAAATATATTTTTATTAAACTTTATATGAAGCACAGTTACTTTTTTCCATTTGAATACATTTATTCAGGTGCTTTCCAACCCAGCAACTATAGATGACTAGTGAACTGCTCAAAGTTGTCTTACCTAGCTAGGGCACAGGTGGCCCAGTCATCTAAAGCGCCACAATTCACTGTGCAGAGTTGCTTCCCTTGGGCACGCCAGAAACCTATGATTGTGGGTTCGAATCCCGGTTCACCCTGATTATGTTTCTATGTTTGTCAGCACCATACCCGTGCTCGTGGGTTTCACCGAAGTGGTAAACGTCTAAGACTTGCATCACTTCGGGCTTTCCTCCCACATTAAGCTGACACCCCGTGATATAACTGGAATACTGTTAAAAGCGGTGTTAAACCCAACTCACTCACTCTTACTTTGCTTTAACTAGATCACTCCCACATGAAGATGTTCTTAAAAGGAAGTGGCTGTGAGGATGCCAGGGGGGGATAGGTCCCAGTATCCCATGGTTGCAAGAGCTGGCTAAAGCGGTATGGGTGGCTTGGCTGATTGCATGGCGTCCTGCCTCATCATGTGGATGTTGATCACTGGTTTGCCTGGTCCAGACTTGATTATTCAATGTGGCATGAACCACATCCACTCACTAACTCACTTAAATGGATGAGAACAAACTTTATCATTTTTCGTTACAGAACCTGGCTGTCTGATTGGCTAGTCGACATCTAGCAGAAAATCCCAAACAAGTCGGTTGGCTGGCCTGTACGGATACCTTGACGTCATCATGTTTGATGTCATGTTACAGTCAATACTGTTTCCATTCGAGTTATATGCTGTCTAATGGCAGTGACAGGATAGATTTAATTGTCACACCAAGTATTCACCAAACATAAGTCTTGTAAAGGGGCTCTCACACTTTGCCGAGTTGCATCCCGAGGATGGACCCGAGCTGACTCGGGGGTGCTCATATGGAGCTCGTATCAAGGTCATACTAAACTCGGGGTAACTCGGGATACCTTGTACCGATCTACGAGAGTTTTGGAACTGCTCAAAACACTCGGGCCGCCAGCCAACTCCTAACAAACTCATAACACACTCGTCCTACTTGTAGTACCCTCGTGATGCTCGTAAAGAACTTGTGTGAGAATCGTCTGCATGTATCGAGATCGTTGTGCTCATATGCAACTCTTAATAGACTCCTATTGGACTCCTAATTGGGGCTCGTAACACACTCGTAGCGTACTCGTATGATACTCGTATATATGTAGTCTCTTCCCAAGTCCTAACCGAGTTAGGCTCGGGAGAGCTCGGCAAAGTGTGAGAACTGCTTAACTCACTCTTCATGGTGAATTTGATGCATGTGTCACTGGACGAGTGTACAGGATTTTACAAGCTGAATGGGCCTGAACGCAACAAGGTCAATTTAAGGCTTGTAGTCTTGTACACCACAAGACTGAAGGCCAAGGGATGTACACAAACATTCAGCTCCTAGAATTCCTGCTAGTGACACATGGAACTCTTAATAAGATTCCGTTTCCCAGGTGGCAGATTTTCATAATGATTATGCTAGAGAATAAGTCTATACCTTTGTGAAATCATATAACAAACAAATCGTGTCATATTTTAACAGTAAGAAGCACATTTATTTGGGAATGCTGATATTTACAAATGATTATAAACATATAAAACATACACTCTGATAGCACCAATAGAAAAATGTATTAGAGTTCAATTGGAGACTTTGGTAACCTACAGAAACAAAACTTTGACTATTCATACCAGACAATAAAACAAACTTATCAAGTTATGTGGATCAATAAGAGCCTTTTTGTTCCTTCGCAACTCATAAAGCATCTTGTATAACAAATACAAACAAATATACTAAGTTTTTTTGACAGATGGAGATATTAAAATTCTGAATAGCTGTCTTTTTCTTTCTAAAGAAAAGTGGATATATTTGCAGGATATTCCCAAAGTAATTTTTACATTAATCTTGGGGATATATTGATGAATATTTGGAAAATTTGAGTTGAGTGAGTATGGTTCAATGCCACTTTTAGCAATATTCCAGCAATGTCAAGGCTTCACACACCACCCATGTGGGGAATCGAACCCGGGTCTTCGATGTGACGAGGGAATGCTTTAACCACTAGGCTACCCCACCACCCCTGGGAGATTTGAAGGAACCAAGGTAATAATTTATGACCATTAGAGACATGTAGTCATTGGCCCATAGGTAAATGAGTTGAACTGTAATTTGTGACAGAATTCTTGTACAGTAGTAAAACAAGATGTTCTTTTTCCGGTGTATAAGTTAGATAAAACACTTCCTTTCAAATATCATAAAAACCCTCGGACATGCTTTATTCTACACATATAACATATTGAGACCGAGCCACTACAACACATGCATGCACATTGCTTGTATTTTGGCAACATGATTTTATTGTAGACAGTGGAACTCATGTTTCCAACTTGCCAAAACCAACCACACAGGCATTAAAGGAGATATTAAACCTGACACTGATATACTTTACTGTCAAAAAAAAAAATCATTTTGAATTACTGAATTTAATAGCTGAATATGTGCTACTTAGCACCAATGGCATGCTTACTGGGAACAACCTGTTACTGCTGAACAAAGCAACAGAGCATCGATCCATTAACGAACAGTACAACAGAATTCTCACTGTGGCAGGTCAAGTCTGGCACAGGAGTGAGTGAGTGAGTTAAGTTTAAAGCCACTTTTAACAGTATTCCAGTTATATCATGGCGTGTCCGCTTAATGTGGGAGGAAAGCCCAAAGTGGTGCAGGTCTCAGATGTTTACCAGTTTGGTGACATCCACGAGCACGGGTATGGTGCTGACAAACCTAGAAACATAATCAGTGCGAACAGGGATTTGAAGCCACATTCATAGGTTTCTGGCACAGGGAATTGTGGCACCTTAGATGACTGGGCCACCCCTGCCCCCTCTGGCACAGGAACACTATATCCGAAACCAAACCTTGCAAATGGATTTTGTGTGGATTTTGGGTTAGAATTGATCCCCAGCAACCTATGCTTGTCTAAGAGGCTACTTAATGGATCGAGTGGTCAGGCTTGGTGTCTTGGTGCATGTCATCTCAAGGACAAATGAAATAATCTGCCTTTGAGGGTTGTCAGCAGTGCCACTGGGACCTAGCCAGTAACAGTGAAAACTCCCTTTACCGAAGACCAGGCACAAGGACAGACTTCACCTCTCTGGAACCTGTGAAACAATGTAGGCAGGAGTGGTGTCCTTGACATTTGAGTACCAATTGTCATCTCTTGTTCACTGATGAAATCACTAGCTTCCACCATATTGATTAAATAATCACACTTCCTTCTTTGTTGAGTGTATAAAGTTAGACCACAAGAAACTGATTATTTTGTTTGTCAGATTGTTTTACTAGATGTTGATTTTTGATAATAATAAATTCCTTGTATAACAAGTCCTTACTTCTCCCAGTTGTAGCTCTTACACTTGCTGGAACAATGCTAACTATGAATAGACATTAACAGCTTACAGCTTTTTGTCAGTCTCCTGGAACCTTGGTGAAGAGTCTTCATGAACTGAATATTCCCGAATCTCCAGTAAAACGAGGTGGTACAGGTTCTGATAAATAAGTTATTAATCTTACCAATACAGGTTAACGTAGTAGATTTGTGAACCTAATGAATGACAAGAACACATAGCAAATTTACATGTCACAGCAGGAGCATGATACTCGCTGAGCACATTTAACTATAAAATACACCACAGGACTTCACAGTTTTACAGAAACACTTCCACCTGGTTTTTCAGATCACGTTTCAAAATGATGTATGCAAACTGACCTCTCAACAAGAGAATTGAAAGAACAGGCTTTTGGAGGACCCATGCAAGCCTGGAGTTATCAGCTCCACAGACGCTACATACATACAGACATAGGCTCTAAAATGATGGTGTTTTACTTAAGCAAACTTCCAATAATTCAAACTCTTCAAACATGATAGCCACTGTTATCAGAATCACAAGTGTTGTCAGTTGTAACCTGCTGTTACTTTAAGATCATGTACATCGTGTACCCAACAATCACATTTCAAAATATACAATCTATCTTCCTAGACATAAGAAGCGTTATGTCAATGTCTAACAGTAAATCATGAGTGATTGGCAAGCACTTAAATGGACATGAATCGCATGAAATGAGAAATCTATAAATATAGACTGTACATAAAATCTTTGGTAAATGTTGACTATAAACAATAAATGCATTCCCTTGAGGGAATTTGTAAGCACAGAGAAACATGGCTCACTTACTATCATATCACACCCTGTATGTCTACACTACCGTACATCCTGAAGATGGTAATGATGACAGACTGTTCATTGAGTGCAGTATAGGACCATGGGCTTATCGAGTTCATCTGTCCTAGCTGGAGGATGGGGTAGAACTTGTGGCAGCTGGTTGTCTAGAACATATGTCTGACCCCTCTTTTAAACAAAATGAGGAAACATGGTATCATGTGTTGCAACCATAAACATAAATGTATAAATTTATCATTTTATTGTTTTTGATTGTTTTTTATCATGACATGTTGAAGTTTTTTAGAAACGACAAAGATTTTCTGTGTCCTGGCACACAAACTATAAAAGAAGAAAATGGCTTTTTTCATGTGCTGCCATGTATATAATTCTTCTTGACAAACACCTACAAGTGATCACCGGTCTATCTGAGTCACATCACTCCAATCTCATTAAAATCAGATGAACCCCAAGTGAACTTTGACCACCCAATCCATGAAGAATGCGTGGGTTCTTGAGCCAATCAGTTCTTGAGCTTTTTAGAACGATTCAGTTTCATTTCCTTACCACCTTGATTCAGAAATTTAAATCTTGGCAAAAGAAAACCAACACAGAGCACAAAAATATGCTGCTGGTTTTCCACGTTTTGGCTGTAGATGCCGTGGCACTCAGAAACGACAAGATGTAGAAAGTGTGCACAACAACATAATTCTCTGCTTTATTAATTTGCATTTGAATCTCCCCAATTATATTCATTTTCAAGATACAGATATCAGATATGATTATTCAAAGCTTTGCTCACTCTTGCCAAGAATTTATAAGCCTAAACAATGAATGGCTGATCAGAAAGTTCACCTGACACAATCTCCTATGGGGATGTCCTCAGATCTTCACGCAGAGAGATATTGTGTTGGAGTAAAAGATCTAATATTAATGAGATTGCATCAACTGGTTTCAATCATATACATCATGCAGAATATGTATGTACAGTATTCACAATGACTTGATATTGCAATCTTATAACACGTGTCAGTCTATGACTCCTTTAGGAGTACACAGTTGCGGTACACTCAACAGTATTTTTATATATTCCGACAGTTTTAGGCAGTAGTAAATAAGGAAACCACCGCACATTTATACTTAGTCTTGTACCATGAACAATTACTTGAGATGTGAAAACTGTCATAGTCATAATAATTATTCTGCTGGTTCAGTCACTGTTACTTATAACTCAGAACCATTTACTCGTTTTACAAGTTATTTTATGCCAAAATGTACAAATTAGAAAAAAAAGTTCATGTCCTGAATAAATTTTGAAAAAATATACAAAAGTATTTTAAAATATATTTTAATGAATTATTGGTTTACTTTTCTAAATATGCCATAAAACAAGAAAATAATTTGGTCTGATCTTAGCTGTTAAATCACATGAAGTGGAGTATGAAATTGTATTTCCTGTTCGGAATATTAACTACACTTGGAGTATTGTGACCCAGACCGTCGTGCTGGGAGAAATTGCTCTGGCGGAAGGTTGGATCTGTGATGAAGTGACTCGACTACTGTGGCTCCATTCTTCATGAGTGGGCAGACTTGCAGGAGGAACAGCAGATCTTGCGGTAGTAGGAGTATGTGCACAGACGGGCCTGCAGGACGACCTGGCAGCTGCGGTACTGGTCACGACAGGTGGGGCCTGGAAACAGGGATATGCATGAATTGCCTGCCATTTCAATGTGTCATATATCTGAGAGCAGTAATATATATAAAGTGAATACAAAGTGAATATGAATATAGATTGTCAGTGCAAGTGAATAACCACAATAGATTATCCTCCAAAACAGATTCCAATTGGCGTGAAGGACAAAATAACTGAAAATTATATGAATTGACCATTGAAAATCGGTGATGACACCAGGTGGCTGCGAAAAGAGTCAGCATGTCCTGCTCTACTGACAGCACCTGCCATTCTACAATTTGCATAAAAAGTAAGTATTTATTGTCCAGTGCCACACAGCAGTACACCTGCCATGCGACCGCGGCCTGTAAACAAACCAGACAAGTGATTGATGAACTAGAAAATCCAGTGACACGATAGTGCATTTACTGATTTTGTTGAAATTTATTGACATGATATTTAAATTAGAAATTACGTATGATGTGTACAAGTGCAGAGATTCTGCTTCTATATAAGTAAAGATAAACATCTTAGAAACCCATTTGTTTTGCATCACAGTGGGGGTAGTTTTAATCTCTCAGTCCAAACATTTCTTTTGCAGTTGACTCAGCCTAGATACATGCTACTGGGCTTATGATGAAACTCGGGACTTCAGTCCACCAGCAACATCGACCCAGTTCAAGAAGGAATGTTGTTTCACACCACAGTCAGAAATATGCCTGTAAATAATTCAGTCTGGGCCAGACAACCCTTTGATTGGGGTGTGATAACACATTATCAGCCAGGTCACACATTGTGACCGGCCAATCCTCATTTTCTAAAAGCATGGGCACTGACCCCAGAAATCCCATGAGCGAAATAGGAAAACATGAAATGAACGTGAGACGCGGCTTAGATTGTTTCTGTGAAGGACAAGACCAATCATTATCCTTTCCTTCCAAATCAACTTTGGAGGGGTTTTAACTTAACAGAATTGGCAAGAAGAAACATTTAAGAAGTTTGGACCTACTTGCTCTGGTAGCCTGGGGTAGTCGGCAGTCTCTCATCTGACAGTTCTCTCGGGCAGGGGGTTTCTGGGAGCGCTCACATGACCTTGCCCTCCTCTGCTGTTGGTCCAGACACTTGACCTGTCGTGACTTCATGCCCGCTCCACATGTCACAGAACACTTCCACACAACAAGGGTTCTGAATTACTACATTAATTCTGTAAATACTGCAAAGTCTTGTTATGTCACTGTGCAAGAATGATGTTTTACTGATGGGTGTAATCTGTGTCATTCAACTGTACTTCTGCTCACCTCGCTCCACTGGTAGATCATACCTATATTTGCTGCTTACCTCGCTCCACAGGTAGATCATACTTATATTTGCTGCTTACCTCGCTCCACTGGTAGATCATACTGATATTTGCTGCTTACCTCACTCCACTGGTAGATCATACTGATATTTGCTGCTTACCTCGCTCCACTGGTAGATCATACTGATATTTGCTGCTTACCTTGCTCCACAGGTAGATCATACTTATATTTGCTGCTTACCTCGCTCCACTGGTAGATCATACGGATATTTGCTGCTTACCTCGCTCCACTGGTAGATCATACTTATATTTGCTGCTAACCTCGCTCCACTGGTAGATCATACCTATATTTGCTGCCCTCGCTCCACTGGTAGATCATACCTATATTTGCTGCTTACCTCGCTCCACTGGTAGATCATACTTATATTTGCTGCTTACCTCGCTCCACTGGTAGATCATACTGATATTTGCTGCTAACCTCGCTCCACTGGTAGATCATACTTATATTTGCTGCTAACCTCGCTCCACTGGTAGATCATACTTATATTTGCTGCTTACCTCGCTCCACTGGTAGATCATACTTATATTTGCTGCTAACCTCGCTCCACTGGTAGATCATACTGATATTTGCTGACTCAACTGGTAGATCATACTTATATTTGCTGCTTACCTCGCTCCACTGGTAGATCATACTTATATTTAATGCTTACCTCGCTCCACTGTGACATGTACCACTCGGACCCGCAGGACTCGGTGCGGCACTTCTCTTCAGCTGTGGGCTTCTCATCAGCTGCACAGTTCTCCTCCAGTGTTATAGACATGGCGCTACCAACCACCTTCATGCACACAACATCTCGCCGGCGCTCCCCATGCCCACATTCAGCAGAACACTGCAGGTGGAAAGTTATATGGACTGTTTACCAAGGGTGCACAGGACAATCTCAATAACTTGGATCAGTGATAAAAATCAATATTCATACACTTGATATTCTTACAACAGTTCAAATCTTGCATTTGTCAAGTACACAAGTATATGATATACTTACAGGTCATGTCATCATTCTCAAACAAATGTAGCGCTCATACACAATGTATAAATTTACAATGTGTAGTACACTTTACAGTTATCATGCCTTTTGCTGTTTTGAATTTTTTCAAATTTTATTTTTCGACTTAAGACTTTGTTTCAAGGCCAAAACTTGAAATTTGTTCAACATTTTAATTGAACTGGGCATATGCATTATTCATCAGCTGAACTGGTGCCTTTTGCTGTTACAATTTGTTTCCAAATTTTATTGTTTACGCTTACACAGAAACAATTTCAACTTTGTCTTAAACAAGGGTAGGGTTCACTTCCGGCCCATAACTTGGAAACCATTCAACATATTTCAGTGAAACTTGGAATATGCATTGCTCATAAGTTAAACTGGTGCTGTGTGCCATTTTGAAATGTTTCCAAATAATATTTTGTTATATTTCCATGCAAACAATTTGGTCTCAAACAACTCAAGGCTTCGTTTCTGAGACATAACTATCAAACTAATGAATATTTTTGCATGAAACTATACATGCAATGACCACATGTTCAACTATTGCCTTTACATATTTTTAAATTTTTCATTTGGACTCATCAAACAAGTAGTGTTTGTTTCCTGCCAAATCTCTTCAGCTAATGAATATTTCTGCATGAAAACCATTATCTTTCCAGTCTATGATTTGCTATTAGTATTTTGGATTTGCAAACACATTTACAGTAGCAACTTGAACTAATGTATCAAAACAAGGAGTGAGAAACATGTTCTGTGGTATCCTTTTCTCTTCCACATTCGACCGCCTCTGTGGCCTAATGGTAGAGCGTCCGCCCAGAGAGCGGAAGGTCCAGGGTTCGATCCCCAGATGCGTCATACCAAAAGACGTTAAAAGATGGTACTTGTTGTTACCCTGTCTGGCGCTCGGCATTAAGGGGCTAAAACAAGGGCTGGTCGGCTCGGAGTCAATATACTGTGTCTGAGTGAGGTATTCATGTTAAACTGCGGCATGGTATCTCAGTGTGCTAGCACTATAAATCGGCATCAGTTGGGACTAGTACAAGCAGCCACACACACACACATACACATGCATGCACGTCGCTATATAAGTGCAATAATCTTGGACACGACGTTAAACCCCATTTCACCTCACCTCACCTCTTCAACATTCAGATTACTTGGAAAGACTTCACAAAAAAGCACTCATTCATACAGCTAGACTGCACTAAACTGACAGGTCGCAAGAGCAAGTCCATGCTGGAGTATGTTGTAGCATAATCATCATGCATGGCCTTCTGAAACATAGCATCCTTTTGGGATTCTGGGATAGAACAGGTCCTCAGTTCCACATGCTTGTCATACGGTCTGACTGATGTTGCCTTGGTGTCATCACACCTTCACAGCATGTTTGTTGCCCCTGCTATCAACAACCACTGGTTGGTCTTGTCCGGACATGTATATAATATTGCTGACTGAAGCATAATTTAAACTGACTCACTTGTTTCACTGAATTTCTTCTCATTAAATAATAATAACAGTGTCACAGGGGCTTGTGATGCAAAAAATAGCAGTTACAAGATATATCGTCGCAACTAGTGTATCATTTATATAGTACTTGTAGCTGGTAATTTCTGTCTTACAAGACCCTGTGAATGGTATGTTGTCTAGTTTAGCCCACCTTTCCCCAGGGTCCGGTGAACCACTTGCCTCCACAGGCTGACTGGCTGCGGCAGGAGGCCCGGGCTTGAGGCTTCCTGAGGTCTTCACACACAGAGTCCTCCAGCTTCACACCGTTGGGACTGCCACACATGACGTCCCTGGTCTTCACTCCTGACCCACACTCATTGGAACACTGCAACATCAAGTGTATACAGACAGACCTAGGACTTGAGCCTGATGTTCCCCTGCATCACCTCTAACACAACAACTGGGTAATTTCACCTTTAGGAACTGGTGGGGTTCGCAATCTTATTACTTGCAGTATCTTCAATGAGACAAACATGGATGTAGGGTTTAGACTGATGTTTGTCTTTCAGGGATACAAGACTATACACATACAAACGCGAATACATTCTGCTATTTGATACTGCTGTAGAGACTTGTGTCCCGATGATAGTGGGTCTGAATCCCAGATGTGACATGATAATGTCATTACTAGTTTCTCAGCACCATACCAGTGTTGTGCAATATTTTGGGGATTTCCACATTCAGCACTCGGTATTCTAGGGGGTTCGAATCCCAGATGTGACATGATAATGTCATTACTAGTTTCTCAGCACCATACCAGTGTTGTGCAATATTTTGGGGATTTCCACATTCAGCACTCGGTATTCTAGGGGGTTCGAATCCCAGATGTGACATGATAATGTCATTACTAGTTTCTCAGCACCATACCAGTGTTGTGCAATATTTTGGGGATTTCCACATTCAGCACTCGGTATTCTAGGGGGTTCGAATCCCAGATGTCACATGATAATGTCATTACTAGTTTCTCAGCACCATACCAGTGTTGTGCAATATTTTGGGGATTTCCGCATTCAGCACTCGGTATTCTATCAGAAATACTCTTAAAGGAGACACTAAACCAAACTGATTCCCTCCCTGCCACATGAGATAAACTGACCTGGTCTGACCATTTGGAGGTCCACCACTGTTTCTGGCAGGTGCCCTGGTTACACTTCTTGACGCCAGTGGGTGGGGTGGCCTCACAGAAGCGGTCGGGTATCTGGGTGGCCTGGTGGTCCACACACTTCACCTTCCTGCGCTGTTCTCCCACCCCACAGCTCACGGAACACTGGGGACAGCGGGGACAACATGTCAAACAGGCTTATAATCAGGGTTCATGCAAACTTTCAGCACCAATTTAAGGGCTTTTCAAAGCCAACAGTTAGACCAAGTGTGCCTTCAAAAAGGTCAACTTTAGTTTACTGAATGGTACCCCTGTACATCCAAGACACTATTAAAGTCCACATACAAGTGTTTCAATATTATTTATAAATCAGTGTTACATGTCACAAGGCATTTTGAGAGAGAAAAATAACTGAACTATATATAACAGCAGAGTTGCCAAATGCATGGCCTTTTCAAAAGTCAGGGATATGGACCATGAGTTACATGCAGCTACTCCAAGGTTCATTACAGACTCAAGCTTTACAAGTAACACACACAGATCTTAGGAGAAAGTCCTAGATTTCACTTGCCTCTGGACTAGCATATAAGTGGCTAAATTGCGCAACACAGTCCATTACTTAATTTAGGAGATGAATGTTATGTGTTTTTTAGATTTTCAGGTGTTATTGCCTGGACATTTCATTTGGCACAATTTGGTAGGAAAGTAGTCTGTTGAACAGTGTCCACTTTTCCCTAATTGAACCCAACTCCAGACTGAACATACCTTGCCCCACTTGCTGGTTTTCCACTTAGCACAGGGCCCCTTCTCACACTGCTGGGCCACCGCTGGCCTGCGGCCCGCGTCACACTTGCTGGCCGACACACTCAGGTGGGAGGTGGGGGACATGCGTTGTTTACACTCCACACGGCGGGTCTGTGTCCCTGAGCCACAAGTCACACTGCAGGTACTCCAGTCATCTGTCTCCCAGCTACAACACAAAACACCATGACACACTCCAGTCATCTGTCTCCCAGCTACAACACAAAACACCATGACACACTCCAGTCATCTGTCTCCCAGCTACAACACAAAACACCATGACACACTCCAGTCATCTGTCTCCCAGCTACAACACAAAACAACATGACACACTCCAGTCATCTGTCTCCCAGCTACATCACAAAACACCATGACACACTCCAGTCATCTGTCTCCCAGCTACAACACAAAACACCATGACACACTCCAGTCATCTGTCTCCCAGCTACAACACAAAACAACATGACACACTCCAGTCATCTGTCTCCCAGCTACAACACAAAACAACATGACACACTCCAGTCATCTGTCTCCCAGCTACAACACAAAACAACATGACACACTCCAGTCATCTGTCTCCCAGCTACAACACAAAACAACATGACACACTCCAGTCATCTGTCTCCCAGCTATAACACAAAACACCATGACACACTCCAGTCATCTGTCTCCCAGCTACAACACAAAACAACATGACACACTCCAGTCATCTGTCTCCCAGCTACAACACAAAACAACATGACACACTCCAGTCATCTGTCTCCCAGCTACAACACAAAACAACATGACACACTCCAGTCATCTGTCTCCCAGCTACAACACAAAACACCATGACACACTCCAGTCATCTGTCTCCCAGCTACAACACAAAACAACATGACACACTCCAGTCATCTGTCTCCCGGCTACAACACAAAACAACATGACACACTCCAGTCATCTGTCTCCCATCTACAACACAAAACAACATGACACACTCCAGTCATCTGTCTCCCAGCTACAACACAAAACAACATGACACACTCCAGTCATCTGTCTCCCAGCTACAACACAAAACACCATGACACACTCCAGTCATCTGTCTCCCAGCTACAACACAAAACAACATGACACACTCCAGTCATCTGTCTCCCAGCTACAACACAAAACACCATGACACACTCCAGTCATCTGTCTCCCAGCTACATCACAAAACACCATGACACACTCCAGTCATCTGTCTCCCAGCTACAACACAAAACACCATGACACACTGCAGTCATCTGTCTCCCAGCTACAACACAAAACACCATGACACACTCCAGTCATCTGTCTCCCAGCTACAACACAAAACACCATGACACACTTCAGTCATCCGTCTCCCAGCTACAACACAAAACAACATGACACACTCCAGTCATCTGTCTCCCAGCTACAACACAAAACACCATGACATACTCCAGTCATCTGTCTCCCAGCTACAACACAAAACAACATGACACACTCCAGTCATCTGTCTCCCAGCTACAACACAAAACAACATGACACACTCCAGTCATCTGTCTCCCAGTTACAACACAAAACACCACGACACACTCCAGTCATCTGTCTCCCAGCTACAACACAAAACAACATGACACACTTCAGTCATCCGTCTCCCAGCTACAACACAAAACAACATGACACACTCCAGTCATCTGTCTCCCAGCTACAACACAAAACACCATGACATACTCCAGTCATCTGTCTCCCAGCTACAACACAAAACAACATGACACACTCCAGTCATCTGTCTCCCAGCTACAACACAAAACAACATGACACACTCCAGTCATCTGTCTCCCAGCTACAACACAAAACACCATGACATACTCCAGTCATCTGTCTCCCAGCTACAACACAAAACAACATGACACACTCCAGTCATCTGTCTCCCAGCTACAACACAAAACAACATGACACACTCCAGTCATCTGTCTCCCAGTTACAACACAAAACACCACGACACACTCCAGTCATCTGTCTCCCAGCTACAACACAAAACAACATGACACACTCCAGTCATCTGTCTCCCAGCTACAACACAAAACACCATGACACACTCCAGTCATCTGTCTCCCAGCTACAACACAAAACAACATGACACACTCCAGTCATCTGTCTCCCAGCTACAACACAAAACAACATGACACACTCCAGTCATCTGTCTCCCAGCTACAACACAAAACAACATGACACACTCCAGTCATCTGTCTCCCAGCTACAACACATCAGAAATCTCCATGCCAAGGTGATGGTTCATGAGCCAGCACAGCTGTTCAATAACCTAATGAAACACTCATAAAATCTCTTGACTCACTCTGGTCCACATGGGTTGGTGTTGCACGGTACACGTTGTTGCTGTGGCTTGATGGCGTTGTTGCAGTTGTCCCCTGTCACTATCACCTGAGTCTGGGAGCTCTTCAACACACACACGATCTTGGTCTCCTGGTGACCTGAGGGTACATATAAAGTATTATGTTTGGGACCCAGATGCATCTAGTCAGAAACACAACTAGCTCCCAATAGAACTGGCCGGCAACATAAGTCACTAGCCAGCAATGGCAGGTGCACTCGCTGGGTCCATGTTTGTGTCAAATGATGCAAAACTGGTTATCTACACAAAACCACATCTTTCTATTCAAATTCAAACACTTTAACATGAAAGTCAGGAAGTGAGTGAGTTAAAATTTAATGTCACATCAGCATTATTTCAGCCATGGAGCGACGAAAGCCAGAAAGACTTGACATGGAACTAAGATGAATTTACAAGCCACATGATAATATATGGGGAAAAAAGGACAATAATGTATTAACTTAATATGTGACAAAGGATGTATGACAAAGGACAGACAGCCATTTCCGACACTTCCTCTTGACATGTTTGAGATGACCATTTGTTTTACCCAAAATAACTTTTGTACAGTGCAGGTTAATTATATTAGTTGTCGACTGTACTTGTGGGGTACGTCACACCATACACCCCTCAAGCACCCCAGCCAGTAGACTCACACACAAGGTACCTCACACCATATACCCCTCAAGCACACCAGCCAGTAGACTCACACACAAGGTACCTCACACCATATACCTCTCAAGCACACCAGCCAGTAGACTGACACACAAGGTACCTCACACTATATACCTCTCAAGCACACCAGCCAGTAGACTCACACATAAGGTACCTCACACCATATACCCCTCAAGTACACCAGCCAGTAGACTCACACATAAGGTACCTCACACCATATACCCCTCAAGTACACCAGCCAGTAGACTGACACACAAGGTACCTCACACCATATACCTCTCAAGCACACCAGCCAGAAGACTCACACATAAGGTACCTCACACCATATACCCCTCAAGTACACCAGCCAGTAGACTCACACATAAGGTACCTCACACCATATACCTCTCAAGCACACCAGCCAGTAGACTCACACACAAGGTACCTCACACTATATACCTCTCAAGCACACCAGCCAGTAGACTCACACATAAGGTACCTCACACTATATACCTCTCAAGCACACCAGCCAGTAGACTCACACATAAGGTACCTCACACCATATACCCCTCAAGTACACCAGCCAGTAGACTCACACACAAGGTACCTTACACCCACACCATATACCTCTCAAGCACACCAGCCAGTAGACTCACACATAAGGTACCTCACACCATATACCCCTCAAGTACACCAGCCAGTAGACTCACACATAAGGTACCTTACACCCACACCATATACCTCTCAAGCACACCAGCCAGTAGACTGACACACAAGGTACCTCACACTATATACCTCTCAAGCACACCAGCCAGTAGACTCACACATAAGGTACCTCACACTATATACCTCTCAAGCACACCAGCCAGTAGACTCACACATAAGGTACCTCACACCATATACCCCTCAAGTACACCAGCCAGTAGACTCACACACAAGGTACCTTACACCCACACCATATACCTCTCAAGCACACCAGCCAGTAGACTCACACATAAGGTACCTCACACCATATACCCCTCAAGTACACCAGCCAGTAGACTCACACATAAGGTACCTTACACCCACACCATATACCTCTCAAGCACACCAGCCAGTAGACTCACACACAAGGTACCTCACACCATATACCCCTCAAGCACACCAGCCAGTAGACTCACACACAAGGTACCTCACACCATATACCTCTCAAGCACACCAGCCAGTAGACTGACACACAAGGTACCTCACACCATATACCTCTCAAGCACACCAGCCAGTAGACTCACACACAAGGTACCTCACACCATATACCCCTCAAGCACACCAGCCAGTAGACTCACACACAAGGTACCTCACACCATATACCCCTCAAGCACACCAGCCAGTAGACTCACACACAAGGTACCTCACACCCACACCATATACATCTCAAGCACACCAGCCAGTAGATTCACGCACAGGGTCTGTCACACCATATACCCCTCAAGCACACCAGCCAGTAGACTCACACACAAGGTCCCTCACACCCACACCATATACATCTCAAGCACACCAGCCAGTAGACTCACACACAAGGTCCCTCACACCCACACCATATACATCTCAAGCACACCAGCCAGTAGACTCACACACAAGGTCCCTCACACCCACACCATATACCCCTCAAGCACACCAGCCAGTAGACTCACACATAAGGTACCTCACACCATATACCCCTCAAGCACACCAGCCAGTAGACTCACACATAAGGTACCTCACACCATATACCTCTCAAGTACACCAGCCAGTAGACTCACACATAAGGTACCTTACACCCACACCATATACCTCTCAAGCACACCAGCCAGTAGACTGACACACAAGGTACCTCACACTATATACCTCTCAAGCACACCAGCCAGTAGACTCACACATAAGGTACCTCACACCATATACCTCTCAAGCACACCAGCCAGTAGACTGACACACAAGGTACCTCACACCATATACCTCTCAAGCACACCAGCCAGTAGACTCACACACAAGGTACCTCACACCATATACCCCTCAAGCACACCAGCCAGTAGACTCACACACAAGGTACCTCACACCATATACCTCTCAAGTACACCAGCCAGTAGACTCACACATAAGGTACCTTACACCCACACCATATACCTCTCAAGCACACCAGCCAGTAGACTCACACATAAGGTACCTTACACCCACACCATATACCTCTCAAGCACACCAGCCAGTAGACTCACACACAAGGTACCTCACACCATATACCTCTCAAGCACACCAGCCAGTAGACTCACACATAAGGTACCTTACACCCACACCATATACCTCTCAAGCACACCAGCCAGTAGACTCACACACAAGGTACCTCACACCATATACCTCTCAAGCACACCAGCCAGTAGACTCACACATAAGGTACCTTACACCCACACCATATACCTCTCAAGCACACCAGCCAGTAGACTCACACACAAGGTACCTCACACCATATACCCCTCAAGCACACCAGCCAGTAGACTCACACACAAGGTACCTCACACCATATACCTCTCAAGCACACCAGCCAGTAGACTCACACACAAGGTCCCTCACACCCACACCATATACATCTCAAGCACACCAGCCAGTAGATTCACGCACAGGGTCTGTCACACCATATACCCCTCAAGCACACCAGCCAGTAGACTCACACACAGGGTACATCACACCATATACCCAAGCACACCAGCCAGTAGACTCGCTCACGGGGTACATCACACCATATACCCCAAAGGATTGTCTGACAAAGAATTTATCTTACCGGCATAGTTTTTCACCTTTTATCTGAACTGTCTTAATCAGTATGGATAGCAAACCATTTCATGGACATATTGACAGCTGCCACACAAAATAAACACCCTGTTAGAATTATAACCATTGTCTTACAATCAATAGATGCTCAGTAAAGTTTAAACTGCATTTGCCAGGTAATCAGTTTCAATATAACATAACCATATTATTGTGATCGCATTAGTAGGAAGTTCTGCGTTTCCCAGCAGGGTATAAGAAATACATACCTCAGAGACAGGTCTTTTATTATAAGGGGGGAAGGGAATGGATCCTATATTGCTGCCCTTTCCCTATTTTATGTAACACTAACCATCCCTCTGTGCCCCTACTGAATAAAAAAAACATGTCAATTCTTTTAGGACCCTAAATAGTTCAAATTAATAACTTAATACTTTGAAAAAAACTGCCTTTTTAACATGACAAGCACCCCCCTCCTTTATGGTAACACAATCATCAATGTTGTAATGAAAAACACACCATCTGACAGGGAACAAATGTGGCCATTGCAACCAAAACATTGATATGTTCTATGTATTCCAACTAAAAGGATCTAACTTGTAAAAACACAAATTCATATTTCTACAAACTCAGTGACTTTTTAACAAAACCTCTAAAGGAAAGAAATAATGCCTTTTATGTAACCAAACCTCCTCAGATGCCATGTCTATTCTTCTATGAAATATTAAAATATACGACAACACATGTCTGATTGCATTTCACATGCAGTTGGGGAGACTGGGAAGAAACTCTATCTCCCGTGTGTGTTGAATGTTGGAGAAAACTCATTTGATGACTTCCTTTCTTTATTTTCAGGCGGAAATCTACATTACCCAGCCTCTGTTGGAACCTGTTAATGCTAATCTAGACTTTTATCAGATTGAAATGTTAAAATACACTAGGCTCAAACATTCCATTGTTGTGGGAGGAGAACACTGTCGAGGGAAAACACGAGGTCTGCAAACTGTTTTTAACTTGTTGAAAGGGTATGGCATGTCAATCTTTAGCACTCTCCCGCATGGCGAATATACACATTTTGCCCCTGTTTAACCGGGAAATAATCAATGATGAAAAAATATTCTATACTGTTATAATGGAATCATTGAGAATATTCAAACAAATCATGTATAAATACAGGCAAGGATGCTATCATTAATGCACCCAACAGGCCTTCTTAACAAAACCTGCTAGCCCGCCTCTTACAACAATGCTGAAGAATTGTCTTTTGGTATGACACGGCCGGGGATCCAACCCCGGACCTCCCAATCTCCGGGCAGATGCTCTGCCTCTAGACCACAGAGGCGGTTCTAGGGGTCCTGTAAAACAATTCCCAATCAGACAGTTTGTACTCAACTCTTGAGATCTGGGTAGGGTTTGGTAATAGGGGGTAGGGTATCCCGGTAGTAAATTTGGACTCGTCCCTGCTCTTGAGTGTAGCACATCTAGACTACTTCATAATCCAACATGATATGAGTGGAAACCCCAACACAAAAAGAAGCAATCCTTTGTAGAATTAGTTCTAAAACACATATCATCTTATGTCACACCACTCATCGTGATTCAAAAGATACGTCAGAGTTAGAGATAAAGAAGTCCAAAGTTTCAAGTTCTGCTATCCCTGAAACTTGAATACACTCTCTTATTTGGCAACAACCTGTCACATATGTCAAGGGAGCAAAAAAAAGTCGACAAAATTACAATACAAGCTGCATTGTTATTGTAATGAGTTATGTTGTTTTGTTTGTTGTCTTACGCTGCACACAGCAATATTCCAGCTTCAAGATGGTCTGTAAATAATCAAGTCTGGACAATCCAGTGATTGATGAGCATCGATCTACTCAAATGGAATATGATGACATACATCAACCAAGTCTGACCACCCTATCCCGTTAGTCAAATCTTTCGACAAGCATGGGTAGCTGAAGGCCAAATCTAACCCAGACCTTGACAGGTTAGTAGTGAGTTAATGTTACTTCTCCAAGCAGGGAGGGCTACAGACCCGGATCCACAAAGTGATTGTAGCGCTATGACAACCATTACAACTCCTCTACCTTAACATTGACTAAGGAACCAATAGTTTAATATTATAGGGGGTCCTGGCATTTTGATTTCAGAATAATATATTGTGGAGTCACTGCTTATTACCGGTATTACCGGTATTTATTTATTATCAAGGAGGATCAAACAATTTTAATATTTTTTAAAACGAATTTTTTTTCCCTGTACATCTAACATGTCCAGCAAAGACAAATGTGTGTGTTAAACCTAAGGCCAAATAATTTTTCACGTGTATTTTCATTATCTAAAAGAATAAAATTTCATCTGCGTCTTCCAACCAAATATCAAATACCCAGTAATTGGCCCACAGTCGTGGAGCTAAGATCGCTTTATGGAACAGCAGCCAGGGAGAGTTGCACAAGTGATAGCTCACCTCCTCCGCAAGTTGTGGAACAGTCCGTGAATCCTGATATTCTCCACATGTACTGACTCGCGGAACTGTCCCTGTCCACAGCACCCCGATTTGGAACAGTCTGCTGTCCACTGTATCGAGTCCCGATCTCATTGTCCACACTTCTCGCTTGGGCATCCCCTGGACCCCGCACATATCGCCTGTCCGTCAGCGCCGCGTTGAAATCAAGGGTCTTATGGCCAGTGAAGCGCCCATTGCGGTCATATGGGGAAACATATCTTGGCCTTGGTGCCACTTGGATGGGAATTCCAGTTTGAGATGATTCTGTTTTTCTGTTTTGCTGCGTGTAACTTAATCCACGACCGCCCAACGTGTCATACCCATATCTACGAGGGGTGGTATCTGTTCGCGAACCTGACGGATAATTTCTCTGTGTCCCTGACCTTGAACTGTGGTGTGCTGGGTACCTCCTATCATATGCTGAACTCCTTCCAGCACGGAATTCTTCAGTCCGTCTGTTGTATTCTAACGAGGACTGCCCCTCTGACCTGCTGTTGTAACTAGGGTTGAATTCGCCTTCAAAGTGGGGAGTTGTTCGGGAGCGGTGACGTCCTTGTCCTCGTCCCTGTGTTTGTGACCTGTGTCGATGTCTGTGATGGACTGTGTGTGGTGTTTGGGGAATGAATGTACCTTCAAAAGGTGTAAATGCAATATAGTTTGGTAGTAGAAACTCATACGAAATGCCTGGGTTTTTGCTGTAAAATAACATCTGAAAAAGAACAAAGAAAAACATAAAAATACAATGGAACATGGAAACAAACAATAGGAACACAAAAACATAGAAAAAAGAATTTCTAAAAAATGTATCGGTTTAAAAAATAATTGATTATTGTTCTTTGTACTTTATCGCGTAGCTATCTTATATATTGAAATATTGAATGCCTATTAAAGTCTTTATATAAAGGAAAACAATATCCTTCTCTTAACCCTCATAAAAGCTTATAATTTGCAACAAAGTCCAATCTCTTTAATCTGGAAAAAGCCAATCTCTAGATTTAATTCACTATTGCAATCACATTTATAAATCTTCAAGATGTAAAAAACACAGCTGATATTTTACAATCTTTTGAGAACTATACATATATATTGCTTACACCTTTCGTTATTTGGTACCAAAAGTCCCATCTTCCCCATAATAAGTGTCCCCAGACTCTTCACAAGGGGAAGGGTGTGTGTGACTCACTAGGGGGTGCTGACTGAGATTACATACAGAAAGATCCGAGGGCGTAATGGCGCAGGGTGCTTAATACGGCAATATGGTATGTTTAATCTGATGCTAAACTGGCTAATGCTAACAATCCTGATCTTCACATGGCATTCTCACAGTCTAGTGGTTACAGTGCTAAAAGTTTCAAACCACATAATTACATTAAACAGCTCAGTTAGGTTTTGAGACCTATGTAAACAGATGGTCGTTTGCTTCATCACATACTTCTGAACAACATCATGTTTTTTTACTCAGACAGTAAAAATATGAGTTCAAAATCTACAAATAATGATACTTTTCATGAGTACTTTATATGGAATATGCAATTATGGGGCACAAATCATACATTCTGACCCGTGAAGATATGATGTAGAATAGATCTTCAGCAACCCATGCTTGCCATAAAAGGCTTGTTGTAAGAGACGACTAAAGGGATAGGGTGGTCAGGCTCGCTGACTTGGTTGAAGCTTGTTATCAATCCCAATTGCATGGATCGATGCTCCTGATGTCAATCACTGGATTGTCTTGTCTAGACTCGATTATTTACAAACCACCATCATATAGCTGGAATATTGCTGAGTGTGGCATTAAACAACAAACAAACAAACAAACTTGTACGGAATTGGCAATTATGGGGCACAAATCATACATTCTGAAACCAAATGCAAACTTTCATTGGTAGGCCCAATATAGGAAAAGCCACTGAAAGATCCCGACTAGAGTTGGTCTTCAGCAACCCATGCTTGTCATAGAGGCAACTAACAGGTTCTGGTGGTAGTCAGCCTGCTGACTTGGTTGATGCATGTCATCATATCCCAATTGTGTAGATTGATACTCATGATGTCAGTCAATGGACTGTTTGGTCCAGACTCAACTATCTACAGACCGCCATCTATAGCTAGACTTTTGCTGAGTGTGGCAGTAAAACAACAAACAAACAAACAGCCTGTGAACCCTACCCCTACAAACTCATACCCTAACCCTAAACCTTCTTGCTACGGCTGTCAATGTATTGCTGGAATATTGCTAAAAGCATCGTAAAACCCACCCTCCTCACAGACAACTCCAAGTACATCCAGCCATAGCATCTGTTCTATACAAGGGGGGTAGGAAATAAGACCAGCTGCAAATGAAGCCTCCCTCAAATATAGACGTATTCAACATCTGTTTGCACTCCAACAGCTTCATTATAAATACACAGAGTGTTTTTGCAATCTATTCTAATTAATCTATATTTAGTAGAGACTCATGCTGGGCTTGCCCTGTCATGTAGCACATGATATCCGCACATAGTGAGCGCATACTTGTTTCAAATGGATCCTAGATAAAGACTCCACAGTGGGGATTTCGGGTTAGAACAGGTCCTTAGCAACTTATGCTTGTCGTCATCTTCCCAAGACAAGGGAGTTAACTGACTATAAAAGTCCAGTTCCACCCTTGCTGAACTAGGCTGAAATAAGGAAGTGCTATTTTGGCTGGACTAACAAGTCTTCGCATAGTCCTATCAAAATCGCATAACAAAGTCGACATCTGTTTCGTAAACTGCCATGCAGATTTCGGTCAATTGCAGTATTTGTGTACCGTCTACATGCTGTCAACAGATATTTTCTATATCTTTTCATGCTTTTAATCAAGGTGCTCACATGATTTGATGCACTTCGCAAAGTAAGACCTGTTTTATTACCATATAGACCTTAATCAATAAGAGGGACATAGGAGAGCCATAACTCGTAAGAGCCACTGCAAGCGCTACTATCGAACCCAGAAATTCCAGTCAAGTTCAACAAGGGGGGAAGCTAGACTTTTACTGTCAGTTAACTCCTTTGCCTCGGGAAGATGGCTTGTCGTAAGAGATGACTAAATTGATCAGATGGTCAGATTCAGTGACTTGATTGAGTGTCAACACGTCGACTTCTTTGAGAGACCACTCACTCACTCACTCACTCACTCACTCACTCACTCACCCACCCACCCACCCACCCTGCCACTCACCTGTACCACGACGGTTTCATTGAGAGATCCATCAGTAAAGATACACTGTCCAGGGCAGTGTGGCCCACTCTGTTTAGCGTATCGGAATATCGTCCCAGCACCACCGTACAACCCAGTCGGCACAATGGACCAGTAGCTGTTGAATATGCTCTTTGACCTTTTAGTTTTCACAGCTGAAATAAACAGAAAACATCACTTTTATTGACAAAACATACATTTGCAAATTACAAAGCATGTCAACAGAATGATCAACCAAATTTCAAATAAGTACACAAATTTCAAATAAGTACAGAGGTTTTGTGTTTCCTTGTATGTTGTGTTAGGCTTTTGTTTTGTTTTTGTTTTTTGTAATAGTTAGGTTTGCTTTATCTTTATGCCTCTTTCTTACTTTGATCGTAAGTCGAGAGAACAAATATTTTCTTAATCTGATTGACAATAAAAAGAACAAGTAAAAAATCTGTGAAAAAAATAGCTAACCCTAGTCGCACAATCCTATGTGCAAGTGTCAGCATGAAGGAGTTTGTCAGTCTACTACCAACACCCACCATCCCAACACTGAAATGTCCAGGAATCTCCCCAACATGTCTGCTATGAAACAGACCTGCAATACACACATCGATCATACTGTGACCTCCTAACAGTAATGAACTGACATGTGGTAATTAATAAAGATAATAATTGCGACCACATAGAACTAATAGCCTTCGGAGTGTTACGTAGCCCTGCAGCCAAACTATTTGTGGTGAGTTCCTACCGTGCTCGAGGATGCACACCACGCGCACTAGTTTCCATTACTATAATTGATACATGTTAACTTGCCGATCCTACTTGCAACGCCATTAATTTTGTCCACTCATTGTCCTGTATCAGGAATAGACTTCCTGACAATCTGCCCACTGACACTTATTCATATAAAGACCTGGTTACTTATTTTATTCTCATTTATTTTAAAATATAATGAGACATTTCCTCAAGACGTTGCTGACTAATCATAAATGTATTTTCCTCGGATGCCTACATCTGTCCATTGTGAATTTTAACCAACAAGGTATATATTCAGCTTCTTGTACGGATCTCCTCATTGTTATAGCGCCATGTGTAGCCTTAGGTATTGGAGTTGTGATCGCACTGGCTCTGCATGTGCATTTTAGTTTTGGCAGTTAATCTGATTATTCTCTGGCACTGATGTGTTATATTTACATCCCAAGCTGCTGATGTAGACCTATAAACTAGCATCTACCATTTAGACTCTTACAGTTCGCCTCTAGTCTCTGGTGTTTAACCTGTTGCATCCAATTTAGCCTGTTGCCTCTTACATCTAAACTCTTATATCTAACATTTAGCCTCTTTCATCTAGCAACTTTCATTTGGTAGTTAGCCTCCTGCATCTAGCATCTTACATCTAGCCTCATATCTAGCATTTATACTCTTTCATTTGGCATTTAGCCTTCTGTTTCTAGCATAAAGCCTCTTGCACTTAACAGTTAGCCTCTTACATCTGCATTTGGCATTTAGCCTCTTTCATCTACATCTTTCATTTGGCAGTTATCCGCTTGTATCTAGCATTTAGCCTCTTGCATCAAACATTTTGCCTGTTACACCGAGCATTTAGCCTCTTACAGCTAGCATTTAGCCTTTTGCATCTAGCGTTTAGCCTCTTACATTTAGCATGTAGCCTCTTTCATCTAACAGTTTTCATGTTATGTCTAGCATTTATCATCTAGCATCTAACATTTATCTTCTTACATCTAGCATTTAGCCTCTTGGATCTAATATTCAGCCTCTTGCAACTAGCATTTAGCTTCTTACATCTAGCAATTAGTTTCTTGCATCAAGCATGTAGTATCTAGCCTCTAACATTTAGCCTCTAACCTCTTGCATCTTATATGCAACTAGATGTTAGCTGCTGGCCTCTGTAAGTGCTGGGAAAATGGAACTCCCATGAGCTGGAACACCTAGCTAGGCTGACAACATCCTCGAAACCTGGGTGAACATGGGAAACAAGAGAAAAAGCCCCAGAACATACACCTCTGGTCCCTTTAACATACACTCAGGGTTAAGTTGAAGTGTGCTCTGTGTCTTGTTCAGACATCTGTAACATGGACGAAATCCCTAAAGGACACACATTGTATTGATATTTTGTTTCAAATCAACAAATCAAACAGAGAACCATTTAACTTTGTGATCCCGCTATTTGATGTAAAGAGTTGCACATGCTGCAACAATACATCTGTAGCTGTGCAACATCGCAACACCCTTCTTTGATGTGGAAAAATGAACATGTGTAGACGTGGTGTAGACATGGTCCTGGGGGACACTCCGATCTGCTCGTCTTGTTTCCCGGAGCTGACCCTTCACCAGCATGTATTGATGGCGCACTATTGCCTTGCATGTAACAAAGATGTAGATCAAGAAGATGTCTTCTGCATGTGTAACTTTGTATGTTTCACTCCGTCTTCAAAATATCATAGGGAAGCTCCAGGTCAAGAATCTGTAATACTTTACAGAGATGTTTCTAACAGCTCAGAAAAAAGGATCTGGATAAGAAATCTACATGTTCAGTCATCATTATTCCTACAAAATAGGGGCACAGTGTCACAGTGGTCAGAGAGCACCACCACATGATCTGGCCATGCTACTGGGGTGAGTCCTGGACACCACCACATGATCTGGCCATGCTACTGGGGTGAGTCCTGGACACCACCACATGATCTGGTCATGCTGCTGGGTTGAGACCTGGACTCCACCACATGATCTGGTCATGCTGCTGGGGTGAGTCCTGGACACCACCACATGATCTGGTCATGCTGCTTGGTTGAGTCCTGGACACCACCACATGATCTGGTCATGCTACTGGGGTGAGTCCTGGACACCACCACATGATCTGGCCATGCTGCTGGGGTGAGTCCTGGTCACCACCACATGATCTGGCCATGCTGCTGGGGTGAGTCCTGGTCACCACATGATCTGGCCATGCTGCTGGGGTGAGTCCTGGTCACCACCACATGATCTGGCCATGCTGCTGGGGTGAGTCCTGGTCACCACCACATGATCTGGTCATGCTGCTGGGGTGAGTCCTGGACACCACCACATGATCTGGTCATGCTGCTGGGGTGAGTCCTGGACTCCACCACATGATCTGGCCATGCTGCTGGGGTGAGTCCTGGACACCACCACATGATCTGGTCATGCTGCTGGGGTGAGTCCTGGACACCACCACATGATCTGGCCATGCTGCTGGGTTGAGACCTGGACACCACCACATGATCTGGCCATGCTGCTGGGGTGAGTCCTGGACACCACCACATGATCTGGCCATGCTGCTGGGGTGAGTCCTGGACACCACCACATGATCTGGCTATGCTGCTGGGGTGAGTCCTGGACACCACCACATGATCTGGTCATGCTGCTGGGGTGAGTCCTGGACACCACCACATGATCTGGTCATGCTGCTGGGGTGAGTCCTGGACACCACCACATGATCTGGCCATGCTGCTGGGGTGAGTCCTGGACACCACCACATGATCTGGCCATGCTGCTGGGGTGAGTCCTGGACACCACCACATGATCTGGTCATGCTGCTGGGGTGAGTCCTGGTCACCACCACATGATCTGGTCATGCTGCTGGGGTGAGACCTGGACACCACCACATGATCTGGCCATGCTGCTGGGGTGAGTCCTGGACACCACCACATGATCTGGCCATGCTGCTGGGGTGAGTCCTGGACTCCACCACATGATCTGGCTATGCTGCTGGGGTGAGTCCTGGACACCACCACATGATCTGGTCATGCTGCTGGGGTGAGTCCTGGACACCACCACATGAACTGGTCATGCTGCTGGGGTGAGTCCTGGACACCACCACATGATCTGGCCATGCTGCTGGGGTGAGTCCTGGACACCACCACATGATCTGGCCATGCTGCTGGGGTGAGTCCTGGACACCACCACATGATCTGGTCATGCTGCTGGGGTGAGTCCTGGTCACCACCACATGATCTGGTCATGCTGCTGGGGTGAGTCCTGGACACCACCACATGATCTGGTCATGCTGCTGGGTTGAGACCTGGACACCACCACATTATCTGGCCATGCTACTGGGGTAAGTCCTGGACACCACCACATGATCTGGTCATGCTGCTGGGGTAAGTCCTGGACACCACCACATGATCTGGTCATGCTGCTGGGGTGAGTCCTGGACACCACCACATGATCTGGCCATGCTGCTGGGGTGAGTCCTGGACACCACCACATGAACTGGTCATGCTGCTGGGGTGAGTCCTGGACACCACCACATGATCTGGTCATGCTGCTGGGGTGAGTCCTGGACACCACCACATGATCTGGCCATGCTGCTGGGGTGAGTCCTGGACTCCACCACATGATCTGGCCATGCTGCTGGGGTGAGTCCTGGACACCACCACATGATCTGGTCATGCTGCTGGGGTGAGTCCTGGTCACCACCACATGATCTGGTCATGCTGCTGGGGTGAGTCCTGGACACCACCACATGATCTGGTCATGCTGCTGGGTTGAGACCTGGACACCACCACATTATCTGGCCATGCTACTGGGGTAAGTCCTGGACACCACCACATGATCTGGTCATGCTGCTGGGGTAAGTCCTGGACACCACCACATGATCTGGTCATGCTGCTGGGGTGAGTCCTGGACACCACCACATGATCTGGCCATGCTGCTGGGATGAGTCCTGGACACCACCACATGATCTGGTCATGCTGCTGGGGTGAGTCCTGGACACCACCACATGATCTGGTCATGCTGCTGGGGTGAGTCCTGGACTCCACCACATGATCTGGTCATGCTGCTGGGGTGAGTCCTGGACTCCACCACATGATCTGGCCATGCTACTGGGGTGAGTCCTGGACACCACCACATGATCTGGTCATGCTGCTGGGGTGAGTCCTGGACACCACCACATGATCTGGTAATGCTACTGGGGTGAGTCCTGGACACCACCACATGATCTGGTCATGCTACTGGGGTGAGTCCTGGACTCCACCACATGATCTGGCCATGCTACTGGGGTGAGTCCTGGACACCACCACATGATCTGTCCATGCTGCTGTGTTGAGCCCTAGACTCCACCAAGATGATTCTTGGTCTGACCGTGCCACACCTAACTGTGCCAATAGGTGTACCCACAGCAGCTAACATCTCACACACTGCCATACAACTGGAATACTTTTGAAAGTAACATTAAACTCATTCAGGCTTGAGAAATCACGAAGAGCATTCTGTGTAACACGCAGTCTTCATCATAGCTCTATGAAATATTGTCTGACACCAAACTAGATATTTGTCTCTAAATACTGTCTTGACACCAACCTAGATACTTGTCTCTAAATACTGACTGACACCAACCTAGATACTTGTCTCTAAATACTGACTGACACCAACCTAGATACTTGTCTCTAAATACTGACTGACACCAACCTAGATACTTGTCTCTAAATGCTGACTGACACCAACCTAGATACTTGTCTCTAAATACTGATTGACACCAACCTAGATACTTGTCTCTAAATACTGACTGACACCAACCTAGATACTTGTCTCTAAATACTGACTGACACCAACCTAGATACTTGTCTCTAAATACTGACTGACACCAACCTAGATACTTGTCTCTAAATACTGACTGACACCAACCTAGATACTTGTCTCTAAATATTGTCTGAGACCTACCTAAAGAGTTCTACATCATATTGTCTGAGACCTACCAAGACAGATTAATGTAATATTGTCTTGTCACCTACCTAAATAATTCTCGGACAGGGCCAACTCTGTGATATTGATGCGACACGCTCCAGTTGGAATCTCCACCACTGGGTTGTAGCTTCCCTCAGACAGAACGGTCACCATGAAGATTCCGGCAATCTTCCGACAGGAGCTGGGCTTGCGGTCGCATGCCAGGCAGGTATCAGACTGACCAAACACGGCAGGCAGCACGGACTGAAAGAAACAAAAAAAACACAACCCCATTCATAACAATGTACACAAAGCAACAGCAGTCAATACAGGTAGTACTGATGGACACAAAAAATGGAGCAATGAAAAATATTGGGAAATAAGTTTACTGTCAGTACATTTGAAATATCGTATGTGAATACAAATTCAACACGTCATAATCAAATGTTTAGATGTGTTTGAGTGCATTGTTTCCAACGCATATTTGGTAGACAGGGCTGGGAACCCATGACAGCATATTATTTTACTGTGCCTGAAGCTGAGTGTTCCCTTATTCATGTCCATCAGTACAGAGATTAACCAACTGTTCCAATCCATGTAGCACCCTCCAAATCCTGCCAAAATACTGGCACCCTGTTAAGACCACCAAAAGTTGATGGGTTAGATAGTGTTCTATTTATCATTTAAAATAAATTGTGCTGTAAAATCTTTTAAATTCCAAGGCAAATTATACCAAAATGTGCCATTTCAAATTTTTCCAAGAATTTCTGCAAGCCACAGATTAGTGCGTTTTATCTCAAAATGAAATGCAACTTCTGTTTTGCAAATAATTATTTGTCTGTTAAACAAGGACCTAAATAAGAAATGATGAACAATCCACTTAACATTTAATATTACACAAATTTTTAACAAAATAAATAATTAAAAAATAGTAATTCTCCTGATTTCTTGTCGCACTCTCTTTCTCCAACTTGAAAACTGTTTGCAGGGCACTGAAACCAGACTGTCAGTTTAAAACAAAACACCTTTAACAGAACTCCTTCCTTCAGCAGAAACAAAATTGCAGTTTATCCTTTTGAAAACCTTTTGTCTTGCAGTTTATCCTGTTGTAATCCATTGTCTTGCAGATTATCCTATTGTAATCCATTGTCTTGAAGTTTATCCTGGTGTAACCCAATGTCTTCAAGTTTATCCTATTGTAATCAATTGTCTTGCAGTTTATCCTATTGTAATCCATTGTCTTGCAGTTTATCCTGGTGTAACCCAATGTCTTCAAGTTTATCCTATTGTAATCCATTGTCTTGCAGTTTATCCTATTGAAACCCATATCTTGCAGTTTATCCTATTGTAATCCATTGTTGTGCAGTTTTCCTATTGTAACCCATATCTTGTAGTTTATCCTATTGTAATCCATTGTTGTGCAGTTTTCCTATTGTAACCCATATCTTGCAGTTTATCCTATTGTAATCCATTGTTGTGCAGTTTATCCTATTGTAGACCATATCTTGCAGTTTATCCTATTGTAACCCATGTCTTGCAGTTTATCCTATTGTAACCCATGCCTTGCAGTTTATCCTACTGTAACCCATGTCTTGCAGTTTATCCTATTGTAACCCATATCTTGCAGTTTAACCTATTGTAGACGAATGTCTTCAAGTTTATCCTATTGTAACCCATGACTTGCAGTTTATTCTATTGTAACCCATATCTTGCAGTTTACCCTATTGTAACCCAATGTCTTCAAGTTTATCCTATTGTAACCCAATGTCTTCAAGTTTATCCTATTGAAACCCATGACTTGCAGTTTATACTATTGTAACCCATGACTTGCAGTTTATCCTATTGTTACCCATGTCTTGCAGTTTATCCTATTGTAACCCATGTCTTGCAGTTTATCCTATTGTTACCCATGTCTTGCAGTTTATCCTATTGTAACCCATGTCTTGCAGTTTATCCTATTGTTACCCATGTCTTGCAGTTTATCCTATTGTAGACCATATCTTGCAGTTTATCCTATTGTTACCCATGCCTTGCAGTTTATCCTACTGTAACCCATGTCTTGCAGTTTATCCTATTGTTACCCATGTCTTGCAGTTTATCCTATTGTAGACCATATCTTGCAGTTTATCCTATTGTTACCCATGTCTTGCAGTTTATCCTATTGTAACCCATGTCTTGCAGTTTATCCTATTGTAACCCATGTCTTGCAGTTTATCCTATTGTTACCCATGTCTTGCAGTTTATCCTATTGTAGACCATATCTTGCAGTTTATCCTATTGTAACCCATGCCTTGCAGTTTATCCTACTGTAACCCATGTCTTGCAGTTTATCCTATTGTAACCCATATCTTGCAGTTTATCCTATTGTAACCGAATGTCTTCAAGTTTACCCTATTGTAACCCATGACTTGCAGTTTATTCTATTGTAACCCATATCTTGCAGTTTACCCTATTGTAACCCAATGTCTTCAAGTTTATCCTATTGTAACCCAATGTCTTCAAGTTTATCCTATTGAAACCCATGTCTTGCAGTTTATCCTGTTGTATTCACAATTCTTGGTGAAAATTCACATTCAGTAGAATAGAAAAAAAGGATGCGTTTGAAAGATCAGCTTTTTATTTGAATTACAAGAATCATTGGAAATTCCTCTCAAATCCTCTCTGGCAATTGTTTATGCATTTCTTTTTAATTTTGCCTCCTGCATTTTGGCCTTCTGGTCAAAAAGACACCATAAACTAAAAATACATTCATCTAGCCTTTGAAGATAATGATAATTGCTCTTAATACCTTCCCACTTTTTAAACAAACCTTTCAATAGTTGCACTATTAGGGGTTTTCATGACAAATGTTATCATGAAATCAGAACTCCAGATTGTCAGAACTATGACTCTCCAAAACTCCTTTAGTTCAAATACTCCACACATACAAAACAATTTCAATCTCACATTTCAAACCCAACAATGACCCCATTGTCACGTCTACACTTACAAACCATGTACAGCATGACACAGAGAAATACTTCAAAAACATAGCCCCTACACCCAGAGAACAGGGCTGGAATTTCCACATGGAGTTCGTAAACATAGAAACTGAACCTCGAATGAACAGCCTGACATATATTGAGACCACCCAACAGATTGCCACACTTCATTCATAAACACACAAAGTAACATAAATATATAGATATCTCATTCAAAATGTGCAACAAACACTGCTGCGAAAGCTGGCAAGGGTTTGCATATTTCCCCTAGGTGTGGCAGGAAGGTGTAACAACATAACGCCCTCCATACACAGCAAAGGGAAAGTTGTGCGTAGATATGATGGATTCGCTACATGATGCAGAGTAAGGGCCAAACTTGTCGATGGAAGGAATAGGAACATGTATATGTATCCAAGGTACAGCTATTTTTGTGAATGTCGGATGATCAAATATGTAAATGTTAACGATGCCATGCAGTGCACATAGTGTCAAGGTTTCACTGATGAACTGATGATATGAAAAACTGTACAGATTGTGTGTACTGATTGTGTGTACAGATACAGATTGCATGTACAGATCTTGTGTACAGATCCTGTGTATACAGGTGTACACAGATCCCTCATACATATAGATCATGTGTAGAGATGTTCAGGTCACACGTATGTCATGTAAGTGTAGCGGCCATAAAACTTCAGAGTCCCGTGATGGGATTCGAACCACGGACCTTCTGATCCGAGGTCGGACGCCTTGTCCACACGACCAAAGAGGTTAACCCCGTCAGCAAGCTGACAAGGTAAGGATGTCATCTGTGGGGTGACTCCACGCCCTGCTACATACCCCCGTCAACAGAAGGCACGCCCCGGACTGCAAAGTAGGGCACTGAGGCTTATTTTGCTCAAATTTAATATGAACGTGCTCAGCCCCACGTTGGGCGCCAATGTAGCGGCCATAAAATTTCCAAGTCCCATGATGGGATTTGAACCACGGACCTTCTGATCTGAGGTCGGACGCCTTGTCCACATGACCAAAGAGGTTAACCCCGTCAGCCATCTGACAAGGTAAGGATATCATCTGTGGGATGACTCCACGCCCTGCTACATAAGCAGATGAAATAAGCCAGTGTGTGAGTGAGTGAATGTTGTTTCATGCAATGTTTCAACTGTATCATGGTCAACCAGTGACTGACTGCATGAGCACCAATCCATGGTTCTGGGGCATCTTGACAAAAAGAGTGATTATATTGTGTATCCATCCAATCCTCAATTGTCAGCTCCTGTGACAAGCATGGTTTGTTTGTTGTGTAAAGCCACACTCAACAATATTCCAGCTATATGACGGCGGTTTGTAAATGATCTAGTCTAGACCAGACAATCCAGTGATTTATGTCATGAGCATCAATCTTTGCAATTTGGATATGATGACATGTGTCAACCAAGTCAGCAAGCCTGACCACCCGATCACATTAGTCGCCTCTTACGACAAGCATAGTCGCCTCTTACGGCAAGCATGGGTTGCTGAAGACCTATTCTAACCTGGATCTTCGTTGGGTGACAAGTATGGGTTGCTGAAGACCTATTCTAACCTGGATCTTCAGACAGGGACAGGCATGGTCACCTCTTATAGCAAGCATGGGTTGCTGAAGACCTATTCTAACCTGGATCTTCACGTGGGGACAAGCATGGTACATCGCACAATTACTCCGCTCTGGAATTCCCATGTTGCTCTGGAATTCCCATGTTGCTCTTTGAGTGTGTTTGGTTTAACGATGCTTTGAACAGGATTTCAGTTATATCACAGCATGTCAGTTTGATGTAGGAAGAAAATCCAAAGTGATGCAGTCTGATTCATTTTATGTTATACCATTAGTATACTTAGATCTTCAGACCAGGTGAGCTAAAATCACTCCAAATTGGATCCTCACAGGAAGGAGATGGACTACTTCAAAGCAACCCAAACAACACAATTCCTTATTTCCATCTTCTTTTATTGCAACTTACGGAACGTATTCCTAAAAGATTCTTTTAACACAGTATAAGCAATCATTTTTTTTCGGTTTTTTTTCAGTAAGAAATTTAGTAATTATAAATAAATCCTCCAATGGCTGCTTGGGCAGATATTGATGTATTTGTTTTCTAAAATATTTTCTCTTAGCCCACTACATCACACTACACAGCCATTTGTCATGACACAAGAGGCATCTTGTGTACTATCTACTGATTTGTAAACCATATACAATTTGGTTTAAAAGCTTTTTCAGAGTTAAAGTTGTGACAAGCATTATAA